TGAGAAGAAGGAAATCAGAGGACACTCTTTAGAGGAGGTGGCTCTGGCTAATCTTGGAAATAATAAAGTTGTAGAATTTTCTTTGAGGGTCTGAATGGAGGGCAGATGACTATGGCCTCCCTGCTGTGCTCTAACTGGTTCCCTTTATTGGATTTTTATAGTTTTATACCCTAGTCTCTGTAGCTTCTTTTGTGCTTTCAGTGTATTATATTTATAATAAATTCTGTTTTTCTTTTGAGATCTTTCTGGCTCTTTAATAAAAATGTGGTTTGTCTTTGAATTTTGCAAAGAAATAATTATTTTAACTTCCTTAGAATAAAAACTGTAATAAGCCTTTTGTCAATTGGGAGATAAACCAGTAGACGTATGAACTATCATACAGCTCATTTTTATATAGAGGTGGATAATTTTTTTGGCTCTACCTAATTAGCTAAAAATAAACATCTGTACTGTTATGGTTGTGTTATTGAATCAAGGAATATGAATAAAGTTTCAATGACAGCAGATTTATCTCTGGAACAAGAGACTTTAAGGACTAAAGCTATGGTTGGCTGTTGGATAAAGAGCTGAACTCTATTAAGATATGCTGCTAGCTTTTCTCTTTCCCTACATCTGTCTTAGATTATTATATATAATAGCTATTTTCATAAAGCATCTGGTTCCTCCAGAAAGTTGTGTGAAGATATGGAGAACTATTATAATTGGTAAGACTCAAGAAATTTGGCTTAAGTAGTGGTCTTTTTTGTAGTATACAATTTTTAATAAAATGCAGTTTATTATTTTGAAATGCAGTGCATCTTTTAAGACAGATATAAGTGCAAAGATACAATTTTATTATTTTAATACATATTTTATTTAAAATATGTAAATAAATAATTTTATTTTAAATATACATAAATAATACATAATAAAATAATTTTATTTATTTATTTAATACATATTTTATTTAAAATAAATACGTATTTTATTTAAAATGTGTATTAAATTTAAAAGGCACATATTTTTTGACCTGCCAGGTCCTCTTCTAGTAATGTGTTTTACATATATATCAACAGAATTGCACAAAAATATTGTAAAAGGATGTTTGCAATATTGTTTATGATGACAAAAAATGGAGATAATCTAAATGTCCATTGTACAGGAATGTTTAAATGAATTATGGTTCATCTCTATAATGGAATATTATGCTATCACTGAAAGAATGAGATATTGATATACAAAGAGGTCAAGGTTACCTTAAGGAAAAAAAAAATCAAGTGGCAGAAGAGTGTGCACAGTGTAAATCCATTTGTGCACTGAAACAGGTACCTATGTATATATTTCCTTAACTATACCATTTAGGCCATTCCTGACATGGTACATGGAGTCACAAATGTTTGCTTTTCAGGAGTCAGCTGTAGCCTGAACAATGTGTATGAAGAGAATATTTTTTACTCTTCACCATGTGCATCCTGAATTCTTAGAAATGTTTCCATCAGCATTTACTATTTTTAAAATATGGGATCAAAAGTTATATAAACTCAATACCTATTAAATTTTATTTGTTTATTTTTTATTTTAATAATCAATATATCAATAAAGTTTAATGTAATAATTTCATTTCTTCAATTCTTGGTTTAAATAATTATTGACATATGGTAAATCCCTTAAAAAAACCACAACACAGAAGTTAATTCCTGTCATTATTTAGAAGAATTACATATACCACCAGTTGAGAGCCTCAGAATTGTAATTCTAATAACTCAACTGAAAGAGATTTTACCCACCTCCCCTGTTGTTTGTGCTTCTCTTGAAGTGTCGTGGAAACATTTGATAATGAGTCAACCATATTGAGTTCTTCACTTCATTTGCAGTGTTAGGCTTTTGTGCAGATGGGTCTTGATCATATGCTGGTTTTGGATCGATTCCTATTTTTCAGAATCAGAAATTAGTGAAAGATTGTTTTTCGTTATCCAATCATCTGTTTATTCCCCGTATATTGGAAGCTTGTTTTAAAACATGAATTCTTGGGACACCTCGGTGGCTCAGTGGTTGAGAGTCTGTCTTTGACTCAGGGCATGATCCCTGGATCCGGGATCAAGTCCCATATCAGGCTCCCTGCATGGAACCTGCTTCTCTGTCTGCCTGTGTCTCTGCTTCTCTCTCTCTGTGTCTGTCATGAATAAATAAAATCTTCAAAAAAGTGAAACATGAATTCTTTCTTTTTATGATTTAATATAACATGTTTCCAAAATTGGTATTTTAAAGAAAACTTTAGTAGCTTATAAAACATTTCTTATATGCTTTTGCCTATGACATATTTTCCCCACATACATTGACTTCCATTGTTCCCCAATTTGATACCATAATTCTTGTGATTATCTTTTTTGTTTCTACTATCTTTATATGTGCTGTTCACTGTAAGTCTTAGACTTCAGAAAGAGATCTGATGAGGTTAATCACTGTCCAGTAGAGGGAAACATTTTCACATAGAATTCTTGCTCTATCCAGGTCACCTCATTGAGTGTTGGCCCCTCGTGTCGTCTAGTAAAAAGCTAGAGTGTTGATTTCTGGTCCAATTAGATGTTTCCAGGAAGGACTTTTAAGCATAATGACCTCTAATTTAGAATCTAATCTTTTGGACAGTTCAGTCCAACAACCCAACAGAGGATATTTTAAACTCTATTAAATATACTCCTAGCCCTACTCAAAAAGTAAATTAAAACAGAGGCTCAGTTAGTTAAGCATTTGCCTTTGTCTCGGGTCATGACCCCAGGGTCCTGGGATTGAATCCCGCATTGGGCTCCCTGCTCAGCGAAGGGCTGCTTCTCCCTTTCCCTTTGCCTGCTGCTACTCCCCTGCTTGTGCTCTCTCTCTGTGTGTGTCAAATAAATAAATACGATTTTTTTAAAAATAAATTAAAAACCCCTAGGAATCAGCTGGGGGGAAAGTTTAGGTTTACACTAGACCCAATAGGTTCTAGGCCCAACTCATAAGTAGTGTAGGGGAAATGACACAGGCCTTGCATTTACATGTTCATGCAAGGTCTGCATCCCTACTTGGCAACTTTCCAGGTGGACAACTTTGGCTTCTGGAGATTGTGACCTATATAGAAGAGAGGTAGCAATATTTCTTTATAGGATTGATGTGAGGATTTAGGGAAATTGTGTATTTAAGTTAAATAGAACAATAGTTGACACACAGTAATTTTTTTTAGAGAGAGAGTGCATGAGCAAGTACATGAGCAAGTGGGGAGAGGGAGAATCTTAAGCAAGCTCCACACCCAGTATAGAGCCCAACATGGGGCTCAGTCTTATAACCCTGAGATCATGACCTGAGCCAAAATCAAAAGTAGGATGCTTAACCCAATGAACCACCCAGGTGCCCCTCTACAGAGTAATTATAGTAGTAGCAAACATTGAGGGCTTACTAAGTGCCATGCATTATTGTAAGCTCTAAATGCATTTTACTTTTCTTTAATCACCTGAACAACCTTGTGAAATTGTTACCCTGATTTGACAGATGACATAGGCACCTTCTGGAACTTGCTGCAGACTGCATAGCTAGTTTAAACAAAGGAGCTGATAGCTCATGCCCTTAACATCTTTACAAAACCAGCTCAACCCAGAAAGTCAGTGTCTGGCTTTATTTCTGTTCTTAAACATATGGCCTACTGGGTTACACCCTGTTTCAGGCTTACAGGTGGACTACCACCCTGTTCTTTCTTATTTTCCATCACATCCAACCATAGTCCTCAGTTCATGATGCTCAATGACTCCCTTGAGGATTTGGAGGTGTCACAGGATCAGGGATTTCACTGAGTGCCATCTTGGGTGTTCTCTGCCACCTCACCAGAACTGAGGTTCACCCAGCCCTATAGGATTATCTCATGAGGAGCAGCAGTCACAGGCCAGGGTGCCTTCTTGGAATTCCAGGGGAGAAAATGCCTTCAGTCTTGTTATATCCCGTGTCCTCCTGTTCTCTCCCCTCCACATGTCAAGCACTGAATATTTTAGGTAGGATTAATCCTTAAGGCACAGTATAAAGCAGGTCGAGTTTGCCCCTTTAAAACATTCCTTTGAATCTTTTTGTTTCACTGTTTCCTATCCTAGTGGGTCAATTGAATTAGCAGCTTTTAGCTTCTGAAGAAATAGGAGATTAGTGGGGGAATGGCAAAGGCCATTTAGAACAATGCCTTTCAAACTCTAATGTGGATCTGAATTACCAGGGACCTTGTTTAAAGTACCAATTATAGTAAGTGGGTAGATTGGGGCTGGGACTTGTGATTGCATTTCTGACTAGTTCCAGAGTGTCTCAGCAACACCATTGGTTTCTAGACCACACTCAGAATGGCAGATATTTAAAGACTGAGGCACCACCCTGAGAAGGCAGAGGATTTACCCTATTACCTCTTCCAAGAACATTTAATCCAAAGAAATAAGTGTCTTGGCAATTAATGTAACCAGCTGCTAGAAGAAACATTGGAATTTAAAACTTCACCCAATGTGCTTACTGTAAAGCCATTCATAGTTGGAGAACAGAATAGTATAAACTTGTCAAGTTTTGATATCAACACTATAAAAATAAGTGTTTTTCTCTATCTGTTTAATTTAGTGACTGTCAAATGATTTATATACATTTTTACTCAGCTTTATGTGAAAAAGCATCCTCTTGCTGCTGCTCAACGTTGTTTCTCATGACTGGGCAAATGGATGACTCAGTTGATCCTGGTGCAAGGGCCACATGTGTATTTCAGTATCTGTTTCTTTGTTCTTTCTATCATCACCTACATAAAAGGCAAATTAAGTCAACTTTTATTTCCCTGGCTTTAATTTGGAGTTAGTTGGCTCACTAGAAGTGTTTATGAATAATTCTTTAGAACAGGTTTGATAACACTAATCTGAATAACAAAATATTCTGCAGAGCTTTATACATGGAGGTGTGGTGTGGCAGGAATCTGTGAAATGATGCAGGTGATTTCTCCTGGCAAGGGCAGAGGCTTATGCTGTTTCTGTTTCCAGGGAGGAGAACACTGCTACTACCAGGGCCACATCCGAGGAAACCCTGATTCATTTGTTGCATTGTCAACATGCCATGGACTTCAGTAAGTGTCCTCCAAATTTTTGTACCATCCATTCTTTCAATCACTGTTTTCTTTATTTTTAATGTACTGTAGTCAAAATCTTTATGTCAAGAAATAATTTTAAATCAGTGATGGATCTGATCTTTTTCTTTTTCAAGGTGTATAAACCAAGCTGATTTTAAAATTGGAGTTGCAGAAACAGACCAAGGTCTTTGGTATTATGATATGATACCCTTTAGTGATGTTCTGGTTTCATCTAAGTTGTGACAAGGATGTTTTGGGTTATGCTGGTTCTCTAGACGCTTAGCCCCTTGGTACCCAGTTCTGCCCCTACCTCTTCTTGATGTTAGTTTGTATAGTTTTATGGAATAATAGAAATTTTAGTAGGTGGAATCTCTCGACTCCTTGCACAAAAATGACAAACTGCAAGTCACCTCAAGAGCTCATGTGTTTCAGCCAGAATTCCACCTAAAATCCACAACAAACTTGTGGGAGGGTCCATCTGTTCTCAGAAATCTCCAAGGAATGGAGTTCATCCTTCCTCAGGGCCTTGCTTCCTTTCTCATAACCTTCATTATCAAAGAATGTTTGCTGATGTTTAACATGGGAATACATCTACTTCCTCTGTTCTGTCGCTAATGGTGATACACAGGTGGCCATCTCTTATTTGTTTTGTTAACGCCTTATAAAGCTACCGTGTCATTCCTCTGCATTCTAAGCTAAATCATCTCAGTTCTTTCTTGTTTGTGTTACTTTTGGGGGCACAGAACAAGCTAGCACTTTAGTTTTGTTAAATTTTTGTTTGGAAACTTTAAAATGCATCCCGCTCCCAGGTTAGAGATCTGGCTTTTCCATGTAGCTAGCAGTTACTGAGTGTCTGCTGTGGGCCAGCCACAAGGAAAATCAAGGCCATGAGAATTTGAGTCCCATCCCCAATAGCTCACAGTCCAGTGGGGGCAGCTGAAGCTAGCTCAGCTTCCTGCTATGGAATATGATAGGAATATTTCTTTCTTTGAGAGAGAAAGTAACAGAATAATGCAAGCAGAGAGTGGGCATTGAGCAATGAGGTAGTGCTTGAGGGCTCCAGGGAAATGTCACCTAGTGATCCCTACAACAGGCTTTGATAGAATTTTCTGAGAGAGAGGGGTAGGCAGACAAGCTAGGAAAGAGATATAATGGATGAACCTGGAAAATTGAGCTAGTCTGCCTAGTGGTGCCTCGTTAGGCTCAGGCAATTAGTATGTTGTGAGAGGCAGAAGAGAGTATGAGGAACACCTAGGTAGGCAGAGGAAGGAGGCCAGGTTCATGAGAGCATGGAAAACTTCCATCTGCTTATTGTTTACTCTAAAAGACTTCTACTTATTTTAAATAAATTCTTGGAGATGTTTTTACAAACAGGAATCCATGCCTCATATCTGAAAGCCTTGGTTTTCTTATCTGGAAAAGGAACCACTAAAGTGCCCTTCAGTAATAAAATTCTTACATCTGATCTCAAGATAATCCCAGCTTTCCACTAAGAAGAGTACCCTAGGCTCATTGATGTTTGTGACAGCAAATGTATGGTAGTGATATAAAAAAGAAGAGGCATTTTCCCCCCTCTCTTCCTTTTAAAATCTCAAATTGTCGTTTAAGCATCTTGCCCAGTACTTATTCCATGTTGCTTTCCAGTTTTGTAAGAGGATACCATATTGTGAGAAGCAGTGAGAAGTCATCCTTGCCTTCTGAGGGCTCTGATAGACCTGAGATCCCAAGACCAAGAGCTTGCTAGGCATTTGAAGAAGGATTGAAAATAAACTGTAAGGAAATTTTAGTGAGTAGATCAAGAGTAGAACTCAGAGCCAGCTTCAGTTGTTTTAATGAAGTAAAATTTACCTCTACCTTGAGAAACCTTTTCATTTAAAACTAAGCAAAAAGTAACAGAAAATGCACCATGTGCCTAAGAACACTGTGAGGATTGTATATAAGCATGTTGGGTGCTCTGGGACTTTTGTGAGCATGTTGGATAAATTTACTATTGTTCCTTTTTATTATTTATTAATCAATACTTCTCATGTTGATTTTACCTTCTGAACAAAAACTATTTTTGTTAGAAATATTTTAGAGGATATTACTAAATATTAATTAATCTATGTTTTTTCAATTATAGTGATTTGGGTATGAAACAGATGATCTCATCCATGATTCATCTTTTATAAATTACCAAATACATATGGAGATTTTTCATTTTTCTTAATTTACTAAATTTAGTTGAAGAACATAAAGGGGAAAATAATCAGCTTTATGTCTTTTTCATAAAGAACCTGAAAACGCACATTTTTTTTTTTTTTCAAATTCAAAGGACTAATGGATAATATTTTGGTCCTGGTACGTTTGATGTTATGATAAAATCCTGTAACTATGGGAACCTAAAAGAATGGCATCAAATGTAAGTTTATTGCCCTCTTGTGGCAATTTGTAAGAATGGCTGTTTCTTTTCAAAATCTTGTTTTGATCCAGCCTTTTAAAATTTTAGTTCAATTGACCTATAATAAGTAGGTCCTAGCTGTAGGTTTTTATCAAATATATACTGTATGTGGATACAGCGCACTTATTGGAATTTATACAAATATAACAAAGGTGTCAATCCTCAAACAAAGCAATAAAACATATACTTTTCAATAGTTCAAGAATTAATTAATGGCACATTGTCATATAGGGAGCCAGAATCTTCTAGACATATATGGTGTCAGAATTTGCTTTCTTTAAACTGTGTATCATGATGTTTAACCCCAATAAAAATCACTTATTTTCACATTCAACACTGATGTAGTGCAAAAGGAAATGATACCTTGTATTTAAACAAAATAATCTGCTGCTTAATCAGCATAACTCTGTGAACTTTGGCAAAGGATGATGGTTCTGTGCAATTTTCTGGGTGAATCTGGCCAGTTCTCAGGGGCAAAGAGAATGTCTACTGCTGCATTTGGTCTACTGTTTTGAAAAGGCTTCCCTCTTCTGATTCCTTAGACATGTATTCTCAGTAATACCTTAAAAAGTGCATCTGTTTATCTTTAAATTCGAAATGCAGTGTCATCCAAATTCAGTGTAATGGTTGAAAACCTTACAGATGTGAGAGTAGAAGTTCTAAGGGTATATGAAAGCAGAGGACATGTGGAAGATGTTACAGTAGGAATGAAAGAATTTGGAGAGGCAGAGCTAGAGGCCATTATAATTATAGCTCAGGGAAACCAACTGATTTCACTACACCATCAGTGAGAGATAAATACTATTCTATGTGCAATAGTGGGGTCTCATGCAGCATTTCCATAGAACACTGAAAAATGACCCCAGAAAACTACGCCTAGTCCCTTCTCAGATGCCTGAATGATAAGACACATTTCTTCAGCATCATAAGGTGCTTGATCTTAGGAGAAGGACATGTTCTCCTAAAACGAGTGGCCATTGGGATCTCTCTGGGTGGGAGGTGAGGCCATATGTAGGTTCAAATACCCTCCGGAGAATTCCTCAGTTGGCTGATAGTCATCTCCGGCCTAACAGATCAAAACCCAACTTCAGATTTATGCTCTCCTCCCTGCATCCTGCTTCCATGTGCTCAGCCCCTTCTGTCCTTCCTGTGGCTTTTCCCATTTTATTAAATGGCAATTCCATCTCACCAGCTGCTCAGGCTAAAACCTTGGCGTTCTCACGGACATGACTCTCTCATGTACTCCATTTCAAATCTGCCAATAAATCCTATTGTTTCTACTTTTGAAAAGTACCCAGAATTTAACCAGTCTCACCATCTCCACCAACGCCACTATGATCTAGGCAAATACCATCTTTTTTCACCTGAATTATTGCAATAACTTCTCCATTTCTATTATTGCCATCTGAAAGACTATTGTAACACAGCAGTTAGGGCAATTAATTTAAAATTTAAGAGCGATTGTATTTCCACCTGCTTAAGCCCTCATAGTGGCTCCACGTGTCTCTCAGAGTAAAAGCCACAGCCCTCAGGAGGTCTCATGTGGCCCCACTCTTTCTCTGATCTCATGTTACGGTTCTCCCCTCACCCACACCCTCCTCCAGCCACACTGCATTCTTGATGTTCCTGGAGCACACTTAGGGTTAGAGTCTGACATGCTCTCTGCACAGATATCCTTATGGCTCATCCCTTCACTTTCAGATCTTTGTTTAAATGCCATCTTCTCTAGAAAGCCTTTCTCTGAGACTCTATATAAATCAACAGTCTTCTCTCCCTGGTCTCTACAACCAGTCCTCTGGCACCATTTATCACCCATAACTTTCTTTGTTTTCCTCCCTAGAATTTTTCACCACCACATGTATATTTATTTTGTTGTTGATTGTATTTTTTGTCTGTTTACCCTAGAATGCACATTAGAACCATGAGGGCAGAGCATTGGTCAGTTTTGTCCACTTCTGTATCACAAGCACCTAGGGCAGTGCATTGTAGGTGCTTATATGTGTTGTGAATGAGTGAATGGATGAAGAGGCCGCCAATTGCAGATGGGCAGTTCAGGAACCAATCTGCCTGGGCTCTAGTCCTGCCTCAGTTCTTCCTGGTTATGTAATTTGGGCAAGTTACTTCATCTCTTTGGGCTTTGGTTTCCTTCCTTGTAAAATGAGTATAGGCAAGTATATGGTGTACCTCCCTCATACATTTCCACAAATGAGTAGAAGATTAAATGAGTGTAAAGTGTTTAGTTCATGGTAAGCTGTTGGAATGTGTCAGCTCTTGTTACGAGAGCATCTTCCAGGTGTGTGGTAGGTAGGCATTTCTCAGGATAGTCCCTGACAGTCTGCATCAGAACCACCTGGGATTGTTTAAAATGCAGCTCCCTGGGCCTTAGCCAAGAAATCTGAGGAAGGCCCTGAAAGTTTAACACTTTTGCAAGCTCTCCAGATGAACTATTTGCATATTAAAGTTTTAGAATTATGTGTTGGAGGGAGGATTAAAGAATGATAATCCTGAACCTGGGGACACTGCTGCTTATGGGAAGTCAGAGGGATGGGTCTTTCCCTCTTAGTAGATGTGTGTGTGTGTGTGTGTGTATGCACACATGTGTGATATGGTGCAGTGTGCATGTGTATGTGGGATGTATTGGGAAGCATGTGTGGTGTGGTGTGCAATATGTGGTGTGTAATCTGTGTGATGTGATATGTGGGGAATGTATATGTGGTGTGGTATGGTATGTGGGGAGTGTGTGTATGTCTGTGTGTGTATGGTAGGTGGTGTGTATCTGGTGGTGATGGATGGGACTGGGAAGTGAGTGTTGAAAAGTAAATTGGTCCTCTGGCAGCTACTGATTTTAAAATGATCTTGTTCTGAGGCAAGAGTCGATAGCCATGCGTAATTATTTTCTTGTCCTTGGCAGTGGGATGTTCTATGATGGGAACCACACCTATCTCATTGAACCAGAAGAAAATGACACCTCTCAAGTAAGTGCTCCCTCTGTTTGCTGTGGCAAATGTAAAAATTGATATTGGGAGCTTTTCCCCTTCATTTTTCCTCTTTTTATTTTATTTTTATAAATAAAAATATTTTTATATATTTTAATATTTTAAATATTTATTTTTATAAATAAAATATTTTTTATTTCTTAGTCAGGATAGTAAATATAAATATATACATATATATAAAATATTGAATAAGTCAAACTCACAAGGTTGTTTTGTTTTGTCTTTTTAGCCTTTTACTCTGTGTATTGGAAATTTCTTCTGAGGTGTTCTGAAACCTCCATTTTTGTTCTGTCTCCACCATCATGTGCTAGGATTTGTCTTAGTTTGCTCAGGCAGGAACAAGATATTGGAGGGCTTAAATAACACAAATTTATTTTATCATAGTTCTGGTGCTTGGAAGTCCAAGATGAAGATGCTGGCAGGATCCATGAGGGCTCTCTCCTTGGATTGCAATGGCCTCTTTCTTGCTGTGTGCTCACATGACAGAGAGATAGAGAACTGTGGTGTCTCTTCTTAAAAGGGCACCAGCCCAACCCCACCCTTAAGACCTATTTTAACCTTTATCACCTTCTCTTAGGTCCTGTCCAAATACAGTCACATTGGGAATTTAGGCTTAAACATATGAGTTTTTCAGGGAGGACACAGACATTCAGTTTATAACAGACCAAATCAATAGATATGTGATTTTCCACCTCTGTTTTGTTTCTAGAGTTCAGATTTTTCTATGTTGCCCATTGTCTGTAGGGCCTTCTGCTGATGAAATGTAGAGAAATCTAAATTTTTTAAATTATTTGATTTATTTTAGTTGAAATATTCATTTTCCATAAGTGAAAAAAGCATTGAGTTTATATGGTAGACTGCAGAGAAACATAATACACCTCCATTCTAGCTCTGTGCAGGCAAATATTCTTCCTTGGGTCATGGAACATTGTTCAAACACTTAGGCAAGTAATTTCTAAAAATACACACTGTTTTGCCACCCATAAAGTGCAGCTATTTGTATTGTATTTTACTTTCTGGATGCCTATTGCTGGCTATTGTATCACTTTACCTGGAGGTGATTTTTTTTTTTTTTACAGCAATATCATGAAACTTGACTGTTTATGACATTTGGGTTTTTTTTGTTTGTTTTTTTTTACTAGAAAGGAGCCAGAAGTAATTATTTGAATGCTCATTAATTTTTCTTAGATGAAATATGGCTTTTTGTCTGTTAGTTTGTCACAGAACTTGTATGATATTTGAATTTTTGAGCAGGATCCGTTTGAGCATCTACTTGTACCTGTCATCCTACTCCCTGATACTAGAAGAGTGTTAGCTCTGCAGTCCTTGCCTAACAAAAGTTAGTTATCTGCCTCTTAAAGTGGGGCAGGGATCCATGGAAAGGAATCAGTTATAAAAAGCATTAGTCCATTTTCCCAGATGTCTTACTCCTCCTTGGGGGAATAGGTTCATTCATTTATTTTCCATTACTACAGGCTTTGGCTTCTCTGTCTGCAAAAGCATTTTGTTTCTAATAGATCTCTCCAGTGCCAGGGGAATCCAGGAGCAGGAGAGGCTTGTGTGGTGGCTCCTTGCCTTTTCAAATCCAGAAGAGTGTGTAATCAAGCTAGGATTCTTTTAGGTGTCTTAGCTGCTTCAGCTCTCATTGCTTGAGGTTGGAGATAACTGGTCAGTCCCACGTGCTTAATCTCTGTTGTTTGTCTTCTTTCAGGAGGATTTCCATTTTCATTCGGTTTACAAATCCAGACTATTAGAATTTCCCTTGGATGATCTTCCATCTGGTATGACATTCATATTATGATTTAAAAAAATGTCAACTTTAATAATTCATTTTAATGCTGTGGAGCTTATCTCTATGTGGAATATCCTTAGCTCATGACTGCTCATAACAATTTTAGAGATAAAGTGACAGCAAGTCAAGGACATCAAGAGGGAGAATAAAATGCCAACTGACCTCATGTTTATAGTGGATGAATTTGGAAAGATAGAGCTTGAGCACATTGAAAGACTTTTTAAAATTAGAAAAATCAGAGTAAGGTATTTCTGAAAGGAGAAATAAGTTAGAGCAAAAATTGGACTGCATAGACAAAATATAAACTTCACTTTTGATGAGATACTGATTCTGTAAACAGGGATGAACTTGTAATCATTTTCCCATTTGTTGTTTTCCTCATCTCTTTTTGCCTCAGCATTTTAAGAAAGGATGATTATAGATTAATGCTTTTTATTTTTATTTTTAAAAAAGGATTCATTTATTTCTTTTAGAGAGGCAAGGGGAGGGGCTGAGGGGGAGGAAGAGAGAGAGAGAATCTCAAGCAGGCTCCTCAGTGAGCATGGAGCCCAACTCGGGGCTCGATCTCACAACCCTGAGACCTGAGCTGAAACCAAGAGTTAGATGTTTAACTGACTATGCCACCCAGGCTCCCCTAATTCTTTTTATTATGTTTTTTTTTTTTTTTTCGTAGAAAATAGCCTTTCCTTCTCATATGTGTTTGTTTACAGGCACATTTATTTATAGTTGTTGGTTTGAGCTGCTTCCAAATCTTCACATGACAAGTAGGGCAGCATACTTATACTTTCTTCTCAGTAGTGGAGCAGTGATTGTATAGAGTGCATTTGCCTCTGGCTATATAAGATTCATTGGCTTTCTCCTTCTGAAGGTAGCACACACTCTGAATATCTAGTGTGGAGGGGCTTCCTTTCCTATTTAGTGAGCCCTATGGCCTTAGTACATTCTAATTTTTAATCTCACTTTCATCTTTGCTACAGCTCTGTAAGATTGATAGAATTATTTACATTTTACAGAAGAAGAAATAAGCTCAGCTAGCTTGTCTTTTTTAGGGTCCCACAGCTAGCTAGGGACTGAGCAGGGGTTTGCATTGTGCCCCTGTAAGAATGTGTGCTGGGAGAGAAGCAGAGGGAAATGGAGGAATCATCCGGCTGAGAGCATATCCTAAACTACTGCTTAGGAAAACCACTTAAACATTTTCATTGTTGGGGCAGCTGGCTGGGTCAGTTGGAAAAGCATGTGACTTCTGATCTTGGGGTTGTGAGTTCAAGCCCCACAATGGATGTAGAGATTATTTCAATAAATAAAAACTTTTTTAAAAAAAGATTTTGTATATTCATTCATGAAAGACACAGAAAGAGAAAGGCAGAGACATAGGCAGAGAGAGAAGCAGGCTCCATGCAGGGAGCCTGATGTGGGACTTGATCCTGGGATTCCAGGATCACACCCTGGGCCGAAGGCAGACGCTCAACCGCTGAGCCACCCAGGCGTCCCCAATAAATATAAACTTTTAAGGAACTTTACATTGTCTCTTCATTGGAAAATGAAATGAATGTCTGCTAATGCCCCTTCTCTGAAATAGATTTGTAACTCCTTGATCTGCACTTCTTTTCTCCTGCTGCCAAAGGGATTGGGGATGCTGTTTTATAGAACTCAGTATTTTGAAATATCTGCTAATAACCATAAAGATGCTCTTACTTTACGCAGATACTTTAGACTGTTCCTTCAGTTATCTTATGAAACTTTTACAATCCCTGTGATGGAAGGAAAGTAAATCATGACTAGCTGCCTGAGAATAAAGCTACAATCTAATAGGTCTTACTGGAAGCAATAAACATTAATTAAAATTTAAAGTAATAAATAAAAATCCCCCTAAGGACTTTACTGTGATTGAATCATACAGTTGTTTTGTTTTTTTAAACTTTGTTCAGGGTTTCTTTTCCGCAGAAACTTTAAAGATAACTTGACAGTTTTGCTGTCATTAAAAATAATTTTGAACATCTTCTAAAACTCAGATCTGTCTCAGTTTCTGGTTTCCTTTTCTCATCAGAAATTGGCACAATTTTAAGAGTGTTACTTTTCTTTCTAAATGCTTGGATTTATTATGATAGGTTAGAAAAAATTCTTGTGAAGCTTAAGAATAAGCTTGTTTATTTTAGGTTTAATAAAGTTATCCTGGGCCTTGGGTTATCAGTACCCTTGTCTTGCTGTGCATTATGTATTTCCCAGAGATAGAATAGAATCAGGTGTTCCCCAAACTTGTTTAACTGTAGAACCTTTTGTTTTATATGACACATCTCTTAGGACTAGTTTCCCTAAGAAAACATTTGTTTGTTTCCTTCAGACCCCTTAGCACAGTCTGTTTTAAAAATTACTATAATAAAATATATAAATCTTGTATACCATTAGATGAGTTTTGACACATGTGTAAGTCCTTTGGTGAGATTTGGCACATTCCTATCACCCCAGTACCTTCCTTTGTGCCACGAACCACCCACTTCTGCAGTCCTTTTTCTGCCCACCCCCCCCACCATTGTTTAGCTTGTTTTAGATCTTCATGAAAATGGAATCACACATTGGGTTCAGCTTCTTTTACTTAGCATATGCCTATGAGATTAGTGTTGTCAGAGGTAGCCACAGTTTATTCTTTTTAATTATTATGTTCTGCTGTTTGAAGATACCACAGTCTTTTTATCCATTTTGTTGATGGATATTTGGGTTGTTTCCAGTTTTTGGCTGTTATGAATAAAAGAACTCTATAAACATTCTTATAAAAATCTTTTTTGTGGACACATGTTTACATTTCTTCTGTCAAATACCTGGCAGTGGAATTACTGGGTAGATATGTGTTTGTACAATAGTGCTCTCAAACTGCAGAGTGTATCAGAGAATCACCTGGAAGCTTGTTAAACACAGACCGCTGGATCCCATGTCTAGAGGGTTTTTTCAAGCCACTTAATTGAGATATGAATGACATTAGAGAAAAGCTGTACATACTTAATGTATACAACTTGACGAGTTTGGAGAAAAGTGTACATCCCTGAAGTCATCACCATAATCTATGTCATTAACTCTAAAAGTTTCTTTCCACCCTCTTTATTATTATTATTACAGTAGTAGTGGTAGTGGTGGTGGTGAAAAGTATACACTGTTAGCAAAATCTATACATCATAGTATTATTAATTCTAGACATTCTGCTGTACAGTAGACCTTTAGGACTCATTCATCTTGTACAACTGAAACTTTGTGCCTTAGACTAATACCTCCCTGTTTCCCCCTTTTCTCAGCTTCTGGCAACTATCATTCCACTTTCTGCTTCTAGGAGTTTGACTATTCCTCATATAAGTGATATCATGTAGTATTTGTCCTTTTGTATCTGGCTAGTGTCACTTAGCAAAATGTCCTCCAAGTTCATCCATGTTGTCACAAATTGAAATATTTCTATTTTTTTAATTCTGAATAATACTTTATTGCATTTAATACCACGTTTTCTTTATCCATTCATCCAATTATGAACATTTCGGTTGTTTCTGTATCTTGGCCTTTATGAATCATGCTGCAGTGAACATAGGAGTACAGCTATCTCTTCGAGATCCTGATTTCAGTTCCTTTGACTGTATACCCAGAAATGGGATTGCAGGATCATATGGTATTTCTGTTTTAATTTTTTGAGGGGAACCTTCATACTGTTTTCCACAGTGGCTGTACCAAATTCTAGAGTTTTTGATTAAATACGTCTTGGATGGGTTATTAGAGTTTGCATTTCTAACAAGTCCCCAGGTAATGTTGCCACTCATGTATAGATGGTACTCTGAGAACTACTGTTGTCTGAGAAATTGCTGAACCTTTTTCTAAAGTGGTTATACCATTTTAGACTCTCATCAGCACTATATGGGAGATCTAATTGTTTCACATCTTCATTGGCATTTGGTGTGTTATTCTTTAATTGAAAGTCAGTAGTGAAAGGCTAGATTGGCTATTCAGAAGATTCTTAATAAGGAATATGATGGTATTTATAGGAGAAATATGAGAAAAATTTTTAGGTAAATTAGAACAGGAATAGTATTGAGATTTTAAAAATTTTATTCATTTATGATATATTTTTAGTATTAATATGAACACAATTATTTTGATTAATGTTCTACATTATCTTTAAGTATAACATATATCATAAAATTTATAGTAACCATATAGTTATTTATATAATTTGTTATTTATATTATTAATAACTATAATAATTGCTAATAGTTAATAACTGAAGTATTATTATACAATTTATATTAGGAAGGGATAGTAAAACTTTGATTGCCCTATCTGGAAGAAAACTGACAAATGCACTAAGTTAATTTATTTTTAATTCCTTTTAGAATTTCAACAAGTACACATCACTCCACCAAAATTTACTTTGAAGCCAAGACCAAAAAGAAGTAAACGGCAGGTATGTATACACAGGTATATTCCATGATGTTTTGAAGACACTGGCAACTGCTATTCGTTTAAATCTATATTAAGTCTCTATAGGAAGGTTAGGTATTAGTTCAGGCATTTGTCAGGCTGTAGTAAACAGTAAGGTGACAGATCTGTAGGAGCAGTGAAGGAGGGCCATATTGTTCATAGACTCAAAAGGGACTCGGGATAGTGATGCTAATATGGTTATGGTTATTCATCATACAGATGGATTATGGCCCTTGCAGTGGCATCTTAGGTTCTTTCTATCAGGCCTCTTTCCTTTCCTGGGTTGTACCACATCATGGAGCCTATTTGTAAAGATACCCTCTTAAGAATGAATCCACCAGGTTTTAAAGCCACAAAATGCTATTGTCACACGTGAGCTATGTTGGAGTCTGGGATGTAAACTCAGGATGTCAGCTTTATGAATGTTCAGCGGATCTTGGACTTAGCAAAAATAATTACTTGTGTGATGCTTTACACCACATGAAGTAGGTTCTGTTAATCTCCTTTGCAGGAAAAAAAATGATATCTTTGAAATATGAAGATAACTTGGCTAGAAACAGAGCTGGGAAATGGTTTAGGTGAAATAAGAGCTCCAGTCATCAGAATACCATATGATTTCTCTCATTTGTGGAATCTAAAAAGTAATGAATAAACAAACAAAAAGCAGAATCAGACCTGTAAATATAGAGAACAAACTGGTGGTTGCTAGAGGAAAGTGAGTGGAGGGGATGAGCAAACTGGGTGAAGGGGAATTGGAGACACAGGGTTCCAGTTAGGAAATGCATAAGTCATAGGAATAAAGGGCACAGCACAGGGAAATCAGCCATATTGTAATAGTGTTGTTTGGTGACAGATGACAGTTACCCTTATGGTAAGTACAGCATAATGGATGGAGAAGTTGAATCACTAAGTTGTACATGTGAAACTAATGGAATATAGTGTGTCCACTATACTCAAAAAAGGAAAGGAAAGGAATGAACAGAACTCTGGTTATTAGAATTAAGATACCATATATTATGTATGTGTGTTGGCATAAAAAAAACACAAGCCGAGAGAAATAGACCTCTATTAAGATTTCTAGTAAGAAGCCAGTTATCTGGGCAGCCCGGTTGGCTCAGCGGTTTAGCGCTGCCTTCAGCTTAGGGTGTGATCCTGGAGACCTGGGATCAAGTCCCACATCAGGCTCCCAGCATGGAGCCTGCTTCTCCCTCTGCCTGTGTCTCTGCCTCTCTCTCTCTGTCTCTCATGAATAAATAAATAAAATCTTAAAAAAAAGAAACGAGTTATCTTCTGTTTAAAATATTTTTAGTAAGTATAAAATAAAATACGTGTATAGGGTCATTTCTAGTGTCAGTAATAATTGCTTTTTTTAATTGAGGCACAGATACCTGTGCCTGGCTCTGTTCTAAGAATTTTAATTGTATTAACACATTTAATCCTCATAAAAATCTTATGAGGAAAGTATTATTATTATCCCCTTTTACTGCTAAAGACATTGAAGTGTAAGAACTTAAGAACCTTGTCCAGGGTTATAGTGAGTTATTCAATGGTAGAGCTCAGATTCTGACCTGGAAAGTCTGGTCTCAGAGAAGTGCTTATGACCACATATGCTTTGTACTGCCTCTCAGAAGGCTTAGTGTTCCATGAATTGCTACCACAAGCTTTATATATTTTGTGAATATATGTATATACTGAGGGCTAGTTACTCATCTACCTAGCCCAACTAGGTAGATGGGGAACAGAAATAAGAAAGAAAAAAAAAGAAATAAATTAAGTTAAATAAATTAAGATTGCCAAAAAGATTAATTTGAAATAGTGTTTATTTTCATGAATTATGAGATCAGAGAATAGGATAGTTTTCTTTTAACACGTTCCTTGAAGTTGTTCACAAACATCTGTGATACCCCATCATTTGAAGGCAGGCAAACACTGGATTTCTTTATCTGAGACAGCTGTCTGCCCATGATGGTGAAGTGCTATAAAACTGTATGGCTAGTATAGCAGCTCTCTGACATTAAGAAAATGTTGAGTCTTGTTAGAAAGTCTGCTGTATTAACTGGTAAGGTTCTGGTCTCTTCCACAATTACAAAGCAGATACTATCATCCTAGGCATTGTTTTTAAAAAGGCTCGTGTCATTGGATGCAGTTTATATTACCTCTTGGTTTCTAGACCGAGAATTATAGACTATTATTCCTTGTCAACTTGGTGTAATACGGGATTTGAATTTTTAAAAAAAGCTTAAAAGTTCGGAAATACATTTAGTACTGAAGCAAAATCCATGTGGCAGCAGGTTTTGTTTATTTTAAATGCATCTCTCAAAGCAAATGTTCATGTATTGATTTAGGTTTGATTGTATACCCCCTCACAAAAATGGCCATTGGACAAGTGAATAAAAAGATTTACTGAAAAAATGTATATCAAAGCATGGAGTAATGGAAAAATTTAATTTTATAGATCTTGTTAAAGATTATATTATAGATGAACTGCAGGATACAAAGACACTGCCTTAGTGTCTCCTACCGTGGCATCCACTGATCATGATTTTGAAGGTGGAGAAAATTCAATATTGAATAGACAGATATATTATAGCCGTACTAGCTAACCCAGAACTGCCTAGAAGCTCTCAAAACTATCAGAACAAAGCTTTTATGTCATTTGGGGGATCCCTTGAGCTGTACCAGAGGAAGAAAGGGCATTCTCAATTTAAGATTTGGAGGTTATAAAATAAAAATGTCCATTAAACACTTGCTGCATCCCTTTAAGATCCTCAGAAGCTTAAATTAAATGAGAAAGAATGTATTTCATGTGTTATAATCTCCAAGATAGACTGGTAAATGAAAATTACCTGATACAAAAGCTAGTGAAATAAATGGAAGTACTAAATAAAATGTTATATTTGATTTTATATGCATAAATATTTCTGGAAGCAACCAGTAACTGTGGTATACCCATTGTGGGTGAAGGGTTAGCAACTAGGTAGATGGGGAACAGAAATAAGAAAGAAAAAAAAAGAAGAAAGACTTTGATTCTGAACCTTTTTATAGTTCTTTAATCTTTGAATCATATGAATTTATTACCTATTCAAAAACTGAGTAAAAGTGACAAAAATGAAAAAAATTCTGAAGGAATAAAAGTGGAAATTTTGTTTATTTCTCTCATGTTTTAGTTTTTTAAAATTAAAAACATTTTTCAACCTTGTTGAAGTATAATTAATTGACAAAGTTATAAGGTATTTGAAATGTACAGTGGAATAATTTGATGTAGATATACATTGTGAAAGGAACTCCCCATTGAGTTAATACATCCATCACCTCACATATTTATCTTTTATCTTAATGAAAATATTTAAATTCTGTTGGCAAATTTTGATTATACAGTACGGCATTATCAATGTTAGTGTCTATCAACAAATGAATGTATCAAGAAAATATGTTATATATGTTATATACGTATAATGGAGTTTCACCCTCTAAAAAGAAGGAAATCCTGTCATTTGTCAACATTGGTGAACCTGGAAGGTTCATTATCCTAAATGAAATAAGTCAGACAAGAATGATAAATCCTGCATGGTATCACTTATATGTGGAACCAAAAAAAAAAAAAAGTCAAACTCACAAAACAGTAGAAAAATGGTTGCCAAGGGCTGTGAGAATGGGGAATAAGCAGAGTTTGGAAAAAGGGTAGTGTGATGTGTAACATAATGTATAACATATTTCTTAGTTTTCCACAGCCAAGTTCAGAGGGCTTATTTAGGTGCTATTTTTCCTTTACCATATTGCAGCTTCGTCGACATCCTCGTAACGTAGAGGAGGAGACCAAATATATTGAGCTGATGATTGTGAATGATCATCTAATGGTAGGATTTGCTGAGTCTTTTGTTTGAATTTGTCTGTGCCTAGAGGTAAAACTGGTGTGTGCAGAAGTAGGTTTTGGAAGAAACAAGAATCCCAGAAAATTATAATTTGGAGAAGACATTTGTGTAGCCAAATATATTTGTTAGCCAGTAACAACCTCTAAATTGGAAACATTCTTAGGTGGAAGTAACTAGCAGTATTTTGTAAGATCCCAAAAATATTTCTTTGACTTAAAATTAGTCAACCCTTTGGATTTGTTAAATGAATATTTTAATATTGGAGAAATCAGTGAGGCACCAGTAGTATGATGCTTTGGTTTGCAGTGTACAACTTTATCCTAATAAAAGAAAAGCAACTTTTCAATTTCTGACCTACTCTGCAGCAAGCCATATGGAAATGCTTATATAGGCAAGCAGTGAAGATTTTGGGATAGGATTCTGGCAAAACTTCCTTCTTGATGAGTCATTTATTTTGACTCCAAGTGTGCATACTCAATTTATGGGCATGTTGCAGTAAGTAGCTTACATTGAGCACTTAACAGTGAGTTATAATGTTAATTACTCTGTGTAGCCACCGTTTTAAACTAAACATGTTCAGTGTTGCACATTGCTGAATTTTACTTAATTTCAGGTAAAAATGCACTTTAATTTGCTTTGAGTGATTTGAGGGAAAATGTGCCATTTGTTTGCATATGATTAAACAGATATTGATCATCTATTATTACTGTTGCTAATGATAACAATCATAAATCTAGATTGAGTGCTGCTTCTTTGTTCAGGCTAAAACTAAGTTTTATCTTTCTAACTTCTTTGAAGTCAGTGAATGTTACTGTTTCCTGAGATTTTTTTCTTGATCAGAGTAAGTTTTAAGAACATATATTTGGACATTTTAGGATAGTGCACATTCAGATGTCTATAGAGATCTGTAGGCAGGTAACCCAAATGAAGTAAGCCAGATGTAAAGCAGTAGGGAGACATGAGGCCTGTGGCAAAGGAAGAGACACATGGCCTGTCTAGTGGGAGTGGCTGCCTCTTAGTACCTGCTAGTTATCAACATGGGAGGATGCTAATTTTAAGGGAATCCAGAAATCAGGTTTTACATGATATTTCCTGGTTTTAAAAACACTGTTGAGGCCAAACAAAAGGTTTATGTCATCCACATCTAGTCTTTAAGCTAACTCTTTGTGACCCTTGCTATAGGGCTTTCTTCTCCTTACTAATTAAGTCTTGTAGAACTTGTAAGTTTTTATACTTATAGCAGTATTCATGTATACTTTTTCTATCCACCCTACTTAAATTTGTATGTCTTGCATTCGTAGACAACTTTCATATATTTTATCATTTTGAGTAACAGTTTTGTGTTAAAAATAAACTTGTGAAATGGATAGAATAGGTATTTTTTACTTCATCTCACAGTTGAGTAAACTGAGGCCTCAAATTTTTAAGAGTCTTGCCTCAGACTGCACAGCATTATAAAGAACTAGTTCTCAATTCATGCTTTTTACAGAAAGGCATAGAGATGTTTCAATTACACTGTTTTCTCTGCTTAGGTGATTATTTACTGATGACTTTGGAAGCCCTTCACTTGCTTTTTTGTTTGTTTTGTTTTCAGTTCAAAAAACATCGGCTTTCTGTTGTACACACCAATACATATGCGAAATCTGTAGTGAACATGGCAGATTTAGTAAGTATCAACTGGATTCAATATTGTCATAGAGGAATTTCATCTTCTGATTGCTAACAGACGGGATAATATGGTTCTTAAAATTTTGGTGCTCTGAATTGCTCTTCAGGCAGGGTGTCCCATAAGTTCCTAGTGACCTTGCAGTGGACTTCATTGATTTTGATCTTTGGCTGGGAAGATAATAAAAGGAGGTGGTTAAAGTTACCCATGAACTTATGCTTGAAATTACTCCTTATATTTTTCACATTGAAAAATAAAAAGTTGAGTCCTAGCCCTTAACAAAAATATTCATGATATATTTTCCAACATCAGAGAAATATACAGTGACTGCTATTTTCAAGAGAGTGCCTGGTTCTGTGGGAACGATACACTAAGTAATCCTACTGTATTTACTTTCTGAATCTTTTCTTGACAAGGCAATGCGGGTACTTTCTCCACAAGTTTAATTGGAGCCAATCAGGTTACATAGAAATCATATCCTTCAGGATTCTTCATTGTCCTGTTCTTTGCTTGGGAAACCCAAAAATGCATAAATTCTTTCTCCAGGGTACCAGACAAGAGACTCAGGGAGATCCTTGAAAAAGGGTGCAAATATTTGTCAAGAAGTGATCTCTTGTTTCTAATTAGTGCTCTTTTCTTTGGGTATTAGTTGTAAACGGTTTGACTGTTACTCAAGGAAAATGCATGTGAATTAGAAAAATAATTATCTCCCTTAAAAACAATGTAATTTTTACATTTAACTAAAACTCAAGAGTTTTCATAAAAGGAGCCTTATAGACTTATTCATAAATCATTTGATTTTACCTCATGTATAGCCGGTGTGTTCATTTTGTTAATATATCAGATATATAAAGACCAACTGAAGACAAGGATAGTATTGGTTGCCATGGAAACCTGGGCAGCTGACAACAAGTTCGCCATATCTGAAAATCCACTGATCACGCTACGTGAGTTTATGAAATACAGGAGGGATTTTATCAAAGAGAAGAGTGATGCAGTTCACCTTTTTTCGTACGTAGTTTATGATTTATTACTTTTTTTGGTTCCCTGCTGAATGTTCCATTACTTGTGACTGAGATGTATCCTTTCTCCTGTGTAATGCAATTAGGATTTGACATGCCAGATACATTTGGAAGAAGTTTTAAAGTATAGATTGTTTGAAATTGTCATGAAAGTGTAAGAGGTTTAATTTTGAATTATTTTATTATTGCATGCATATTTTTACTTAATTTTCAAGAGATTCAATCAGCATTTGAGTAGAAGTACTGTTAATTCTCAAAGAATATTCTTGACAGATTATATTCTTTTAAGCTTCTACATTTTAAATGTTAATGTTACCTTTGCTTTGGTTCTAAGGGGAGATCTTAGTATTTCTGGAGTTTATTTTTAATTTTTTCTCACTTGCATGGGTTTTTTTAGGGGGATAAAATGCATAGTTGATATAACAGCATTTAAAAAGAAACCTATTATGTAAAGATCTGTTGAAGGAAGTTATAAGTGGAAGTAAAAGAGTATCTTGGGTAACTTTTGCATTTTACACAATTTCAAATTTATAGAAAAGTTGCAGGAATACTACAAGGAAATATCATATGCTCTTTACCCAGATTCATCAATTTACATTTTACCCCATTTGTTTATGGTTTTCTTCCTTCTTTCCTTCTTCCCTTTTTCTCTTCCCTTTCTTCCTTTTTTCCTTTCATCCATTTATCTTTTTTTTTCCTGAACCATTTGAGAGCAAGGGGGGAGATACTTATTGAGCCTTCACTACTAAATACATGTATGTTCCCTAAAGATGAAGACATTCTCTTATATCACGAAAGTAAATTATTAAAACTTGAAAATTTAACAGTGATACAATACTTTTAAGTAACCCATCTTCTATATTTAACTTTCTCCAATTGTCTGAATAATGTCATTGATAGCTAATTCCCTCTCCACATTCAGGAGCCAGTCAGGGTCATGCATTGCATTTGTCCTGTCTCTTTAGTCTCCTTTAATTTGACAGATTTCCTTAGCCTTTCTTTGTTTATTGTGGGCTTAACATTTTTGAAGAATGTAGGTCAGCTTTTTTATAGAATGTGCCCCATTGTGGGGATATCTGATGTTTTCCTATTAAGAGAGTCAAGTTAGGCATTTTGATCAGAAGTGATTTTGTATCCTTCTCAGAGTACATCATATTAATAATTTTTAAAAACAGGTATAGTTCTGTTGAAGATATTATTGCTCACGTGGGGAAATATCCCTCAGAAACTCTTTTTTTTTCAGTTATGTGTGTAAACAATATTCACATTCCTCCCTTACCTTAGGAATATACAGTATAAGAATGTATTTGCATTGAGAAAATAAGTGTGGTAAATTAATAATGAGCGGTACGGTGATATTTGAACTCTGAACAGTAAGCATTTTTCATTTCCTTTTCTAAAAGGGGAAGTCAATTTGAGAGTAGCCGGAGCGGGGCAGCTTATATTGGTGGGATTTGCTCGTTGCTGAAAGGAGGAGGCGTGAATGAAGTAGGTGTGAACATCTGTACAATACAAAGTGGTATGATGGCTGAAAATGTTTTCCTAATATTTAAGAGATAATTTCTCATATTCCATATTCCCTAAATGTTAGGTTGTTTTATTCAAAATCAGTATGGTTACTATAAATGACTGGAGGACAGAGGATAAGAAAATAATGGAAGATAATATTTGATAATTCTCTTCATAATTCTACCTAGAATAATCTCCAAATATAGCTATTTATAGATTATATAGGTAAAGTCTTTAACTTTATTGAAAATAAGTCCCTTTTTTTTGGCTGATTTCCTAGAGAATTGAATAATTCCCAAAGCACTGGCTTACTATCTAACAACTCAGTTGGAAATTTTCTTCCTTCTTCAATATTTGGCAAATTTTTGGAGAAATAAATAGACTAAGTTTTCCAAAGAGTTCCTTTTACCCCTCAGGTACTAAGTCTGATGGAAGTGATCTAAAAGAAAAACACTTGAGTCTGCATATTGAAAAAATATCTATAGGTCTTCTCAAGTTTCTTTTGCCCACACATCATTACCATGTCTTATTACTCATACCATTTGTTTGCTGAAGCCACATCCTTTTTAATTTGGGGAAATTTCAGGAGTGCAAGTGGACACACAAAAATGAACAAGTTTCAAATAATTTAGACATTTATTTTTATTATTATCTGAAAGGCTAATTTAAGTATATACAAGTATAGGTTTTTGAGAAATGTCACTAGTGAAATTTGGACTCAGAATTAGGCTTAAATTTCTACACCCAAAAGGTGGTGATTCTCTGGCTTCTAGTCTTCCATATAAGATTGAATCAAACATGGATTTATTTCTTACAGTGTTTTCCCAAATGTTCCGTAGTTCAGCTTTAGCTACTGTATGTTTAACCTCTGCTAAATAAGATGCTTAGAAATTACTTATTTCCAATTATATTGTGACATTTTTCTCTGGCCCATCTTTAAAAAATAATTTTTGTTTACATGTCTTTTGTTTTTGTTTTTGTCTTTCAGTTTGGGAAAACTGATTTAATGGCAGTTACACTTGCCCAGTCATTAGCCCATAATATTGGTATTATCTCAGACAAAAGAAAGTTAGCAAGTGGTAAGTTCAGCCTTGTGGTTTAGTTGTATTTAAAATAGACCACCTATAAATATTTTGGAGAATGAGATTTTAAATTCAGTTACTTGATCAAAAGAGTTTGGGTGATAGCATAAGATAAACAGCTGGGACATACAATATTTTTTTCAAAAGTGATAAGGTGATATTTGCCCTGGAGGTGAAAATCTTTCCATGTGTCATAAACATTTAAAACTGTGCGATGATAAATTCATTGTTGAATTTGACTTAAAAAAAGGACAAAATAAACTCAGGTAATTTTAAGTGGCCTCGTAGAGAATCCTAGGCATGTCAGTTTAAGGCATGCTGTTTTATTATGGTTTATTTAAAACATCTCTTGAGACTCCTGGGTGGCTTAGTGGTTGAGTGTCTGCCTTTGGCTCAGCATGTGATCCTGAGTCCGGGGATCGAGTCCTGCATCAGGCTCCCCCTCAGGGGAATCAAGCATCAAATATTTGGAGTAATCTGATTAGAACCATATTTATTTCATTATTTTATAAATTTTTAAAAATTTTTAATAAAGATTTTAGTTATTCATGAGAGACACACACAGAGAGAGAGGCAGAGACATAGGCAGAAGGAGAAGCAGACTCCCTATGGGGAGCCTTATGTGGGATTTGATCCAAGGACCCCAGGATCATGACCTGAGCCAAAGGAATATGCTCAACCACTGAACCACCCAGGAGTCTCTTATTTTATTAATAACAAATATAAATATGATTGTTTATATTAATAACTATGACCATTTTATGAAGTGCCCATTATATGACAGATAACTGAATGCCAGTATTACCTACATCTAGATACTCATTTAATCCTCAAGGTAATCCTGCAAGACCTATTGCTAGCCCATCTTACAGAATAAGGTGCCTGGATGTTGAAAGGGTAATGTCTCCAAAATTACTCACATATTAAGTGGCAAGTCCAGATTTGGGGGCCAGGTATTGTAAACCTTTCTGCCTAACCAGTTTACTGTGCTGTCTTCTAGCCGGCAGCCTTGGTGCAGAGGTTTTAAATCTGGACTGGACAAGAAATTGTAAGAATTCCCATAAAGGACTGTGAAACCAGAACCCTATAGTGATGCTATTTCATTGGTATTATATTGTTAAGCCATTTTAAAGCATTTAATGAATGTTTTAAAATAAGGCCACTTGTTAAAATACCAAGATTTTACTTTAGTAAAAATTATATAATCTTGATATGGTCAAAGTGGATTTTTGTTATTATGCATTGCATATAAAACTTTGAATATAAGGAAAATTAGAAAGTGGGTATTGCTTTTTAAAATGTACTTAAGGAATAAGGTGAAGATATACTTTTAAAAATAGACTACTATACTGCACCTGTTTTCACTCTGTAAAAAGGCATGTGTTTTCATTTTCTCTTAGGTGAGTGTAAATGTGAGGACACGTGGTCTGGATGCATAATGGGAGACACTGGGTGAGCCACATCTTTTGAAAATAACTCAGTTTTCCTTTCCCTGCTGTGCTGTTGTCTCCTTAGGAGTATGACACCAACAACTTTGTACGTGGAACCTCACTACAGACATTAAAAAGAAAATTGGGTGTAGATTTTCTCAGTGGCTCTGTATTATAAAATATTTTCATAAAATAGTCTCTTATTTATAAAAACAATTGACGTCAGTTAAAATAGAAGACCAAAGACTTTGTTAGCCTTTAATCTAGGCTAGAAGTGTAAGAAGCAAGGACTAGCTTTGTTCTTCATGAATTACCTACTAATTTTCTTTTCTTTTGACTCTTCAATTCCAATTAAATGGGTTGTAAAAAGTATTGTGCTGGTAAGCTGATTCTCAAAATCAAAAACAAGAAAAGAGCCTGGATTTGTAGCTCTCTCAGATTTTTGTGGCTCAAACACAATGACTGATCTCAAGCTATCAGTAGTAGGGCACCGAACAAGGAATAGGAAATAGAAGTATACATTCTGTTCTCCTGAGAAGGGTTTTCATTTTTTATGCCCTTCATACACTATCAGATGCCAATCTTGTATTTATTTCTTCTTAAGAAACTGTACAACCATTCCTTTCATGCTAAGCTCAATCACTATATCTTTAAACTTCTATCATCTTGAGCTCTTATCCTAATAACATTCTAGATACTCAGACAACTTTCAGCCTCCCTCTCTCCCCTCCTGAACTCTATTTCCATCATCATTGAAAAGGTATAAAGAGTAGAAGAGTGAACCCTTGTATATCATCACCCAGCTTAAAAAAAAAATACCACCAACATAGTTAAATCCCCCTTGTATTCTCTCATACTGCTCCCCAGCCCAAGTTACTGCTGTCTTGAATTTGGTTCATATTATTCACAAACCCTTTTTAATACTTTTATTACTTATATGTATGCGTTGAAGTAATACAAAGCATTGATTGCATGTTTTTAGTTTATATAAAAGGAGTTGTACTATATGTACTCTTCCGTGATTTGCTTTTTTTGATCTTTATGTTTGTAAGATTTATCCATGCTAGTAAATATATAGCTCTAGTTCATGGAATGTATTCAGCACAGATTTCTCCCTTCTCTTCTTCATGCATGTGAATCATATCATTTTTCTGCTCAAAACTTTTGTGACTTTCTCTTGTCTGATGAATAAGGTTTAACGTTCTTCTGCCAGCACCTGGAGGAAGTGCATTATCTTTCTTCATCCTATTTATAATCTCATTTTCCACTGCTATTCATGGTCATTTGCTTATTACCATAGTTATATAGGGGTTTCCAGCCTTTTTGATTTTCTAACATAATCCTACATGGATTTTAAGCTTCTTAAAAATTTGCTCATCATAAATGTACATTAATTTCCAGCCTCTTTTGAGTCCTTCGATATATTCTCTTGATTTGGAATTCTCATTTTGCTCTAACTGCATTTCTAGCCATTTGAGATTTATCATAATTTTAACTCCTGCATTTGTAATTTAATTTTGTATGTCCTTATGCTTTGCCTCACTAGTTCGTTGTGAATTTTTGAGAATTACATCTTAGCTAATAGGTGTTTCTGTTTGACCTTACGTTGTAATATCTTGACACACTTGATTTTCAATAAATATTTATTGATATTGTAATTTTGAACTTCCAAGAAATGTATGAGAAGGAAGATAAATGATAGAGGGACTGTATATGCAAGCATGTATTAAAATATTTTACAAAATATCTTTGGACTTTCTGTTTAGTAATAGAAGGAAATGTTAAAAGTCCTTATCCATAGTTTCAGTTTTCCAACACTTACTAAATTACAAGCTAGAAGTCCTTGTCTTTTAAAAGCTATTTGGTATGTTATGTTTGATTATTCTGTTTAATTACTAAAAACAAAATTTTGGGGATCCCTGGGTGGCGCAGCAGTTTAGCGCCTGCCTTTGGCCCAGGGCGCGATCCTGGAGACCCGGGATCGAATCCCACGTCGGGCTCCCGGTGCATGGAGCCTGCTTCTCCCTCTGCCTGTGTCTCTGCCTCTCTCTCTCTCTCACTGTGTGCCTATCATAAATAAATAAAAAAAATTAAAAAAAATTTGTAGACTGTCTGCCTAGATTAAGCATAATGTGTAGCTAAATCAAATGGCAACACTCAGAAATGAACATAGCTCTTTCTGTTGGAACTCCTCTGATATCAAGTAGATGTGTGCAAGAGAAAAACTTAAAATAAAACGTTGTCTTACATGATGCTATATATAATTTGAGCTGTCTCAAACATCACCAGACTATTAATTATGGACACGTATTTCCTGTGGGTACTTGCCCTCTTGTTTCTACTTTATGAACTTTCTGTTTACTGCTACATGTTGGAAAGCAGGTTGGAATTAATAGCAATCCTATTTAAAGGTATAAAAACTAGAATTTTGAGAAAGCATTGTATATAATAGATACATTTTCCTGCCAAAAAGATTTTTAGGAAGAGCCTAGGGAGATCTGCTTTCAGGTATTTGAAGAGCCATGGCATGGTAGAGGAATTAATCTTATTTGGTACAGGTGACTTCAAAGAACTGTGTGGGACAGTTATAGGAAGTCTGATGTGGCACGGTGAAGGTAAGAACAAATTCCAAGTGTTTATATATAGAAGAGCTTTCCTGTGAGGTCGTGGGTTTCCTATCACTGTTGAGAGCAGACTGAATGCCCAGCTGGACAGTGGGCAGGAGCCTGGGCCAGGCTGAGACCCCGGATGGCTCCTTTGCAGGGCAGGAGTTGAACTAGACTTGGGAATCCAACACAAAGAGTTATTCACTTTTCCTTTGCCACGAGGGGAATCATCTTGAGTTTTGACCAGTAGAATAAAGAGGGAACTTGAAGAAACCTTATGTAAATTCCGTAACTTAGAGATATGTAGGATGGATTAGAGGAGAAGGCAAGAAAAAATTGGCTAGGGTGCCATTTGAAGGGAAAATTAGAAGTAATATGCATAACAAATTTTTTAAATAAAGAATAAATTTCATGACCTTTTAGGAAGATGAAATGAAGGAGGTAAAATAATTCAGATAGTGTAAACCCAGAATACCTTTATTTGGCACAAAACACTTGAAAAATTAGTTTAAGGTGAATAATCACTGTAAGTTCTATTCATTGATTCACAAAGCATTAATGTCTGTGCTAGAAAAAAGTAGGGATGTAATAGGACATAGTACTTACAGGCTGGTGGGAGAGACTTTATAAAAACCATCTGTTATTAATTGTGTCCTTACTTTAATAAAAGCTCAATGTAAAACAATCGTTTTTCAACAAATAGAGAAGGTTAAATTTTTATTACTTCTTGTTATTCAGTAATAGCCATGGTTAATGGTAAAATACTGCTAATCAGTACTTTTTCTTTTTTCCATTTTATCATTGTTTTATTAAATTTGGATCTTGTATATGTCATTTGTATATTTTATAGTTAACATTATATAGTCAGCATTTCTGAGTCTTTATTTTTCAGTGCCATAATTATTAAGAATTCCATGGTATTCTGTTTTATTAACATATCACAGTTTAGTTAACAGTTTTCTTCTAAACATTCATGTGATTTTTATGGCATTTGCTATTACAAATCATGCTACCAAAAGTTTCTTTCTTCTTATGTCTTTGTACCCATAGCTAGTTATTTCCTCTAGAAAAATTTCTTAAAGTAGAATTACTAGATTTAAGAATATTTCTGTTTGAAGATTCTTAATACATATTGCCAAATTGTTCTCTAGCTACATTTCTTTTTCTTCTGATCCCTTATTACCCGTTTTTGGATTTTGACGTAATCTTAAGAAAAGTTGCAAGAATAGTAACAAAGCATCTTTTTGTCCTCTGAATCCTAATTTGCTAATGTGATACCCCATCACCCCCAAATACCTCAGTGTGCATTGCATACAAACAAGTCCATCCTCCTACAGAACCAAAGTGCAACCAATAAAATCATCTAATTCTTAGCCCTCATTTAAGATAGCCTTGTATTCCAGAAATGCCTCCTTAACAAGATGGTTCAGAATCAAGTGTATCAAGTGTCGCATTTAGTCTTTATGCCTCTTATCTTACTTTAGTCTGAAACAGTTCCTTAGTTTTTCTTTGACTTTCATGACTGACACATTCATAGATTATAAAATCATTTATTTTGTAAAATGTTCTGCAATTTGGGATCCAGCCCAGTTTTTATATTTAAGAAAGACTCATTATGAAATAAATTGTTCCAAATGTTGATTGAAAATAGAGGTATGCGTGTGTTTCTTTTGAATGTATATCCTAATAATTAACAGTGCATAGTCACTATCAATCACTAAATGAAGAATTTAGAAATATACTGGTAGAATGAAAGTTTTATGGATTTAACACAAATGTACATATGTGAAATTTATTTTTCATTTGTAAGGATGATGTTACAATTTTAACAATGTTCAGGTTTAAGACTAGCATATAGATGAGGGAGACTAAAATTGTACCTAGTTATTGCTTTTTTTCTGTCTTACAGGTATTATCTTCCTAAAAAGTTCACCCAGTGTAATATTGAAGAGTATCATGACTTTCTGAATAGTGGAGGTGGTGCCTGCCTTTTCAACAAACCTTCTAAGGTACTAAGTGTGATCAGAATTATTAGTAATTAATCTTTCTAAGGTATTACTTAGTCATTGGCTCTTACAAAAGAAAACTTTCCAACTTGGCTTCTATGTCCCTATATTAGATACTTGAAATATCTGCATTTTTATTTTATTTTTTTAAGATTTTATTTATTAATGAGAGGCAGAGAGAGAGAAAGAGAGACATAGGTAGAAGGAGAAGCAGGCTCCCTGCAGGGAGCCCGATGTGGGATTTGATTCCAGGATGCTGGGATCATGCCCTGAAACAAAGGCAGATGTTCAACCTCAAGCCACCAAGGCATCCCTGAAATATCTGCATTTTATTTATTTATTTTTAATTTTTTTAGATTTTTTAAAAATTTATTTATTAGAGAGAGAGAGAGAGAGAGAGAAGGGCAGAGGGAGAAGCAGGCTCCATGCTGGGAGCCCAACGTGGGACTCGATCCCGGGTCTCCAGGATCATGCCCTGGGCTAAACCACGAAGCCACCGGGGCTGCCCAATAACCGTATTTTAAAGTCAACTTTAATCTTAGACATTTTGGGTTATTATTTTTTCTAATTTATTTATTTGAGAGAGAGAGAGAATGCATATATGTACATGCAGTGAGCTGGGTGAGGGGCAGGGGGAGAGGGAAAGAGAATCTCAAGCAGACTCCATTCTGAGTATAGAGCCTGATGCAGGGCCCATGCAGGGCTAGATCCCAGGACCCTGAGATCATGACCTGAGCCAAAATCAAGAGTCAGTTGCTCAACCAACTGAGCCACCCAGGCACCTGGCATTTGAGGCTATTCTGAGGGGAATAGAAAACAGGTGTAAATGAGACAGTGCGTTTTCTAAAAAAAATGATTAGCTTGCAAAGATGGTTTTATTTTCCTTTTTCATTTTCTTGGTTCTTTGTATATGTAATCACAACTCAAACTGATGGAAAGAGGGGAATTTCTTTCTTCATTACTCTCTACCCACTGCCTTTCAGAATGAGCAGCATGATTAAAATTACTTTTACTTCTCAGTATGAAAACCAAGGCTGCTTAAAGCAAAAAAAGGAGAAAGTCTTTGTGTACTTAGACCTTGTCAGAGGCATTTCCAACTTGCAGAACAGTCTCTGGTTACTGACTTGAAAGCAGATCTTCCTCATGTATTTGGAAAATTGCAGGTTAAAGCAGAATGCTTTGTCCTTGTTAATTATGTGAAATATTACGTGTTTCTGTGTGTGTACTACAGCAATATGTGGCATTGCCTTTATAATCATTTACCAGGTTTCATTCTCTGTCTATTCCAGTGAAATGTAGGAAGTGTATCATATTGCTTTGAAAAGCAGTGACAGGCAGCCTGGGTGGCTCAGTGGTTTAGCGCTGCCTTCAGGCCAGGGCATGATCCTGGAGACCTGGGATCAAGTCCCAAGTCCGGCTCCCTGCATGGAGCCTGTTTCTCCCTCTGCCTGTGTCTCTGCCTCTCTCTCTCTCTCTCTCTCTCTCTCTCTCTCTCTCTGCCCCCCTGTGTGTGTGTGTCTCATGAATAAATGGGTAAAATCTTAAATAAAAGTGACAATTTTAAAGACTCTTTGCAAAAGCTTCAGAAGGGATATTTGAACTCAATCCTGCTGCTATGAATGGAAAACAATTCAAGTCTCTTTACCAAAATGACTGATTATTTTGAGTTCGGAGTAGAAGAATAAGTGTATTTTTCATCTGGATAAGTTTTAGTTTTGGCTTTCAAAGCTGTTTCATTTATTATGATCCCTTTCAACTGAAAATAGAATCTAGAGATATATTGACTATTTGTAGGAGAGGAGAGAATATTTGAAATCAGGAGGGGATTTTGTTGTCATTGCTGCTTTTTTTATTGTTTTTTTTCCTTTTATTGTTTTTTTTTCCCTCTAGTTATTTAAGAAAGTGTGGGTGTGGGTATCTGTCTGTTGATAGGTATGTGTTCCATTCCATTCTATAATATGTAAACTTTGATGAACTTCTGAATGAATATTATATAACTGGGATATAGCAGCTACTTATTAATTTTACCTATCACTTATCATAAGATAAGTTATGCTCAAAAAATAATGAAATTAATGGAGAGTTTAAAAATAAAATAATCTTAAAATGTACTCTTGTATAGGCCAAAAGTTGCTTTCATCTCTGGGGCAAATTATTATTACTGTGCTCTGCGAAGCTATGCTAATAGGGGAAACTATATTTTATATTAAATAAGTGGATTTATTAATTTGTATGATGTTTTCATAACTATTAAATAACTTTATTTCACAAAGATATATAGTTTGTGAAGGGCTTTCACAGATGATTGAACTTGATCCTCACAATTTGTGATGTAAATGGGCAGCTAATATTATTATTATTCTTGCTTTAAATATTAAAGCACTTGTGCTCTGAGATGACAAGTCATTTGTCCAAGATAGGTAGCTGATTCAAGATTTGAACCCACACTTTCTGTCTCCAAATCTCTTGCTTCCTGTTTGAAATGAATTTTCAGGAGTCAGTCTGGCTTGGCTTCACTCCTTGCTAGATCATCTTTTATTTTGGTGGCATTTACCAGGCTCCATATGTATATTATATATGTAAATATAATTAAATCTGAAATAGAAACAGAAGTAGACACTTTTGTTCTAAAGTTCTAGAGTTAGCTTTCAAGTTTGGGAAAATAAAAATATACTTGGAAATGACTGACAGGTATACCGGATGTATAATTGTGGCACTTATGGTCTCTTATAAGGTCTTTGATCCTGATTTATCCATATTTTAGTTCTCTGTCTGATTTCATCCCGCAGCTTCTCGATCCTCCTGAGTGTGGCAATGGCTTCATTGAAACTGGAGAAGAGTGTGATTGTGGGACCCCGGCAGTAAGTCTCTGGGTGTTTTGATGATTTTTTTTTTTTTTTTAGGTTATTCAGGGTCATTTCAAGTCCACACACTGAGACATACAGAGCTGGTGTTATGTCTGGAAATTTCATAGGCTATATGGAAGAAAGATTTTTTTTTGGAGGGTTATACATTTATTTAAAAATTATCCTGGTACTTTCAGAAAATGATGCCATTTTATGATGTTTTGCAAATGCTTATATTCCTTAGGAGTGTGTCCTTGAAGGAGCAGAATGTTGTAAGAAATGCACCTTGACTCAAGAGTCTCAATGCAGTGATGGTCTTTGTTGTAAAAAGTGCAAGGTAAATAAACATTAAGCAATGACTAATTGACAGAAAAGAGGATGTATTTGATTAAACCATCAAGGCTAGGCAAATATAATAATAATAATACTGTCTAACATGTATTAAATGACTAAGTGCTACCTGCTTTACAGGATCCTCACAGAATCTTTTGAAGTCTCATTACTATTTTTATTCCTACTTAACGGCTGAGAACACCAAGGCATGTACTGGTTAAATAGTTGCCCAGGGTCTTGTACCAAGTTAAGTCAGACAGCTGGGTCCTGGAACTTGTTTACTTCCTGGTTTTTCTTCTCATTACTGCCTGCCTGGGGAGCATGCCCATTAACCAAAGTCAGATGTTCTTAACCTTCAAATGTTTTTCTTTTCTTTGTAAAGCCAAGTTGATATTTCAATAGATTCTTCTTTTCTGCTGCTGTGCTTGGTTTATTTCTTGCATTAGCTATTGAAGGAGCAGAAGCTATACTTTTAGACATGATAACATCTTATGTGTATTACCATGCACCATGCAAGAGAGTTTAGAATTCATCTTTATGCACATTGTTTTCATCATCCCGATAGCATCCTACACCTGTCCCCAAATATTTAAGGCTTAACATCATAAACAGAAGATATTTGATCCTTACCTTTTTTCAAGGAAATCTATTTCTTTTTTCTCTTCTTATATAAAATATTGTATAATATTCTGTATTAGCTCTGAGGTTTAGTGTCCATTTCAGTATGTATGTTTTGTGGAGGCACTGCCTGGGACTTAACCAGTAATTGGTACAGGTTCCTTAGTAAATATTTGTTGAATGAATAAATAAATATGCACAGCACTCTCTTATTGACTATTTGCTGATTGACTAACTTTCATCTAATGAGGGAGAGTGGGATATGAACCTATCATATTAAGTATCTACTGTGTGCCAGAGATTGTGTTAAACACTTTCAATTTATATCATCATGTATCTGGGTTTCTCAGTCCTGGCACTGTCAACATTTTTGGCTGGATAATTGTTTTGTTTTGAGGGTGTGTCTTGTGTATTGTAAGTTATTTAGCAACATCGCTGACTTCTACCCACTTAGATAGAAGCACCACCCCTCCCAGTCATGACAACCAGAAATATTTCCAAACATTGCCAAATGTCCCCTTGGGGGCAAAATCACTGCTGGTTGAGACGACTGTTGTAGATAATGCTCATAACCACACTTTTGGGATAGGCATTATTATCCATATTTTTCCAGTTGAGCATTCCTGGTGTCAGGGAAGTGATATGACCTGCATATGCTCATTCAGCTATTAAGAAATAGATGTGAAGTTACATCACAGATCTGCTGGCAGCAATTTTTGTTGTTTCTACTTTACCACTATGTCTCTGGCAGCTTTTTAAGACAAGCCACTGGCAGAGATCTCTGAAAGTACTCTAAAAAAGGAAGATTAAATCAAATATGAAACAGACATTTTAAGATTTAGATTGTGTCATCTGTTTAGTCTGTCATCTTCCCCAACTGCCATAAAAAGGGTCCCAATCCTTTATTTTAATCCTCAACGTTTTTAGTCTGCCCATTTGTAAGATATCATTTTTATTTTGATGTATTGATTTAGACTTTTTGTGATATGAACATTTCAAGTAACAAATACAAAATAATAGAATTACAATATATACAATAAAATGTCGTGATTAACTACCTCACAAAGTAAGCTGCAGCTATAGCAGTCAAGTAAGAGCTTTTTGCCAATTTCTCTATCTTGCACTCCCAACTCTTTCCCCATCCTAAACTCATCAAGGAGCCAGAGGCAGAATAATGAATGGAGAAGGGGGAATAGAAAAACAGGCTGAGAAATCCTGTGTATCTCTATTTATTCTATATGTATATATGCTAAAGTATATCTAAGTCAGAGTTGGCAAACATTTTGGGGAAAGGGTCAGGTAGTAGGTTGTTTAGGCTTTGTAGGCCATAAGGTCTCTGTCTCAGTTACTGAGTTCTGCCTTTGAAAACAGTCATCAAAAATATAGAAACAAATGTGTTCCAATAAAACTTTATAAAAACGTATGACCAGCCACTTTTTGCCCTCAAGCCATAATTTGCTAACCACTACTGTGAAACATTGCTAATTGACTTGTTTATTTTTTTTGTTCACTCATTAGTATGTAAGTTCCAAGAAGGCAGGGATTTGGGTCAGTTTATCTACTGCTGTATCCCAGCCCTGAGAGCACATTGTCCTTCACTATGCTTTCTTTTAAAAGTGTCTTGGTAGTTCTTGAGGATTCACACTCTCATATAAACTCCATCTTAAATAAGCTCGTATTTCCACCTCAGACTCTAAAATTGTGGCTTACCGCAATCCCAAGAAGTTGGAAGGAAGAGAACCAGAGTATATGAATTTAAATTGTCTTGCTTATTTCTTTATTTTCATGGCCTATTTACCCCACTAAAATGTGAATTCCTTGCAAACAGGATTCTTGTATTTTGTTCTCCACTGAGTCCCCAGTGCAAGAAACTGCCTGGCACATTTTAAGTGCCTAAGAAATACTTGATGAATGCACACAAATTTTGTTCAGATCTTCTAAAAAATATCTGTTGAAATCCCGATTAGAGTTGGCAGTATACTATTCATAGTCTATGGACAATAGGAAACTAAGTGCTTGGAGGGTTATGAGCAAGGGAGAGAAGATGAAAGCTGGTGGGGGGGAGAGGGTCTGAGTAATGTGTATGTTTGTATGAGCAGACATAAAAACACAGGAGGATCTAGTCCCCAGTATTAGCATTTTGGATAGGAAAAGAGAATGAGATTGAAGAGAGGGGAAGGATGATGACTTTGTGTATCTCTATTTGTTTTTTTATAATGAGTACTCTCACAATTTATAAATTCAGTGAATTTAAAATTTTATTTGTAACTCCTACACCTACAAGAAATATTTCAGGTGATTGCAAATAGGCAGGAAAAAAAAGAAAAGAGAAAAACCCTTCTCATACACAGGTACCAACAATAGAAACATTAGACAAGAATAAAAGATCACAGCATAGATCTATATAAAAATGAGACATGAGACAAAGAATAGTATGGGAAGAAATCACTTTACCAGAAAATCTAACTTTTGCAATTCAGCCTAGAATGTAATGTTCAGAATCTTGGCAGATAAGGCAAAAAAAAAAAAAAGTAAAATGATGAAGGTGCCAGTAAGAATGAAGAGTAAAGTGCAAATCCAAAGCCTTTTTTGAGAGGAAGAATTAGTAGAAATTGGACTGGCTTGTCCTTCTGGGGAGATGGCTCATCAAGAACCATCCTATTTTAGTAGATTTGTAAGACTTACATGTGATGACTGTGTAGATTATTTCATAAACCAGAAGCTTTTCCTGAAAGCTATTAAATGAACAGTTCATTCAGTAATGTGGTTTTCATAGATTACCATCTTAAAATTGCTTGAGATATTCCTATCCAAGAAGACTCATTTTGCTTTTCTTTTGAGATGGTACTGTGTGAGATTTTTTTTTTTCAACAGTTTTGCACATTGATTTTTGTTCATTTTAGTTTCAGCCTATGGGGACCGTGTGCCGAGAAGCGGTAAACGATTGCGATATTCGTGAAACATGCTCGGGAAATTCAAGCCAGGTAATTTACAGAATCATTGTTCTAAACTCAATGGGAAAGAGCAGGGGTAGCTATAGTGCACTGGCCCCCAGGCAAAATGTAATGGAACAGGATATCATGTCTTTTTCACATCACTTCTTACTCTCCCATTATTTACTTCTCAGGAATTTCAGTTTCAGTAATCAGACCCTGAGCTGATGTGTAGCATCATTTTATCTCAGTGCTGAACTAACCTCAGACTGCAAGAGTGCCTTAACTATTTCATTTCTGTTTTTAAATAAAGAGTAAAAGGCATTTGCTTTTTGTCTAATTTTCTCTCCAGCTGGTTGAAACAGGAGCCAGCCAACACAGAGAGACCCACAGAGCGCTAGTTCTGAGGAGGGATCTGTTCTTCTGTCTTGACTCTTCTTTATCTGAGATCATATGCACCACCTCACCCATTAATAATCATGTAGTTTTAAGTGGAGAAGATGGAGAAGCTGATAAACTTTGGTGAGGGTTCACAGATTTCACATGGTGATTATATATCCAGACAGTCCTCAGTTTGTGTGGTAGTGTAGGGTGATAACAACGGCCATCAAGCTGAAATCATGTAAAGTCATCTTAATAATCAGTGCAAAACATCTTTAAAAAAAATGTCAGCCTACTAAAACCTTTCTTACTCTTTGTTTTAAGTTAATAGGGAAATGAAAAAATAAACTGATATTTATTCAGCCCACTAACATAAAACAGAAACATTGAGAATTACAAATTTTATTTCTTTGTAAAATCCGTATCAGGAGAAGTTTGGGCTGTGCATACCTTCTGGCCATAAGCCTTAAGATCGATCATCAGCATCTTTACTATAGCTTGTTGAATTGTCAGACTCCCTTCTAAGTTTGGATCAGCTTTTGACATTTTATCCTTTGCACTTTCAATTTCATGAAATACCTCCAAGAGATGTCAAAGTGTCAATGTGAGGGGTTTTTTTATTTGTTTGTTTGTTTGTTTCTTTGTTTGTTTTTGCCAAATAGCAGTATCAATGTGCCCAGTCAGTGATTTTTTTTTTTTTTTGCTGTGACTCAATTTACAATTGATTTGAATTTCAATTCTAGTGTCATCATTTTTCATTTCTTTTCTGCATTTTCATCTTTGCTGCCCAATTCCCTCTTAGGATTATCTAGTTTTATAAAACGTCACTCACCTGCTATTACCCAGAGACAGAAAGGCAACACCACACCTACAGCCTTTGTTGTCTGTGCACAAACTAAATGAACACAGGCAGTGACCAGTCACTGACAGACTTTGCAAAAAGTGACATGCCATCATTGACCATGATGGGCAACTGTTATATACCTAGTGAGCATGGAATGAAAGGCTAGTAGCAGAGTTTGTGCTTTAGGCAGTTACAGTTATTATGCTCTGGTAACTGAAATTGGAACTGTGTTATTGGGGTACCGATGTCATTTCACAAAACCATGATATCTGAAATATGAAAAGCAAGGACAGCCTACATATTTTTCCTCTAGAGAAGAGGGATTCAGTAATAGTATATCTGCATTAATCATTAAAATGCTTTATTTTAAAGGTAGTCAGCCTAAGAGACTAAAGATTTTTTTTGTAGAAGTATTTTATTTTCTTACTATCTAATTGGCATTGTTTTTATAAGCTAATACTTAGTGATGAAAAGGGTATGATGAATGATTGCTTCATATGTTCCCGGAAGGAAAGTATATTAGAGCCACTTCTTTGGACTGTGATTATACAATAAGTTGGAGCTTTAAAAAAAGAATCTAAAATCCAAAGATGATGTATAAAGATGCTCTTGTTGAATTAGTTGTAACAACAACCTGGAGGCAGTTATAAGTGAATATTGTAGTATATTGGTTATATGGTTTGTTAGCTCAATGCAGTGTATTATACCCACCAAGGATGATACCTACAATGAAGCTTATTATGACCTGAGGAAATTCATGTGATGAAAGTATAAGGGGAAGAAGCAGGACATCAAATATTATCTGTAACTTGATGATGTACTAGTATTTAAAAAAATCAAATTTCATAGAAAAAGGTAGAGAAAAAATATACCAAAATATAAAAAGATGTTGTCTTTGAGTGGTGGCTCTCTCTTGAGAGGCTCTTTCTTTTTTTTACATTTCCTGCATTTTCTCAAGGGAGTATATAATTATAAAGATAGAAAAAATGTATAATAAAATCTTAAATACTGTTTATTAAGAATGTTTTGCAGTTTTCTGCAATTGCTACAAGGGAAAAATGGGGCTATAAATATGGTTCTTTCTACTGTGCCTAAGTTGGACTTCTGCTCAAGAGGCATTTTAGGAGTAAGGGCTGTGTACTTCCCATGGTAAAAAAAAAAAAAAAAAAAAAAAAGGAGGAAACTAGTTATTGCTCCATTTATGTTGGCATCCTCCTTGCTTCTGTTTTGTGCTCTTGTTTTTCTTGCTCTGAGGAATATTGTATAAAGCAAGATGCTCTGAAATGTTAGGGTTGGCTGAGGCATAGCATCAGTTCTTTTTATTTGCTACTGTGTAATCAACTGGTAGATCCATACTTTTAGGGGAAAGTGCACCAATTGTTGTATTTTCTTTTGCTTCCTCTTGATCTTTTTTGTTTTTATTTTCAGATGTTTTAAGGGACTTAGCCATATTATCAGACTTTTATTTTCAAAAAAAAAAATGAAAACATTACAGGGATTAGTTCAGCCAGATATTTTGCTGTGCACTTGGTTCATAGTTCTGTTTTCATTTCCTAGTGTGCCCCCAATATTCATAAAATGGATGGATATTCATGTGATGGTATTCAGGTAGGTTACTTCATCTTTACCTAAATCTTTCATGTGTACCAGCATGAAAGAAATACTTAAATCTTATCAAAATAGGAAAATCAATTTAAATGTTTTGTGATCAATTCTGAAGACAAAAGGTTTTATAATACTCACCTACTAGTTTTCCCAGTCGTATTTTCTTTTTTCAGTGGTCCAGCATAAGCAGACATTGCATTTTTAATTGGTATGCTTTTCCGTTTTAGGGGATTTGCTTTGGAGGAAGATGTAAAACCAGGGATAGGCAATGCAAATACATCTGGGGGCAAAGTAAGTAAAGAGTGTGCCTGGATCCTTTTCAAAGTTTAATATCGGTCAAAGGACATGTGAGCTGGAAGTAAATTTTCAACCACTTTATGACCAGAGGATTCTCAAAGACACTTAAGGTCTTACTAGGGGCACTGTTATGGCAATTAGGGAAAAGTATCTCCTTTGAGAAGACAGTTGGCTAGTTGGTTGTGCCTTTGGACAAGAATGAAGGTGCCTTGCTGCTGGGCAGATAAAGTCCACTCCAGGGTGTGCAGCCTGGGGAATAGAGCAAGCCTCGATTTCAGTTCCATTCACAGTTTCCTCAGCTGAGGTCCTTAAGCGAAACATGTACAACCATATGTGATGGGCATGGACCCTGGATAGGGCACCCTGGCTTGGCTAGAGTTACTTTTTCTTCTTAAACTATCTCTCTTAAAGTCTAGTTGGCTTTCCTAATTACAAGTCACCTTCTGCTGAGGTAGCTGTGCCATGTCAGAAAAAAATATAGCTTTATTGCTTTCAAAGTTTGTCAGATTTTCAGAGGGAAATATCTAATATTTGTATCAAACATATTATTTAAATTGTATCTCTGTGTAAATGTGTATTTAAATACTCTTCCATATATTTCTTTGAAGGCAATTTTTGCTTTGAACTCTTTCAGTAAACAATTTGTAGTAAGAAGTAAGCTATGAAGAAAATCTTTAATTGTCACAAATAGTGGCTATATTCTTTCTGAGAGGGCAAGTATATGCCCTCTTGTGAATAATTGGGGAATGGGAGAAAATACACAAATACAGAAAAAAAAATAACAATGTGATTTTTTTTTTAAATAGACACAGTTATCTTTGATTAGTTTGCAAAAGTCATTTTGTTCTCACTCTAGGGACAGTTCCATCAACCAGCCCTGGCTTTAGCCAAGATAAAGTCCTGATAAAGAACCTGACATAGCTTAAAATGTTATTTGACTGTCCTAGATTTAGTGTGAATTCAAGCTTGTCTAAAGCCAGAATGAAATTAAATTGTTTTTTTGATAGTTGTTAAGAATTAGTAAACAAGGTGGAAGTTATACTACTTTTTTTTGAATCTTTAGTTACAGTGCCTCATTATTTTAATAAACTTGTCATTATAATTAATAAAAGTTGCCAAGTGAGAAATTTGTGTTTTACATTTGCACTGAGATAAAAATGTGGAGTACTTATTCCAGGAACAATTTGGTAACATCTTCACCTAATTAGTGGCCAAATTCTGAGGGTGTTGTTCTTGGAACCTATAGCCTCAGTCTCATCAAAGATCTACATAGATTTGTTTTCCAAATTTCCAATGAAGAATGTAACTGAGTTATGGATATAAAGGACAACTCTTGAGAACCATGGACACAGTTTTTGGACTTGGCCACATTGTCTCAAAGAAGAGCCCTTAAATGGCTATTTTCCCTTATTACAAACATTTTGAGCTGCTCCTCTGTTGTATCCCTCACTGATGGAAAACTCTGTTCTGCTCCAGAGGTAATGGCATCAGATAAATACTGCTATGAGAAACTCAATATTGAAGGGACCGAGAAGGGTAACTGTGGGAAAGACAAAGACACGTGGATACAGTGCAACAAACGGTGAGATGGAGAAGTTTGCCCAGTAATTTTTATTTTTTCTCTAGCTGATGAAGTTTGATATTTCCATATATTATCTTGATAGTCTGCTAATCATTCTTGACAAAATATTTATTAGTATATGTGTTTTTTATTATGTATTTTAGTAATTAAAATATGCTAGATATAGAAAATATGTCAATATTTAATACCACTGGAAATATTTCGTAAGTTAAATTAGAATTATATGTGATAGTTGAGGAAATAGTGGATTATATTGAAAAAGGGATCATGAGTCTATGTGGCTGAAAATCTAATATATAGAATCTAGTATATATATATTTTATATATATTATATATATATGTGTAAATTTTTAATTCTGGCGAAACAGTTTGAAGATAGAGCTGTATTCCAGTACTCATCCAACAGTCATTTATTCACTTGTCAAATATTTTTAAAAATGTTTTAGCATATCCAGTAATGTGTTCTAGGGAAAGAGATTCTGATCTAAAAGAAGTATTTTTGGTGAATAATTTCCTTTAAAGAAATGCTTGAACTAACGGACAGTAAAGGAAAAGCTAGAAAACAATTGGGATTTTGGTATATGGATAACATGTTCAGAGAATACACTTTTTAAAGGAAGAGTTAGACTGTTTTGGGCTTATTTAACTTATAATTTGAGCAAATAAAATATGGTTGATTGAAAAAATCCTAAAATAAGCTAAGGTTATTCTAACTATACATGGTTTGTTCTCTCTTTGGGGAAAGAAGTAAATAATTGGTGTCTTTTAACACAGGGATGTGCTTTGTGGTTACCTTTTGTGCACCAATATTGGTAATATACCCAGACTTGGAGAACTTGATGGTGAAATCACATCTACTTTAGTTGTGCAGCAGGGAAGGACATTAAACTGCAGGTAATTATCTCCATTCTGTGAGAACATTGATCATCTTACCTCAAAGGAATGCCACGTAGGGTTACTTTGGTTTTCTGTTCCCATGAGTGTTAGCAAGGTGAAACAGAATCTAGCCCATAGGGGTGACCAAGTAAATCCTGATACAAAAAGGTTGAAAAGAAGGTAAGAATTAGTTGACTGTGCTTGTTGGAGTTATATTTAATGGGTTAAGAAAATCTTACAGGACTTAGTTTGTATTTAATTCCTGTCAGTGAAAATGACTAAGAGCGCCTGGGTAAAATCAGCAGATTAAATATATGCGTCTTCCTTTACTCCCTTCTGAAATCCCACTAAAATGACACTAAGTGAGGTTTTTTTTTTTTTTTTTTTTTTTTTTAGAATTCATGTGTATCTACAGGGAGGTAAAAAAAAAAAGGGAGCAGAGACAACAATTACAAAATTTTTGAGTGTGGAGAGCCAAATGGATGTGTGGCAAATGATTGTCAAAACTAAGAAACCTGAATACCTGAGTCAGTAATGGAGAAAATGGAGAGCTACATAGTACATCAAATCACTTCCCCAAAGGCTCAAAAATTGGCAGCGTGATCTACTTCTGAGAGACAGAGTAAAGGTTTCAGGGACAGGGAAGGGTTAAAATAAAGAAGATAGTTGAAAGTCTGCTAACAGATTACTTCCTGACTCACCTAAACTGAGATTGTTCACCCTCCCATGGAAGATTTGAGCTTTACATTCTGCACATAATAAAACAGATTTCCATACTGAAGGACAACTGGCAATATTGATATCAGAATGTATGTAAGTGGTCTAGCCTCATCCATGTTCAGCCAGAAAGCCCTAAAATTTCCTATCATTTATCTGATTTCTCAACCCAAAATGAGCTGTTATCAGACATGTGAAGGAAGACACTGATACACATACATGCGTACACACACACAAAAAAAGATAAAAACAACCAGAAAAAAGGGTACCTATCGATATTTATGAGAAATATCTATCATGAAGTAAGAATGCAGTGCTATTTTTTTTAAATGAAGAACATTCATAGAAACAAATGCTGTTGGAAATTAAAAATATAGAGGTAGAAATTAAACTCAGTAGTTGAAATGATCTCCCAGAAAGTAGAGCAAAAGCAGCAAAAGGAGTGAGACATAGAGAAAATCTCACCAAGTTGGAAGAGAAATGATGAACAGGGAAAATAGCAGAAATCGTGAGTGACTTAGATTGTCTACCAAGAATGGACTTGAGTTCCTACATTGAGAGGCTAAGTACAGGTACAATGAATGAAATTAGAGGTACGTCTAACCCTATCATTATGCAACTTCAGAATCTTAGGACAAAGAAAAGAATCCTAAATGTTTTCAGGGAGGAATAAAAAAAGGATCAGGCTTAAGATCTTTCAAGGAGCCCTGAGGGCCAGAAGACAATTGGGAACATGATTTCTGAACTAAATTCTGTACCCAGGCAAAATAACAATCAAGTATGAAGGTAGAAAATATACACAACTTTTAGATATACAGTTTTCCCCATAAATGTACTCCCTGATACCCTTTCTCAGGAAGGTATTAGAAATTGTGCTGCACTAAAATGAAAGACTAAACTAAGAAAGGGAAAGGTTGGGCATATAGGAAACAAGATGCACACCATGAAGAGTCAGGCCAATCCTGCAGTGATTGGTGAGGGGAAATCCTAGACATTACAGTTCTGCACAAGGTACCATGGGCAGCCAGATCAGACAGGAGCAGGGCACACTCCAGTTAATAACTCCAGGAGAGATTTCTACAGGAAGATGAATTGATGCTCAGACATATCTTGAGGATTTTGGGGCCAGCAGTTTGATTAGTTTTGCATTAATGACAAATTCTTAGAAAAATTAGGTAAAAAGACAACAAACAAATAAGAGACTTGCTAATCTAAGGGGAAATGAAAAGTACAGGAAAAGATTTAATTATGGCATACTGTATCACTCAACTGAATAACATTAACATAGTCCTAAAAATGTGCATTTTTATTGATTTGACTATTAATTAAACAAAATTTATGGTGGGAGGATAGGAGAAAGATATAAATTGTCAGATTCCATTGAGGGAAGTCAGTTGATAGTATCTGAGATGGAAAAATAAAAAATAGTAACACAGACTCATTATTTAAAGATATGTACACAAATAACAAAAGAATCAATTAAATGTAGACAGTGGTTTCCTCCAAAGGAGGGATATATGATGGAGGAGAGGGCACTGGACCACTTTATTGGATTTTTAAAAACCAATTTGTCTGTTTGGCTCTTTAAACTATATGCATGTCTCATTTTGATAAAAATAAAAAGGAGATTTATGAGCTGACATTGACATGGTACCATATGAATAAATTAATTATGAGTTTACATTTTAACCCTATTCTTTTTTTTATTCCTATATAACTTGTAGGCTTGTTATATTGAATAGTGAAGTTACAATAATTTAGCCACTCTCAAATATAATTTTTAAATTAGCAGTCTTCTTGGAAAATATAAACCCAAACCACTTTCCATCCATGTTTGAAACATGTGTGAAATCTTGAAACCTACTTATTCAAATCAAATGCTAGTAATAATGGCTCACTTGACTTGTACATGAGCCAAGGCAAAGTGATAAAGCTGTTTCAGTTTAGGCCCTCGTTATAATAATTGTGTTTAATACTAAAATATGTCAATGTCTCTGAAAGGAATTAGATCAAAAGATTCAATTGCTTTCTCCATTTAGAGGTTGAAAATGGTTATGCTATTGGTTTTTATTAGATAATAAATAGAAAAATAGAGAAAGTAGTATTGCCCACTTTTTAGTATTGTTTTGTTTTGCTTTTAGTGACAGAAAGACAGCATGCATGCTTGAACAGAGGGTAGGAGCAGAGGGAGAGTGAGAATCCCAAGCAGGCTCCATGCTCAGCCCAGATATAGGGCTCTATCTCACGACCCTGAGATCGTGACTTGAGCTGAAATCAAGAGTTGGACACTTAACCGACTGAACCACCCAGGAACCCCCACTTTTTAGATTTTAAGCAGATTCTCAAAATGAATGTGAATTAATTGAGTCCTCTTTTCTTTTTGTTCTCTGTTTTTAGTGGTGGGCATGTGAAGCTTGAAGAAGATGTAGATCTTGGCTATGTGGAAGATGGAACTCCTTGTGGTCCCCAAATGATGTGCTTAGAACACAGATGTCTTCCGGTAGCTTCCTTCAACTTTAGTACTTGCTTAAGCAATAAAGAAGGCACTGTTTGTTCAGGAAATGGAGTAAGTGTTCAGTACCTTACCATAGAGAAACTCCTCTATTCTTTCATATCACAGAAGTAGATATGACCCTAACCTGCTTATTTTGTAAAAATGGAAAATATGCTTATTCATGTTGCTAGCTGGCACGTAAACAGTTTTTTGGTCATAGTCATTGGAATATTTCTGTTGTGTAATCTGTGCAAGCCTAGGAATAAGGAAAAGTATAATCTTCCAAACCAAATTCTTCTGTTTCTTTCTATAATATTATGTTAATGTGATTTCATATAATATAATGCCAGTTTTCTACAAGTGATCTGGGAGAGAAGTTTTAATAAACTATAAAGGGATTTTTAAAAAAGATTTTATTTATTTATTCATGAAAGATGCACAGAGAGAGAGAGAGAGAGAGAGGCAGCGACACAGGCTGAGAGAGAAGCAGGCTCCATGCAGAGAGCCCGATGTGGGACTCCATCCTGGGGCCCCAGGATCATGCCCTGGGCTGAAGGCAGGCACTTAACCGCTGAGCCACCCAAGGATTCCCTATAAAGGGATTTTAAAAGAGTGTAAAAAAAGTGTAAAAAGGGGCATTGACCACAATATTTAACAACTGGTATGGTCCAGTCACTGAGCAATTAGAACAGATCATAAATACCTGCTGTAGCCACACCAAGTGTGTATTAGTTGAGGATAACTCCTAGAGGTAAAAACTGAATAAGTCGGGGAAATAAATGTTGATCACAGATGAATAGAAAAAAATGGCATTGTTTAAAGGACTAAATTCAATTCTTTTCAGTGATATATCTGATAATGTCCTATATAAGTGAGTTTATAAATTAGCTAAACATGCTCTAATAGTGATCACAGTTTGGTCATTTTCAGTTAGGAATTCCTACACTAATAAAATCATCTTTGCTTCTTTTTCCTTTTGGCATGCACTATGATTTTTTTTACCCTAATTAGATTCTTTGCTTGAACTGGTCATATTATCCAGTTGAGGTAAAGGATCCCGGTTCTGAAATTGTAAACCTTTAATCCTGGTCATTGCATGTAGATCCTCCAGGAATATGCCAAGAATTTTCTAGGGAGGTCTTATCAATAGTAACTCTTTGGCAAAGGATACAAATTCTTAAGGCAATGAAAATAGAGAGGGCACATGGTAAGTAGTTCTGCTCCTGTAAAGGACTTAGCTCCTGCTAAGTCCTGTTTCTTGAATAAGTGAGAAGATATTAAGGGGTAATGCTTTTGGGGGGAATGCAACAAAAACTTGATCATTCATGCTAATGATAACAATGTCTTCTTCATCTAGAGATTCTGAGTATATAACACAGAGATCAAACAGTTTTGTTAATAAACCATTTGTTTAGCAAATGAATAAAAGTGATAGACACAAGTAATTCAGGAGGCAAATATTATTCAAATCATTTGCAATAATTATGCATCATACAGAGATATTATATCCTATGTATTTTTAACTCACAGTAACTATACATACAACAAAAATTAAAATGAGGATACAGTAGATACTCTATGTACTCTACATTATGTAGTTAAGAGTATGGGCTTGGGATCAGACAGTCTGAGTTTGAATCCCATCTCTATTTCTTACTAACTGGGTGAGATTTGGCAACTTATTTAGCCTGTGTGTTATTCAATTTATTCCCCTATAAAATGAAAATAATAATATTGCCTGCCTTACAGGATTGTTATGAAGAATGAGTGAATTAATACTTATAACTTATATGTAATATTTAAAACAATGCCTGAGGCATAGTGCATGTTGAATAAATGTTTGCTTGACTGTATTGTGATCACTGTACACTGGAGTCACTGTCTGTTCTTGTCACTCTGTCACTGTTGTATGGTGTGGAAACTGATATTTGGAGAAGGCAGTTGACCTGGTTAAAGTCCATTAATAAGATAGGGATGAAATTGGCAGTCACACACTGGCCTTTTGACTTTAAATCTAAACCTCTCTGCCTGCATATCTGTCAATCTGCAGAAATTTGATAATTGAATTAATTTGAAATCTGCAGTTTCTTATCATATTTTATAGTTATGTTTACATGTGGCTGTATGTTATCTTCTTGTGCACTAGATCAGAGCAAAGACAGAAAGTGATCCAGTGAAAACTTATCTCCTGAAGAACTTTTCTGATCTTAAACCTAATTGGATTCTTTTCTACTTCCCATTCCATTCAAAGTTGTTTTGAAGTATAAGATCTAGGTGTAGATTCTGTTTCCTGGATGTATAAGTGACTATAGATTATTGTCTTATAATTTTAAAAAATTGCCATTTTATGTGAAATTTTTTCCTTACATTTTGTTTGAGGGGTTTGTGGTTTCCATGATGTGGAGGTCGCTCATCTCTAAAGCTTGGGTTGAGGTGCCAGGGCTATAACTCTGTGAAACTTTCTTCTTAGACCACTGTAAGAGACCTTCCCTTTACTTCCTTGGATTTCTCTTTATCTTATCTGCTTCCTGAAAGATGAATACAATTTTGGTATAAAGACCCTTTCTTTGGGAAAAGAAAATTTTATATTGGATAATTGGCAAATGATTGTATTTCTGCCTACTTTTAAAACTCTTTCTCCTATAAAGTTAATGCAATTCAAAACAATAATTTCATTGATTTCTTTTTAGACTATGAATTGTTTACACCTGTTAAAATTCATTATTCCCTTCTGGTCTAACTGCTGGTCTCTAGAAAATGTTATTTTAGGTACTTGAGTAGGAAATCAGGTAATTGGTATGAAGAAAAAAGTACTAATAATTTTTCAGCACCATCAAATTCTAGCCATATAACAGTTAGAAATCAGTGCTTAATTTTCATGCCTCTATACCAAAGAGTTGACCTGTACTCTTGATTAATTTTGAATTTCAGATTTGCAGTAATGAGCTGAAGTGTGTTTGTAACAGACACTGGATAGGTGCAGACTGTAGCACTTACTTCCCTCACAATGATGATGCAAAGACTGGTATAACTCTTTCTGGCAATGGTAGGTACTTGATTTGGTGCCGTTACATAGTTTTTACACATAATGAAAGAGAACTGCTATTTAGATTGTTTCATTCAGATAATTTTTATTTATTTATTTACCTATTTATTTTGATCATATTTATAGTTCAAATATGATCTACAACTGGGATCCTCAGTATGAAATTGATATTTTCCATTTTATTGTAATCATGTGTAATATTAAATATAACTTAGTCTAATGATTTAGCTTTATCTTGTCCTACATCAGACTGAGATTTTTCAATTTTTTGGGGAGCGGGGTGACAACAAACCATTTCTTTTAAATGAAGAAAATAGTCCTATTTCTTAACTCTGAACTTAAGGGGAGAATTTTTTATTTGGGGATTGAATAAATAGAAAAAAACAATTGACCGGATTTATTTTTTAAAGATTTTATTTATTTGAAAGAGATAGAGAAATGTGAGAGAGAGCATGAGCAGGGTGGGGGGGGGGGCAGTGGTCAGAGGGAGAGGGAGAAGCAGGCTTCCCATTGAACAGGGAGCCTGATGTGGATTTCTATCCCTGTACCCTGGGATCATGATCTGAGCTGAAGGCAGAAGCTTAACCATCTGAGCTACCCAAGTGCTCCTGAAGAATTAATTTTAAATATCTTGTTGGCTTTAGTATTTTTTATTATAGAATCTCATTTCTATTCAACCCCAGTTCTGTAGACTGAACTGTGGGTAATTCTAGAAGTAGTAACCTGACCAAGGTGCCTGGAAGGGGATTAAGGACATGGATAATAAACAGGTGCAGATGCAAAAGCTAGAGTGGCCCAAATGGAGAAGTAGAAATTAAATGCAGATAGTTGAAAGAACACATGCCTTAGAGGTAGATGTCCCCTTTTAAACTGTTTTATCATTTTTCATGATTGACTATTCTGCATTAAATGATGATCAAATCCTGAAGTCCATTCACTTCCAAAGGGTGAGAAAAAAAGAAGTATGTTCATTGTAATCATCCAAACAGGCTAAGAATCTGAGCCAAGATGACTTTATCAGGGGAGGTCAAAGAATGATGAAGATTCTGGTATCTTCAGTTTTAGCAAAGGTAGTGTGAAGCTTTTTTCAGTAGCTAATGCGCAGAGTTGAGGCTTTTCAGGTCCATTAGATTTAAGTGACTTGACAAAAGTCATAATGTTACTTAGAAATAACCAGGCTAAGCATCCATCCCTGTTAAAATTGCTGAAGAAAAGACTGCTATGTTTGGCCTTAGAGTAGGAAAACCCAATGAGCCACTGAGTCCTCTGGCATCTGCATCCACCCATCCCATGGAGGATGTGCGCAGGGTGGATTCCTCCAGCTTCCTCAGGTGCCCTGCCATGCTTAGGGCTCCCAGACTGGGAGGCTGCTGCTTCTGTCATGGGGATTTGCAGTCTGTCTAGTTGCCCATGATTACGGATTGTTGGCATCCAAAAGGATGCTTCAGGATTGCAGCAGACAAAGAAAGATCTGAGATGCTCTGAGTGAAATAGATGTGGGTGATTTAAACATCTGGTGTAAATCATTATCAGCGAAGCAGCCAGGCCTCTGATCTGCCTTTTCTGCTCTTGAGCCCTCACTTGAGCTTTTTGACCAAACCTTCGACTTCCTGGGCTGCTCACACTGCTAGGATCTCCCTAAAGATCGCATCTTGGCCTTTCTGACAGCAGATACTGACACCATGCTGCCATTTCTGAATCCAAGTGCCAGCCTTGCCTTGGCCCTCTGCCAGCCTATTGCCGCCTCACCCTTGGGCCTGACCAGCCCCAAGCTCCTGCTCACCACATGCTGTCTTTTCTTTTGGTTTTCCCTTCTCTACAATGCCCTAGCCACCATTACCAAGACTGGGAGCTAGAGGCCCAGTGCCTGTATTCTCTATCACCTGAGCACTGATTGTATAAATTGAGAGGCACATTTTCCCTCTTTATGAGCCTGCATTTGAGAGACAAAATATCACCCATACAACTGAGAGTGATAAGGACCTTGCATTAGTTGTCAAGATGGAGTGTTAGTGTCAGTCACATTTCTGGAATTCCCAAGGAAGAGGTCAGGGTCAAAAGGAACATGGGTTTCTACAGGTTCCTGTCCAAAGAGTGCTATGGCAATATAGTAGTGTTTTTATCTTTTTGCTTTTTATCTTTACTCCTTCTTGTAGTCCAGTGACCTCATGTTATTTTTCAGAAAATTACATGGGAAATAAAACTGTGCACCATGCACTGGGACAAGAATGAAAAGGGAATGTAAACAAATATTTATGTAAACAAACAATTGATGGGGATTGCTAAGTAATGGTTGTTTTTTGTTCCTTTAGAAAACACCCACTTTTATACCTCACAGCATGTATGAATGTCAAATCATTATGCTGTACACCTGAAACTTATACAACTTTATATCAGTTATAAGCTAAAAAAAATTAAATAAAAAAGTATTCTCTAAAATTAAGACTTAAAGGGAAAAAATACCCACTTCGAAAGACAAATAATTTTGTGAGTGTGAGGAGTACAAATATGGAGAATAAAATTCCTAAAGGAATTTTATGTCAAAATTTCAGTAATACATACTGATCGCCATTGTTTTCTTTTCTTTTCTTTTTCTTGTAGGTGTTGCTGGTACCAATATCATAATAGGCATAATCGCTGGCACCATTTTAGTGCTGGCCCTCATATTAGGAATAACTGCATGGGGTTATAAGTAAGTGAAACGTCTCAATATTATTACTATTGAAATAAACTTTAAAACTTTAAGACATTTTGTCTAAATGAATTAAGCACCTGGAAAGTTTTGTGTTATTGGATAAATATACCTGCGGTAAAAATCAGTCTGGTTCAGCATGCAACCAGTGATTATTCTTGGCATGATTAGAGGTAATAATAATTTTTTATTTTCTTAGATTTTGAGATAATTCCCTTCAATTCTAAAAGATAACTCCCTTCTGTTATATTGTTTTAAGACCATTATGTGAGGTAAAATCAGTCTAAATCATGTCTTACACTAGGCTGTGTGGATTTGCTCTTTAGTGACACAGGCTCTTGTCACTTAAACCCATACCCAGAAATCTAGGCAAGGCAGTCATGTAGGGAGCATAATGTTTTAGTAACAACAGTAGTGATAACATCAATTATCAATAAGAACAGCAGAGGCATATCTGTGACTACTTACTATGGCCCTACATCGTGCCAGAGGCAAAACTTCTTTATCTTCACACTCAGTATGAGGGAGGCACTATTATTGGTTAAATATTGGGTGTTTGTGTGTGAAGAAAATACTGTTCATAGATTTAATTTGTTCAAATTAGGAGTCAGCTGTAAGTTACAACTTTTAATATGTAACTTGTAAGCTTCAAATTCAGTGTATCAGTTTTTGATTCTTATTTATGAATTTTAAAAAGTTACAAATTATGTAACATTTAAATACTGAATCCCCTTGAACATTTTAGCTAAGTAGATGACTTCAAACGTTCCAAACTTATATATTTAATATGTTTGGTTTCCTTTTAAAGTACTTCAATCTTATAATGTAAAAAAATTTCCTTAGTATCCAAGTATTTTATGTAAGTTTAATAAATTGAAACTTAAATATGTTGAACATTAAGTTCTGTTTAACATTTCAACTTAAAATCATTGTTCTGCTGATCTCTGATAACGATGTGTCAGTACTCCTAGGCCTGGGTGTTTCTTTCCATTTGAAGGGCCTGCAATTTTTTCTAGAAATTCTGGCCATTACCCCATTTTATAGCATTCCCCTCCCTCCCACTAGGGGTCAGACTTACTTCACTGAAAGAATAGAGAATTAGAATATTTTAGGCTTCAAATTACACCAACACCTTTCTATAGACTAGGCACTATATAATTATAAGATGTTGTTGTTGTTGTTGTTATTATTATTATTATTACCTGACATGGTCTTAAACCAACTCAATTGAAGGAAATTTCTTTGAAAGTGTATATGGCTGTTGCTTGTTGTGAAGTCAAAACCCTGAAAGAGTTTCTTTGGCAGAAAAGAGAGAGCAGTTAGCTTACTGTCAAGCTAAATTTTGTATGCTGAAAGCATTAAAATATCCAATGGTGTTTGTGGAAGGCTATATTAACAAATAACACATACAGCATAGACAGGAAAGTTTAGCATAACATAGTAACTACAGCATCAGACAGCAAAGGAAGGCACAGCACAGTAGGAAAGCTTTGTCTTGATTAAATGAGTACTTTGTCGTGTACCAGCTCATAGATGCTCAATACCTAGGGGCCTCTTTGATGTATAGGCCATTAACTATATTGTATATTTCTATTTTCATGAGTCAATTTCATCAAAACATTTGGAGTTATAAAATTACATGCCTGAAAGAAAGGCTTTTCTGAATATTTATCATTTGATCTCGCTTCATACCTCAGGTGAATTAGCCCCATCTTGGAGTCACACTGTTTCCTTGACTTCCCTGATTTAAGATCTGTGTGGTAATTGCCATCACAAGCTTTGCTCTTTTGAAGTAGCTCAGTGGTTTCATTGGTCATGTGAAAAAAGGAAGGCAAAATTATTAGTTTTGTTTTGTGTGATTTTCTACCACCTGCTGATGCAAATTGGTATTTCATGTTTTTGTAATCTTGGAAAAAATTACATTTCAGAAAATATGAAATCTAAACTTCTCTTGCTAATAATATATTACCTGTGTCCATTTGTTTTAAGTAGAATTTAAGTACTTTTTTCTGTACTTATTTCTTATTTTTATGAAATTCTTTTAAGATTTCACTATTTTTTTCATTTCTGAATATACTCTGCATATTCATTAAGGAAAAAGACAAAAATCATATTCATACAGTATCCTCTTTGTAAATAATTTGAACCTAAATGATGGAAGTTTTAATGCTACTAAACTTATTCAGAATATGTTTAAGAATAGAATGAGAATGTAGAAGTTTTATTACAGGAATTAAATTCATGAATTTCATGTTCTATTTGAAATTCAAAAATGGATTTAGGAGCTGAGAATTCATTTCCTCATTAATCTTTCCTTTTAAGCTTTCTACCCCTTCTCCAAGCCTTGGACTAAGGGAATGGCAGGAATAGGGAGTGAGGAATACTTATTTGGACCTGATGGACCAGTCGGGTAATCAGACTGAGGGAGTAAAAAAGTAAAACATACTGAATAGAAAGATTCTGAGGCTTATTCCCTCCCCCGCCTTATGGTTTCAAGAATGAAAGATGTTAAGTTACAAATTGGCACTTTCACTCTCATGAGCTCATCATTAAATCAAGATCCTTACAGGGTAAGTACAAATAATACCGATACGGAAACATCCTCGATCTGGGAAGGAAGCCCACTAAGTTACTGGACCTTTCTAACGTGTCTTCGAAATATTCGCACTTACCTAGGTCATGATAGAAAATTAAAAATGAAGCCTTTTGAGTTGTAAGTTAAAAGTCACTGATGCCTTACTACTGCACCCTCTAGAATACACTTTGTTTAATAGCAGTTTGTTTTAAAACTCATGTAATTTTGTTTTGGTGTATGGCCAAATGGAAAACAGAGACTAAACTTTGAACAAAGTATTTCCAGTATAAAATTTCAGGAAGTAGTGATAACTTACAAGGTCCCTAAGAGTTGTGAATTAATTCTCTACTATATCATCCATGATGAAATAAGATGTCTTAGTGTCCAATCATATCTTCCTATTTGAAATTCTTAGGAAGAGCTTTAGTTTGAGGTATATATTCCAGAAGGAATGAATTATGATTTTTATTTCTATGAAAGGGGTTAATTTATATAAGTAACTTGAATAAGAATTGACTTTAGAACTTTACTAACTAAAGGTTTAATATGGTACAATTGATACTGCAAAAGCAGATATTCTTAAGTAACTGAAGCTTATTTATGCTATTAAAAATAGTTATTTGAAAATATTGTCACTAACCCTTTGGTATCACTTACAAAGATGAAGGAGAGAAAGAGATGTGTGTCTGTGTGTGTGTGTGTGTGTATGTGTGTATGTGTGTGTGACTGTGTTTGTATTCCACATTTTAGTTTTACAATTCAAAATCCTCTAGTGGAGACCTTTCAGCGAATGCTAGAGCTTTCATGTTTACTGCTCTCTCTGAATATACTTCTATAGGTAACTAATTCTTCTTTTTTTCCCTTTTCTTCTTGTCCATGAAAAGAAATTATCGAGAACAGAGGTATGTGATGAGAATAATCTGAACACATAACTGAAAGGTTTAAATCCTACTAGCATCCTTGGAATTCATACATGCAATTATAAATCATGCTGACTTTGTTACTCTGCTGTAGTGATCATATAGCAACCTTGTTTCTCATGACCTTGAAAGGATAATTTTAATAACAGTGCTGTGGGATGTAGCATTTTAACATAGACATATCATTATTTAATTTTAATGGTTCTTTCATCCAACAATACCATAATAATAGAAGTTGTGTTACTTTTATGGTAATATAAATGGAAATGAGTTTTTTCCCCATCTAAAACAAACTTCCTCTATGTTAGGGAATCACTCATGTTTATATAATTGGCTTTTCTTCATCTTTTGAGCAGTCTTATTGCCTAGTACTTTCTGAAGGAATTTATTTTTTGTTACTGTTATATTAATAACTTCCACTCATAAATGATAAAATATATATGGGCACAGTGTTGGGATGAGGAGAAGTCCTGGTATTTAAGGGACCTGTTTATTACCTCTGCATAAGAAAATTTTTTGTACTGATTAGGTAATTTCATAGGTAAGGAAATAATTTGCTTATTGGAATCTCAGGTTGTCTGGTGTACTTTTTTTTTTTTTAATAAAAAGCCCATGAAATCAGACACCCTCTTCATCATAACATTAAAATCTATGTTTAACTAACAGCATAAAAAGATATACAGAGCATTCATGTGGATTTATAAAAATGCCTGTATTGAGATATTCCCTACACTTTTCACATTTAAACAATTATTAATGCTCTTAGCTACTGACACAAAACATTAAAGTATCCTGGAAGACCAGATCTTGCACCTCATAGAGTACTAGTTTTGTTCTCAAGATATCTGTGCAGATTCGTACGCACTTAACTTTCCCCACTGTTCCGTTAAATGTCAGGCAGATTGAGAATAAAATTTAATAAACATAACAGTTTTTAGGCCCCAACCAGCTTTCATTTTTTCACAAATTAAAATTTTGAACTTTATTATTCTTTTTCATTCCATCTTGTAATTTAAAAATCCCTAAAAAAAAAAAAAATCCCTCTAAGACTTTAGGCATAAGTGTCTTCAGTCTCTCTAAATGTGCTCATAGGGAACTAACTGAAATCTTAGACAGTTAACGTAGATATTAGAAAATATTCATCTAGCTCTGGGGAAACTAAATAACTTGTCATTAATGGAAAAAATAAATCTGAGACAAAATTAGTTAAGTTTAAAAAAAACTAGATTTCTTTTTGATGTGTTTAAAACTCTTGTGTTTAGAACCACTGGAGAAGAGCTGGAATCATATAAGTTTTCTCTTGGGTAGAATTTGACCGGTTATATCAAAAATCTAAGTGGTGGCTTTCTCCAATGAAAAATAAAATTAGACTAATAAGATCAAATATTGACGACTCAGCCATTGCCGTAGCAACTAAGGCTATAAGGTAATTTAATATTTCTGACATATAAAAAGGAAAGTGAAATGTCACATGTGTAACATAAGCAAACCTAAAACAGTGCTCTAAGACACATTCTCACCTGGAGTACTATAAAAAATTATTAATATGTTAAACTGTGTACCAACTTCTTATTTTAACTCAATATCTGCATAGGTACAGTTGAGAACATTTTTGCGTTGTTTCCTTTATGTGTCTGATATAATTTCATGCCTCCTGATATTACTGTATCATCATTTTATCAACCTGGTTTCTCTTTTGGAATCTAGTTCATATTTTGAGAGAGTCACGTCTTTGACAGATTTATTTTATGTATTTTGATATATTTCATTACAGTATTTATTTATTTTTGCCCTTGTCCATAGCTAATGAATCTTATACTTGTATAATAATTCTCAAAATGGAGAAGTAGCAAATAATGGACTTTAGATCAGCAAATCATGTATAAATTTCTTTTTTTTTTTTTAAGATTTTATTTATTTGACAGAGAGATAGGAAGAGTCAGAGGAGTACAAGCTGGGGAATGGCAGAGAGAGGGGGAGAAGCGAGCTCCTCACTAAGCAGGGAGCCCCATGCAGGACTCCATTCCAAGTCCCTGGGAACATGACCTGAGCTAAAGACAGACAGATGCTTAACCAACTGAGCCACCCAGATGCCCTGTGAATGTATACATTTCTGAAGGATTTTCCTTTTTAAGAATATATATCGGTTATAGAACAGGTGGTAAGGCCAATGGACCAAAGCATGCATTCAGAAATGTATAGTCTTAATAAAAGTATTTTCAGATGTTCAGATAGAGATGTGTTCAGTTCCAAAGGATGCTACGAATAGAAATAAGGATTTTGAGTTGTCTTTATCTTTAAATTTAAAGGTTTTCCTTTGAGGTTCCATAGTGGGAGGACCAAGTGACAAGGAATCAGAAAATCACTTGCTAGGATATGATTTCTTGGGAAATTACTTAACTTTAAAATCAGATAAAGCTCTTTGTAATCTGTAAAGCATCATAGTAAGGGAAGTTATTAGTGTGTGGTCTCTGAAGACTCTGTGTTTCTCTAATCTTCAAATGAAGGAGGTGGATGTGTTTGGTCTCAAAGAGAAAGGAAGCATTCATTGACATGAATGAGGCCCACACATATTGGTGGACCTGGTGGAAGGTTTTCTTTGATATTAAATGCAAGGCCGTATTAAACATGTAGCCAGTTATCAGATTCTTACTGATGTAATGGCTCAAATGCCATTAGGTGTAACATTCAAATTATTGGAGAAGTCAGGCAAGTAATTCTGTGAAGGAGCTTGATAACCTGGCATGATAGGTTTAATTGCAAGTCTGCAAGAAGACAAGAAGCAAACCACTTGTTTTGTTTTCTTTTGGTTTACAAAGTGCTTGATAAAAAGAGAAGTCTTATTCTGGGCACAGTAGAGGCAGTACCCCATCCATGAATGGTATCACTTTTTTTTTTGAATGGTATCACTTTATATCTTCCAGTGGTACCTTATGAAGCATTGAACCATGTAACAGGAACCATGGAGAGTTTTTATTAATCATGTAGTTACTAGAAAGGATGGCTATTGATCTTTTTCTTTAGAATCTTCAGGGAAGAAGACTTTCATAATATTTTCAGTTGATGCTATCATTTATATTTTAGCATAATTGCTTTAGGATCTAGCAGCTGTATTACTCTGTATGTTTTTTTTTTTTAAGATTTTATTTTTAAGCAATCTGTATACCCAACATGGGGCTGCAGCTTACAACCCGAGATCAGGAGTCTCATGCTTCACCAACTGAGCCAGCCAGGCACCTGAACTGCTGTATACTTTGTAACAAGATTTACAAGTTTGAGCTTTAGTTTTCAGATAGGTTTGCAAGTAGCAATAGAGTAAGAAAACATTAATTTGACCTTGGATTTATAAAACATCCATATTCAGCTGAAATATTTTTTTGTCTGAAATGAACATACATTATGATTAATGTGAAATAGAATAAATAATTAAGATCATATCTTCCTATCTCTACCTTAAGCAGAAACCCACTTTCCCATTTCTTTTCTCTCTCACCTGTTTTAGCCAGTCTATTTTCTGCTTGTGAACCTCCCTCCCTCCTTTTTTTCAAAACTATGTTAGTTTGTTTTTATATTATTATTTAAGTGATATTCATGCATCTGTCAGTGTGACTTGGTACACATTACACAATATTCTTAAAACAGTAAATAATTCTAATATCAGACAGACACCAGCAAAGCATTGGAGAAATGCCTCCTTTAGCATTAAGGTTAAGACTTTTTTTTTTTCATTTTATTCTCATTTTAAGTCTGTGTAAGGATTTAAGTTAAATATATATATTTATGTAAGTATAAATATAATGTATATATAATATAAAATATTAATTTATATTAATACTCATTGGACCCTTTAAGGAAAGACCAGATTTCCATCATAACAGAGTTCCTTTCTGAGGAAAAAGAATTCAGTTAAATAACTTTTTATTATCTTTGGTCATTATTTACAAAAATTCATGTGCGTGTCTACAATATTTGCATATAATTTCGGAAATATGAGGTAATGATTCCATGACAAAACTTGGCACCAGTCAGGCCACCTAATGTAGTAATCACTTCTTGATTCAAAATTCCATGAAACAAGCAAAATTTAAGAAGAAAGCCATAAAGACTAGAAAAATAAATTCAATAAAAAAAATTAAAGAATCACTTAGTCATTTATGATCTTATATAACTAATGATGAAATGTTATTTTATTGATCATGGGGACCTGATAGTCTTTATCTTCACTAAAGGCTAAACAAGAAGAAATAACTTCATTATAATCTGCAATGGATATTGAAAAAGAGGTACATTTCTGGACAGTGAAGAATGTTAAATAATTATTCTTAAGAGATCTTTAACAAAATTCTTAATATGTCATTGATATTTTTATTTATTTACTATGTGAAGAAAGTTAAATGCATTCCTTATGGAATTTTAAGGAGAATGCAAACTAGTTTCTGTATTTTAGAGTCTAACTAATGATAGCTAAGAATCTAATCTGCCCATCATTATAAAAATAAAGCCATGCCCCAGAAGCTCATTGAATTTGAACTCCCTTCCAATCCTTTGACTGAAGCCCACAGTTTATATTGTGTTTAGCATTTAGGATTTTTGTGCATTGTGTAAAAGATGATCATGCTCTGCAGAGAAATTACACTGAAGGAATTATAAAATGTTCATAGTTTTAAAAAAACAAAACCAACAACAAAACTAGGCCCATCCATCATGAGAGGTAGTCCATTTAAGCCTGCAGCATCAGCCAAGTGAGCCTTTGGTAAATACGCAAATGCCAGAACCACATTAAGAGAAGGTAATTCGGGAGATAGATTAATAGAAAGGTCAAGTGTAGTTGGAACTTGTCTTTATTTAATTTGAATTTAGTGAGGCATATCTCATCAGCTTACACAGATTATCATTAAAGGTAATGATGAGAAAGGATTTGTTAACCATAGATTATATTGTTGGAAATGTGATGTTGATGAGATATTCTTTGGCATTCTTTTTATTTTTTTTAAGGTTTATTTATTTGTTCATGAGAGGCAGAGACCTAGGCAGAGGGAGAAGCAGGCTTCTCACAGGAAGCCCAATGTGGGACTCGATCCCAGATCCTGGGATCACGCCCTGAACCAAAGGCAGATATGCCCAACCGCTGAGCCACCCAGGTGTCCCATCTTTGGCATTCTTTTATAAATATTAACATGATCTGAAAGGAAAGTTTCCTCCCTGAAATGACATATGGAACTCTGAGTTTCTTGAGATCATTTGTTTTTCAAGCATTGACAGAATATTGGACTCATGGGAGGCAAGGCAGGAAATGTAATTCCAGAGATTAAAGATCTCTTCCATAACAGTATATATGATTTGTCCTGTATTAACACTATGAATTTGGGGAAGTTGTATTATTTTTTATATAAAATTAATATTTCATAATATACTGGGAAAAAGAAAAAAGTTAGTTATGAGCGGAAGCCACTTAAGGGTTTAAAAATATTTTGAAAGAATACATATCACAGGGTTCTAGGTAAAATTAGACTTATAGATCAAATGAGAAATTTGACTTTCTTCAAGGGGAGGATCACACAAATTAATATATGTGCTTCAGTGAGTTGAAAATTTTTTTTAGATTTGGGGCTATGTATAATTACATAGGATTGAAATAATATGAAAGAGGTATTGAGTCATTCAAAAGAAGGAATGACCAAGTATTGTTAACATTTCAAACAGAATGGAAACTGGTACAAGGAAACAAACATCTGAAAGTGGCATTTTTTAAGATAGAATTTAGCATCAGCAAGTAACCAAGGTAAGCATGGAAACTAAGGAAAAACTAAGTAGAAAAAGGAGTTAGCAAATTTGGCCTTTGTTAGAGGCCCATTGAAGTATAAATTTGTTTAAAATTCTCAATCCAGCACCGGTTTGTGGCACCTCCCACAACAGTATCGAATGGAACTGAATCAAATTTTGGATGCAGGTGGCTCTTTGGGGGCCAGGCATTGGCAGATGATCAGATTAGCTATTGAGGTTGACAAGGTGGTCCATCACTGAGTTTTCTACACTCCTTCCTTAGGGAAAGTGATAAAAATCTGTTGCGATCTTCGCCAATTCAAAATCAGAGTCCATGGGGTCAGTAATAGTACAGATTAAACAGATCATCCTTTGTGGTGTTCCTTCTGTGGAGATAGAGAACCGAGGTCACCCAGCAACTGTCTTCCTATAGTCTCAACAAGAATTCAGGTTTTATTTCAACCCCTTCTTCCTTGTGCTAAATGATCTCCCTTTACATATTCTCCTGTGCAGTTGTAGAATTACATTTTTGCTTGGTGTTTGACTCTCTTTCAGCTTCATATTTCTCCTAAATGAACAATGAAGCTGCAAATTGAACAGATTACTCCAATAAGAATTTATTTGGATTAACTTATAGAAAATTGCTTAGAAATCAGTTATTTTAAGACTTAATTGGTCTTAAGGTTACATTATATAATGGTTAGAATTCAAAATAGTTTATTGGCCAGCCACAGTGAAAGAATTATGCCTTATTTGGGGCAAGGACTGTTTGTCCCAACATGTCTCCTTCAGCACCATTTTTTTTTTAAGTCAAAACTTCCGTCAACATCTCCAAGTATAATAAAGTTAACAATGAAAAACCTCATCTTTCCATATTTTTCCCCTGAAGCAAGGCTTTATTCATCCAGATTGTATAGACTTCAGTGATTGCATTTCTGACCTCTACAAGTTAGAATGACTTTAACTTGTCACATTTATTAATAATCTTACATGTTGTTACAGATTTGATTCATGTAGATCATTATCCCTACCACTTTTTTCCTAAAATAATATTTGTATATGTCTGTGTTCATGTGTGTGTCTTGTTTTCTGACTCTGAAATGTTTATTATGCCTTAGACAGTTACCCCAGGGAGATTATGTAAAAAAGCCTGGAGATGGCGACTCTTTTTATAGCGACATTCCTCCCGGAGTCAGCACAAACTCAGCATCTAGTTCTAAGAAGAGGTCTGCTTTTCTGTCGCATTTTCAGATTTCTACCTGTTCCATCACACATTATTCCATTAGTCAGAACATTTCATTATTTTGCAGCAGGTTTGATTACTTCTTCCTTCTTTCTTGAATGTTAAAAAATAGTATCCTTTGTTCTTTGATTACTATGCTTCCAAATGCCATATGCTCAAAACCACTTGTTAAATCAGGCCAGAAATTGAACCAAAATTAAACCAAACAAATAACAATCCTAAATCTATGTAGAAATCCTAGGGTTTTTCAATCTTGCTCTTATATGGCTTAAGAAACTATACATAGTATTTTATAATATTTTAAATGGTGAGCTTTATGTCATGTTGGGTAGTCAAAGAAAAAGGTTACTGTCATGCTTCAGTAAAGCAGTTGTTAAAATGGTACTATAAATGCTGCGTTGAATATTTTAAGATTTTAAATATACCAAAGCTAAGCTTGCTGTGAAAAAAAGTTTGCTTCTCTGTGAATCGTATATTTGAATATTATGATTTTGCCTTTTATTCCTGGAATGATTATTTCTATCTAGACTTTATAATTTAGAGCTTGGTTGCAAAATTAAGTATATTTAATATTTACCTGAATTTTATAATAGGACAAGTGGGGTTAATATAATATTTATGTTTTAAACCTTGATGTTATATTTTTGTTCCAAGATCTTAAGGTGTATAAGACCAGTTAAAATTCTGCATGCTTTATAACTGCTTAATAAAATAAACTGGTAGAAGAAATAAATAGTTGGAATGTTTTAGGAAATGAAACCTACATTCACATTGAAGAAAGCTAAAATATTCCTGTGGAAGAGTTTCTTTAAAATTGTTAATAGAGATGTAATGTATAGAAAAAGAAGATTTGATAACCCAGTACAAAAGATTTGATTGCTTTGGGCAGAGTAGGTACCATGTAGACTGAAGGAGAATTTCTAGCTTATTTAGAAGAAATGTAATCTCTTCTGAAATTCTACATAGAGTGAATCATATGTAAAAATTCTGCAATGGATCTCACTCTATAAGCAATCACAAAGGAGAAAAGAAAGGATCAGTAGATCTGGGAACCCTTCTTTATGTGGAAGTGTCTTATGCATGAAGGATTGTTTTTACTCAGATAACAGCTTAGAGCAAAAGTAGTTTTTGCACAAGGAGTATAGATCTGTAGAAGGATTTTCAAAAATTTTTATTCTTTTAAATTACTGAGGTTTTTTTTGGCTAAGAAAATAAGATTTATCTAGGTTCCATATATACATATTTTCTTGGTCAAATATTTAAATTAGCATGAGAAAAAGGTCAAATATTTAATCTTTAATTTAACCTTAAATTAAATATTTAATTTTAAATTAACACGAGAAAAAGGTAGAAAAATCAATGAATTCCAGCAGATTTTTTTTGTTCTGCAGAAAATAGGATTCATTCTATAATTAGCAAATTCTGTTGTAAAACTCCTAACCTGAGGAATTAATATGTTATAATTGTGCTGAGTTCCATTTATTTTCATTCATCAGTAGAAGGCTCCTTTTAAAATAGACGTTATTAGCAATTAACTGGATTGATATGTGGGAAAGATTTTAAATATTTTCTAAAGTTCCTCAAGAACTTAAAATGCTGATTTGAATCATTCCTAGATTTTAGAAAAATGGGTTATAACTTTTAAGCAGTTAAAAATGATATCAAATTATGTGACTCCTCCTAAATACATGTAGTTTGTCAAAATACTTTTCATATGTGGTACAGGCATGTGTATAAACTTTGCTTCTTGTAGAATATTTAAGATGGCAGGGCACAAATAGCACAAGGGCTTAATGGTACATGGGCTTTATGAGAGATGCTTCCATGATAAACATTTGATTCAGTTCAGGTATTGAGCAGTTAACTAACATACTACATTTTGGGCCAGCCATATTTGTGGAGAAAATGCCAATTCTCAAATATAGTTTTATTGTTTAAAAAAAAAAACCTAAATATTACTTTGATAAAGGTTGACCAGGTTCAATTGGACAGATCTTAGTGAAATCTCTTGGAAGTCCATGTTCTCATAATATTTGAATGAAAACCATTGCTTTACAATTAAGAAACATTTATAGTGGGACCCCATTATAACTCTTCTACTCCAATTATATAACTGAAATATGAAGCGAATTTGCTGTCTGTGGTTTTTGGGAATGTAATTGGCTCGTACTGTATGCTGATACTTTTCAATTGTAAACTATTGTAATGGGGTTCCATTGTATTTGACTTTTCTTAAATTGAATGTTGTGTAATTCTGCCTTCTTCATGAAGACTTTCATGTTCTCTTCATTCTTTCATTTCAGATTTTTTCTTTCTTGATTTATTTAATGCACAGTAATGCTTAGAGATTTTGCTTACTGATTTTAAAATTAAATAACACTTGATTATGTTTTTGAACAGTACGTATACATTTTTAATTTCAGGTCAAATGGGCTTTCTCATTCTTGGAGTGAAAGGATTCCAGACACAAAACATATTTCAGACATCTGTGAAAACGGACGACCTCGAAGTAACTCTTGGCAAGGTATAGGGTAGCATTCTGAATAGCTAGCGCATCTTTTTGCACAACCCAAATTCAGTGTTTTATGGTTCTTGGTTGTAAAGATTTGTTCTTTTCTGTTTGCTCTTTAGTTCTTCTCCCAACAGAGAAGAGGGCATTTATTATAAGAGCCCCGTTCTTTTTTCTTGGATGGGAAATGATGGGATTCAGTAGCACTGGTGCACAGGACAAATTGAGAAGGCTGTACAGTACTCTACAGCCCTCTGTTCTGGGAGGGGCTGGGAGTACACCACATGAAATAACCCTGTGATGACATATGGCAATTGTTTATTTATATTCAAATCTAGCCATAAACCGTCTTTTTCAGGTAACCTGGGAGGCAACAGAAAGAAAATCAGAGGCAAAAGATTTAGACCTCGGTCTAATTCAACTGAGTAAGTCTAAACCTCTAATGGAAAAAGGCATTCCAAGGTCCTGTGCAATTAGTGTGCAAAGTTAATTAACGAGATCATCAAAGAACTGTAGAAACCATGCCTCTGGTCTTGGTTTTGTCTTTTTAATTCCTTTTTGCCGTTTTAAAATTAACCATGGCTTTTCTCTTTTACATAGGCATCTCCGCAACTGTGCCCATACCAATGTTCACTGACAGCAGGGGTCACACCCTTGCTGCAGGCTTTTCCCTCCAGTAACCTGCCATTGTGGTGTCTTGGTTCCTTTTGAAGGGAATTTTGATAACATTCCTTTCTTCTCATCACCTGGGGTCCAGCCATTTCAGAGGGATCACCCTTCCTCTTCCCAATGTTCACACAGTCTAGAAGCATCAAGGGAAAGTTCCCACTGTCCCAGAGCATGATACTGCTCACAGTGTGATACCACCGCTCCAAGAGCTTCATGGCTGCAATCTAAGCATTCTCTCAGACTAATGGAATACGTTTCCCTTTTAAATCTTCCTTCTGAGGACATTTAAAAGGGCACTTACAAAACTTGCTCTTTAACGGAATCATTGTCACTAAATGCAACACTATCTGTTTTAAATGATAGCCACGCATTATTTTTTTTTTTAAGCAGAGGGTGGGGGGTGGGATCAGAAGTTACATTTAAATTATTCCTAATGAGGTAAACACCATGCTTTTTTTGTTTCTTCACTTAAGAAAGTACAGCAAAACCAAGCTTCCTCAAACCTTTATCTCATGTCCAGTAATAAAACACACCCTCGGTATCCTTCTGACCTTGCCACCAGGTTTTAATTAACCATACTTTTTTGACCTACCTAAATTTTTTAAAACTTCTTTCTCATTGCAGTGCTAGTTATTGTTTTCAAGATCACTATTGCCTCTTCATGCCTTAATACTTAAAAAATCTGAATAGCAGGTGTTTGTTAACTGCTTGTCAGAAACTTATGTTAGCTTTTCCATCATATACCCTGCCTTTTTCAGTCCAGGAATAAAAACAGTGCCCTGAAATTTGGACCTTCCTGCTGATGGTATTGTCTTGTAAGTGGCTTGTCAAAGTTTACTAGAGGATACTTTATTTTAGAAACACTAGATAGGTTTAAGTAATACCATTGCATGGTCCAGAATGGCATCATAGAACTCCATCATAAATAACTAATCTGTTAGAGTTTATCTTATACATTCCCAAAGCGCTTGGATGCTTTAGGGCTCATTGTGGATAAACTCTTGGAATGTTGTTTGATTTGTTTTGCATGAGGTCACCTGGTAAGAGCTCCTTAGCTCATCTCAGTTGCTCACAAGAATACAGATAAAACTGCAAAATGTTCTTCAGAACTTCCTTTGTGTACTGGTTAGCATTTTAACAGTATTTCCTATAATAAGGCTTTGAAAACTCCTGAGTGAAAGCAAATCAACATTATATTAAAGCTATATATTTAGGACCCAAACAACACTTGGTGTTTAGCAAGATTCATACAGTATATACTAGCATGGTCACTTAATTTTTAAAACTTTTTTGTAAAATTCCCACTCATGTCATGTGATAAAAACTATAATACCAGATAGCCCTTAAGGAGTCTCTTGCCTGTGAGATAACACTATAATACTTAATAAGACATCATAGTGAAATCATCTTTGTGAGGAAGAAGTATTAAGGACTCCCTCAGATTTTTCAGACTTGGGTTACATGACTCATGTTAATTAAATGGAACCAAGTCTGTGAAGTTGACCACTATTCTCACATACTTTACTATATGGGCACTATGTACATATATATGTTTTTTCCTTGTAAATAATTCTAATACATAGCGTATCAGGAATTATGTTGATAGTCTTTTTTAATACTTTCATATTCACTAAATAACCCCTTTTGCTTCTGATATAACAATATAATTTGTGGGACTATAAGAGAAGCAGAATGACCACAGACAAATGTATCTTTTTTTATTTTTTAGATTAAAAGGTATCATTGAGCCCATTATTTCAACATCCCCTTCAGTACCCATCATCCCAAAGGATGATGAAACATCAGGACGTGAATTAAATCATTCACCACAAATGCATAGTCTGCTAATTAAGAACATAAAATGTCCTTGTTTATTGTATTGTTTCTCCACTCAAAGTTTTTGCATCTTCCTCACTGTTGTACATTATGTGAAAAAGGTTTTGGCTTAGACTTTGTATTATATATTGTGTTTTTACAGGAGGGAGCCCCAAGCACCTGAGCCTGGGCACTCCCTCGCCCAGACAGTCCCATCCCAAGGCATAAGCCCAGGGGGCTCTGACAGCCCCCAGACAGGGAGTCTGGATCACAGGTCAGTCTCCACCTGCCCCTTCATTCTGGGCTGCCACTTAATCTCCCTCCTAGTCCCTTCCTTGGCTGAGAGCAGGGTCATTTGATCTTTGACTGACCTCCTACGTCTGCTTGGACATGGTCCTGGTCCAGCCAGCACCAGCTACTTTTCCTCTGCCTTTCCATCCTGGAGAACACAAAGAGCTCTCCTACCCTGTCTAACGCATTTTTTTTTGCATGTTGCGCTACAAGCCACGTCAAGCCACATAGGCAGGTATATAGCAGTTTGATAAAAAAACCATCACTTTGCCACCACCACCTAGAGATGCTAGGAAGCCCGCTGTGAAGAGACTTTCACGGGCAGATCCCCAGAAGGAAAAACCATTGAGAGCTCTCTTCAGTGACCTCTAGTGAAGTGATCACAGCCTTCTGAGATGCTCCTTGAAATGGAGGAAAAAGTCCATCATGTGCAAGCCAAGCCATGCAGCTGTAGGTTTCATGGAACAGCCATGGCATCAGCCCTTTGAGCTTCTAAGATTGTCAGTGAAAGGAACATACGTCTCCTCCTGGAAGCTGCCTGTGGGTGACTCAGTTTGCTGTGTGGCTATGTTTCACCTGATAACAGCTGCATGGGCTTTTTCTACAGTATTCCCCAGGCCAGAGCATTCACTAGCCTTCATCTGTGGCTGCACTTGCTTTTTGACTTTTTCTTTTGGTTCAAAGTCTCAATGGAAATTTTTATGCAAGTTTTAATTGGCTATCTCTGTGAAAAGTGCAAGTTGGCAATGGTTGTGGCTAAAGGCAACACTAGTGTGAGTTGTTCCTGTTCAGGGGACACTGTCTTAACAAAAATGGTCTTACAGACATAAAAAGCAACCAGACCCTTCTCTTTTGAGGGAATTACATTGGCCATAGCTCAAAATGAGGGAAAGGGCTATGGAAAAGGTAATCTAATTTTGTTTATGTAACTGAAAATGTAGTCATGATTTAAATATATTTAGAAGCCGAAACCAAACATGGTGGAAAGAAGCAAAGTTTAACCCCAAATGAATAGCATATTTTATTTTTCCCATGTTTTCTTTCCAAATAGCTTGCAGAGTTTGATGGACCTTACATCTTCATTCTCTCTATATCTCTATAAGTTACTTTTTAAAAGAAAAAAAAATCCCATAAAACCTCCAAATTGTTCCAACACTGGATTTGTTGAATCTATTTATTTTACGAGAGCTAAAAGGGGATGTGTCTTTGCTTGGTTCCCTGGGTTAAAATGAAGGGAAACTCTGAAAAAACAACAACATCAACAACTTGCACTCTCAATTTACCACCTTTTAAATTTTCCTTTGCGCAGTAATTCCGATGGAGACTTTGCCAGATCCATCAGGGAAGTGCTAATTAAGGTCGTTAGTATCCTCTGGCAGTCACTCACATAATTCATGATCAGACATTAAGAAGGTAACTTCTGAGGTCCATTTCCTAATGGAAACATGAACGCTTTAGTCTGGAGTGCATAAAAGGAGGAAGGAATATTGCAGCTACAACTGAATTGCTGAACCCAGCTTAAAGATCTCAGAAACCTATTTGGCCCATGCATAATGTATATTGGAGCTCCAGGATCAGAAGAGCAGGATCCTTTCTGCTCTTTATAGAGCCAACTGGAGCACTTCTCTTGTTAACTCCAGTTTAAGGTCTGCTATCTGGAGTGAAACAGGGGCCATATAAAGTCTTTATTTTTTTTTTTTTTCATATTGGAAAGAGAACTTTGCTCCTTTTAATTCTTCTTGGGGTGTTATATACCCAAACACCAGGTTGGAATTGCAGCCATCTGAATATTCTCAAAAAGCATCGTTATCATTTGAAAACCAAGGAACCAAATGAGAGGTGGCCTGGAAAAAGCCACTTTGGAGGTGGGTGAATGGGACCTCTGTCAGTACTATGATTGGAAGACACTTTCTGATTCCCTTGGGGAAACCACTGGCAAGGCTTTCCGTGAAATGTTGAATACATTCTAGAATGCCTCAAGCCTTGTTGTAGCTGAGTTTATTCTCATGTCATGGTACAGACTGCCTCATAACCCCCAGCATCCATCCTGGTTTATTTGCCATAGTCACTTGCATTTGGAGGGTGAAGAACATCCTTGCTAAGCTTGTGCTGTGTATTTTCAGATTTTCTATCTTGTTCTGCTTTCTTTGTTCCTTCCATTGCTTTCTGCAGGTATTTAAACCCATGGTTCAAAAGAGACTATAATGTAGCTAAGTGGGTAGAAGATGTGAATAAAAACACTGAAGGACCATACTTTAGGTATTTTATAAATTAATTTTATATCCTTTTCAAACTCTCCCAGCACATACAAATACTGTAGTGTGACTGGCTCTCTATCTTGTATCTCCCAATACAAGTTCCCATAGATGGAAAGGGTCCTTGTTTATTTGCTGCCTTTTGATCTCTGTTTCTGGCTTCGTGAGCAAGTCTAGTTCTTTTCTGAATGTTTCAAATGAAGCCATTTGAAAGGGTTGCCTTTTAGTGCATGTCCCCATCACCATCTTGAGCTTTTTAGTAGCTTTCTCTTCATTTTATGCTATGTAGTGTTCTATGGGCATGAAACATACTTTCCACTAATAAAGAAGCACTATTAACCTGAACAATTCAATTTCTAGAATTTAGCAGTTTTATAGTGCATTTTTCCTACTTACTGCTTTACAAGTGCATAGTGCGCATGAAAACCTAAGGGAAAACATGAAAAGAAACCAAATGAAATGTAGTGGAATTTTACTTCGAGTAAAAACAGTGATTTAATGGAGTTTAAAATTATTGAGAGAATCTTGACCACAAGAGAGTGGATTGAATGAGTTTAGGTTTTGTTTATTCAATACAAGCTTTCAGCACCAGACAAAGGCTGTGCTGAGAAGTGTTTTACAGATTCTCAACAAAACATCCAAGGAGCTTTTTTATGCTAGTAAGATGGTTGTTGTCTAACACTTCAGACAGCAGGAAGGAGAGAGAAAACATGTTCTTGATTCACAAAAGAGCAGACCGAGTATCCCTACATTTTAGAAACTAGAATTTACTCAATCCACTGTAGCTCAGTCTAACTTCAGAGGTCAGAGAGAATTTCCAAGAGCTCTTAATGGCATTATTTCACTCTTTAATAATATCAAAGTGATTTCCTAGAGGTAAATGTCCAGTTTATATATGAGTACTTTGTGGACAACTAATGTAAAGTAGAAATGACTTAGTTACTACCTCTTCTGAAAATAATAGGCTTTCAGATTACTTTTTGCTATGACTTGGGTCAGCATTTAACAGATATCAAAATATGTATATGTATTTAACTCTCAGCACCCATATAAGGTGGACTTTCTCTTCCAGTGTACCATTTAGTTTAGACATGTATAGTTTGAGAAAATGATTAGACCTACTTGCATTTTAATTTGATCCATACATTTGCATATACCCCAAGGAAAGCATAACCCTGCCTGCTCACGACAATATATCCTGCTTTTATACCCCATCTTTCCCTCCTGCCCTGTTCCTCTGCTTATATCACTTCCCCACACTGAATCTCATACACATACACTCACATTCAAACATCCCACCCTCACCTGTAGCTCTCAAGATGGCCAACGTCAGGAAGACAGGTAAGATTATTTTGAATGTTATTTGGAATCTTGGCTCACCCGCAGTCCTATTTCTCCTTTCCTTAGGCTTGTGGGCAGATTGTAATTTGTATTAGCCATGGAACCAAAACAGAATGACTTTGGTCCCATATGGGCTAGGGCTTTTATACCTAAATGGACTTAGCATTTTTGCATCAATAATTTGTGAAATGGTACCCCGGAAGAGTTGTTTCACCTCCCTGGGTCAGCTGAGTAGTTTATGTGGCTCCTAGAGAAGAGTTCACATTTCTTAAAATCAGCACCCAGGTCTGCCCAGAAGCTGCATGACTAAACACAATTTGGATGGGGAAATGCTTTAGAACCCCTGGTTGCACGTGCAAAGCTGCAAGGGCAATTTTAGAGGGTTCCTTTATCTCCTCTTTTAATATGAGAGATCAGTTCCCACAGTGGATAGTCACGTTAAGAATTAATTATTAAAATCCATATTAGTATTTAAAGGCTACATATAATTCACTGGAGGTTTATAATGTAACTATCATTTTAGGATTAATGGGGGTTATGTTGGTTAAGACTTGAAAACCAACACACAAATTTGGTGAAAGTCATAATTAAGATACCCCAGAGCTTTTAACACAGTGAGTCTCACACAACAGAATTTCATCCACCCTTCATCCAAACCAGTCCTTACATAGGAGACCCAGAGTATATCCTCAGCTTGGTTTATGCTTTGCCAACACTGTGCTTCAGTTCAAATCTGCTTCCTCAGCCACCAGGTTGTTCAGGATTACCTCTCCTGCTAAAACCACTGATGAGGGCAAAGGCCATTTTATTAATCACTCATGTGGTGTGAGGTTTGTGGCATCCTTATCAAAATACAGTGGGGACTTAGTGACTGTGGAAACTGGTCCAAAGTATAGCCCATTATTTAAAATATTATATCCATACTATGAAAAAGCAAATGCCAAAAGGTTTTGAGTGATGATAGTGCCAGTTCTGTGTCAGACAGTGGTTGCTCAAATGATTGCCAGCATTTAGTCACATCAAGCAGCGTAAGAGCATTATTTCCCCACACCTAGATCTTGGGGGCAGTTCTTTTGGTGACAGTGCTTTTATAAGCTCTCAACAGGTATCCTTACTCTTGAGTATTATGCATTTGATTACTCTCTTCATCAGGTTGTTGAGTCCCACTTCCCTGATTTTATGGAAAATGCAATAACTCTGAAAAGAAACTAATAATAACTTTCCTACATTGAGTGCCTACTATGTCCCCTTTATTTCTTACCACATCATGAAATGTAGGCCTTCTTACTCCCTTTCTATGGATTGAGGAAACTGAGGCACACAGAGTAACAGAAGGTAGCACAGCCAGTAAATGTCAGAACCAGAATTACCAGTGTGGCTCTGACTCCAAAATCTGTTCCTTTCCACTTCACTGTAATTACTTAAGAATAGTGGGCTGGATATGGACTATTTAAATCCTATCCTGAGACACTTCATAAATCCTCCAGGATGAGGCTACTATAAAATTCGCATCTGAACACTGATACGTGAGTAAGGGTGGACCTGTTCCCCTCATGTGTGACTGCCCTGGTTTCAGCCCCTTCTGGAGAGGAGAACAGAGATGAGTTTGACCTTACAGGCATGTCTACAAAAGGCCAGCCCAGCAAGTCTTTGTAGCCCCAAGAGAGCCCACAATCCATTGGCACACAGGCACACTTCCATTGTGTAACCTTAAATGGTACCTATTATGCTTATTATGGTTTTTGAAAGTGCTATAATGACAATGGATAACATTTGTTCAAAGATTACTTTGTAAGTGAATGAGCTGGGCCAGTGACTAGTTTTCAGTGAAAGCCAGATTGGAACTAGCAGGCACATAGCCAGTAGCCAGGGTCAGAAAAGAGCCTGGAGGCAGTTTTAGAGAAATGTCTCCTCATAGACATTTGTGACAAAATTTTAGTTTGTTGTTATTTCCCTAAGATGAATTACCCTACCTTGTTCTCTGCTCTTATTCCGATTCCTGTTCTGGTACTGAACATCCCCTCAAGATAATCCCTGTTATGCTATCACACACCACCCAACCTCCAGGACCCATTGTCCCTTGCTGCTAATCAGACCATCTTGCTTGGCTTTTCTATTCCCCTCAGTGTTAGTCCAAAGTGTCAGCTAACTGAGGTATTCATGTGAGAGGTAGTATATGTGCAGGTTTCTTGGGCGGGGTGTGTCTGGAGAATATCTCCTGGTTTTGTTCTCAATCATTATTGGATTCCACCATGGAAGAATATTTAGAGGAAAGACCAGATTTTCAGTACCCCTCATTAGAATGACCTGGACTCATGGCCAAGTGAATGGCTGGCATGTCTCTGGGAAGCTATAAGCCAATAGCTTATGCTATGGACACATACACTCTGTAGCAAATTGAAAAGACTCATTTTGCATGATCCCCTAAAGTAAACAAGATTTAGTTCTTTTTTATATACCTGATTAGCTTTCCTGAACTTGGACATCTTACCAGTAGTGATTCAGCTAAAATTATGAAGTCAGGTTACTGTCCTTTGTTTTAGAAAGATGTATTTAAATACCTAATACAAAAGTTTATCCTCATTCTACACATACTGAATTTGTTTCCTAAAGGTCACAGTCATATTGGAAATGTTTTCTTAAAACTAAAAATTCCCTAATTTCTAACTAGAAACATATGCAGTAGTATATATGCTTTAATAGCCTTTTGGAGGATTTGAAGTACTTATATTCTTAGTTTGACCTATCTGCTCTGTAGTAGAAAGCATTATCACAAAAAATATAATATTCTAACAGTTCACACTAAGAAGTGGTCCTAGACATTTTCCAAAAATAGAGGAAAGGTTAGGAGTTATAGGTTAAAACCAAATTAAGCCACTGTTGATTCTTCAAATTGAGCAAGAATGTTCATGTGGAGCTCAGGGCTTATAGGAAAAAATATTTTCAACATTTAGCTTGAATTTGGTGTCCAAAAGATGGGAACTGATTTGAAAATTACAGAACTAGAGTGAAGCATAATATATGTATGGAAACCAACGGGGGAAAAAAAGAGACCTCTTTATGCTGTTGCATGTGCAGTGCAGTAGATCTGCCCCTGGCCAGTGCCACCTTGCTGCCAATGCTCGCAGGTTGTCAGTCACTCCCAGCAGATGAGCTGCATCCCCCTGAAATAAAAGCCCATTTATGAAGTAACCCCTTGGCAATGTGGCTCACAGCCACCCTGCCCCAGCAATTGAGCAGTCATGGGTATGTTGTGGTAACATTTGTGAATGGGTAGTTATTGCTGAATTAGCACGTCTGTTTCCCATTGATAAGGTGTGAGTGAAAAACTCTTCAGCTCTGTTTTTTACTTGGAGGACGAGATAACAGATGTGGGCTCTTCTTGTGAGCTCAGCTTTGTCGCAAATATTACCACTACATGTGCAGAATCAAGAACAGCATAATACACCACAGCTTACACATATCTTTCATATGGAGTATCTTCATGATGGAGATGTTATCTAAAAAGGAAAGGTTTTATTGTGTTTTGTTTTAGTTTCAGTAACATTCCAGTCAATAAAATGTAGCCATCCTAATGACATAATAAGTGTACCCTACATGAGTCATCAAGATCTACCTCTATGGTACAGAATCCTCACCTGTATGGAAATGCAGATTGTAGGGACTAATCAGACCATTTTTGTATGTTCTCATCAGACTCTTTGTTTGGCTGGAACTCTGCACTCTTTACTGCTTGCATGTTTACTAATTTATTATTAAAACCCCTGTATTTGCCTTTGTTCTTTCACAACTAACACACTGGCCTCTGAATGCATGAGTTTTGTGTAAACTGGTGTGTGACTCAACAACTTAATGTATCAATTGTATTATATTTTCAGATAGTAAAATATAATTAGAATTACTATACTAAAACATTTTTACATGAAGTGGTAAAAATAAGGCAGTATATTAATATGTCGTACACTTAATTGACCATTATGAGCTCTTAGAATGATTTTATCCCTTCTCCATTTTAGCTTTTTTATCTATTGTATAGGGAACTTCATCATTTGCTTTGTAGTTGAGGAGTCTGATTCTGTGTGCTAACGTTTGAACAGTCCATTCAGTTATGACATTAGGAAGATAAGATTCCAGCGTTCCAGTGATTGGAAAGAACAGAGAATCTCCCACTAGTTTAAACCTTTGCAATAGTGGCCTATGAAAATAGGAATCAAAGGGTTTGTTCTAAACCCACTTTTCAGATATTTGAAAAAGATGTTAGGCAGTCACATAATATTTATTTCATGTGTTCTCAACGTCTCAGGACTCTGTCTCCTGCCAAGTCTCCCTCTTCATCAACTGGGTCTATTGCCTCTAGCAGAAAATACCCATACCCAATGCCACCACTTCCTGATGAAGAAAAGAAAGTGAACCGACAAAGTGCCAGGGTAGGTGGAAACTGCCATATGCTAGCAGCCTTGATCATTATCATTTATTTATTAATTCATAGTTTATTTTTTTAAAGATTTTATTTATTTATTCATGAGAGACACACACAGAGAGAGAGAGAGAGAGAGAGAGAGGCAGAGACACAGGCAGAGGGAGAAGCAGGCTCCATGCAGGGAGCCTGACGTGGGACTCGATCCCGGGTCTCCAGGATCACACTCTGGGGTGAAGGCAGCTCTAACACCGGGGGCTGCCCTAATTCATAGTTTAAAAGAGAGAGCCATTTTTCCTTTTCTGCTTACAAAAAATAAAAAAAAAATGGAAGATTTTCAATATTCCATTAAAAAATGGAGGATTTGGGGGGCTCAGATTTATATTTGCAAATGAGCTTAACTACTGCATTCATAAATGCTAGAGATAATTTGATATAATTTGATCATTCATTGCTATATGTTTATATCTTGTATGATACATTGTAGCTAATATATTACAGTCTGAAGTAAATGAAACAGAGAAAGTATTTTGCTTTATCAGTTTTTTAGTATAGCCAAAAATGCCAGAGATTCAAAAAAGTAGCCTCATTTCCATGTCTAATTTGCTTACTTAGGCTTTTTACTGGCTAATAACACCCAATAAGACTTTAGGAATCAGAACCTGTGACAGATGGGATCCCTGGGTGGCGCAGCGGTTTGGCGCCTGCCTTTGGCCCAGGGCGCGATCCTGGAGACCCAGGATCGAATCCCACATCGGGCTCCTGGTGCATGGAGCCTGCTTCTCCCTCTGCCTATGTCTCTGCCTCTCTCTCTCTCTCTGTGTGTGTGTGTGTGTGTAACTATCATAAATAAATAAAAATTTAAAAAAAAAATTTAAAAAAAAAAAAAAAAAAAAAAGAACCTGTGACAGAAAGTTAGACCAGTATCTTGGAGATGGGGATGGAATGGATACAAGGATGGAATTTGGATACTAATATTAAAAAATATATGTCAAAGGGTATGGTAAAATTTAGCAACCTTTTATATTTTAAAAAGCCAGATTTAAAAACACAGAAGAGCTGATTATTTATGTTAAAATATGGTTCACCAGAAATTTTATTTATTTACATACTTACTTTTCTTTAGCTTGTCATTAGTTTTTCACATAGAAGAACCAATTCCTTTTATTTTCTCACTGAAGTATTTTATGAGTCTAATATAGTGAAAATTCAGCATAATATTATATACAGTGTTATATTAGTTTCTGATGTGCCAGAAGTTTCCTTAAATACTGAGTCTTCTTTTACTTTATGAATCTACTCAGCCTCACAGTGTTCCCAGAACACATCCATTATGTGAAATTTGCGATATAGTCCAGTTAAGAGCAGCAGGCCAGCCCTCAGAGGTGTAAGTGAAAGATACAACCAAAGAATAATTACTTTTTTTGATATCTAAACTCTGTTGTGGTCACTTACAGTGTAAAGTTGTTCTTCTCGGAAATACTTTGCAATAAAATAAAGCTTTAAAAGCCTGTGCAGATTTATCTGCTAGTGGGTCTTGGGTTTCTGGGATTTTTGGTTTGGAAGATATTTCAGAGCTTATTTGATCCTGAACTTATATAATGGGGTTCAAGGTAACAGATCATTCAAATTTTACCTCAATCAACTCATAGTCAACAAGAGAACACAACTTATTAAAACAGATTATATTACTGTAATCAGAAACACCTTGAAACCAGTTAGTGGTGTTTTTGTCAATTACATGAAAAATTACCTTCCCATGTGATTATGGGTAATGGTGAAAGATGGCAGGGAAAAAGAAAATTCAAATTCCCAGCATTCAGCTTTCTGGTCTTAAAAAACATAATTGTTAATAGGCATCCAGTTGTTCATGATTTGAGTGTATCATAATGAAATCCAAGGCTAATGGCATTCCATCTAGTTGGGGACATTCTATCAGCTGTTGTCATGCCAGGCTGTAGGTTATTAATAATCCCACATAAAGCCCATGAAAATGTCAGCTCCCCAGAAGAAGTGGCTGGCCCATGGCCTCTTTCCTGGGACAGTTCTGTGAAAGATCAGATGGTTCCATCCACCATGGAACATCCGCATGAACATACAGTGGAATCCTGCAGAATAGGCAGCCCCTGTCTCTGGCTGTCTTTGTGGGACGTGGAGAATCAAACAAGCAGATCTTGTTATGAGCACTCCTCCATTACAGCTATCTAGAAATGGCCACACTCTGTACCATCAACTGAGCATTGATCTGGATCTTCTTTCCCTCAGATACCCTGTGGACCCCCTGTTTAGCCAATTCATCTTCACTAGTCTCCACCAACACATGTCATTCACAGACAAACATCCTTACAATTGAGAGATTTAGTCTCCAAAGGGTGAGAACAGAGTCAGCTTTACCACAGTCCTTGTGGAGTAGCTGACATGGGTATTCAGAACAAGATTTCCATGAAGGTTCCAAGGAACCTATTAATGGAACCTATGTAGAAACATCCACAAGACACTTAGCTCTTTCTGCTTTTTCTTTCCCAGAAACTCAAAAGGTATACAATGACCTGCCCCAGATTTTTAGTAAAAATGGAATTTGAATGGAATTTGGATGCAGCTTAAGTCACACTGGTCTTAGACTTTCTTTGTTCATGTTTGTAAACGTGTACCCACATCATATTGCCTGGAAACAATACATTGTCGGCTTGATCTTTTTCCTTTTTTTTTTTTTAATTGGCCATCCTCTGGTGAACTGAGTTGTATTCATATTTGATCATGCCAGAGTTGTTTATAGTGCATTAAAGCAATTAGTGAACATTGTAGAAAGCAAATATGAATAGTACCAATGTGTGCAGGACTGGTGACAGAAGCAAGGAGAAGGAAACGGTGAGAGAATTAAACAATTGACATCCTGCCACAGATGCATCATTCTACTCTCATGTCCTGAGAGAGGACAATCTTCTAGGAGGTAGTGTTGGATTTGGAGAGTGGATGGCCTGGTTGTAGGCACACAGCAGAGATTTCTAAGTGGGTGATGGTGGAATTGATGGAATCACACTTCCGCAAGGTTGGTACTCCTCAGGGTTCGCTCTACATGGGAGTTGTTTGAAGGGCTTTTAAACTATGCTGACGCCTGAGTCCCACCCACAGAGATTTTGATGTAGTTGATCTAGTGTGCTATCTAGGTAGTAGGATTTTTAAAGCCTCCCCAGATCTTTGAAATGTGCAGCTGGGTTGAGAACCACTGCTCTTAGTGGGCTGTAGCAGAATCCTGGTTAAAATAGTATATTAAATTATTTCATTGGAGACATAATATTTAATTTATTCAAATTTTTTAGTAGCATTAAATTAGTGTGAGGGATTTTGTATTAAAAGGTGGCAGTTGCTAAAAAGGTTGAGACACAGATTTGGAGGAAAGAGAAAGCTAAAAATTAGAGCACTTATTTATCCATTCATTCGACTTGACAAGAGAGTGTGTGCTTCCACAACCACATAAGAATGGATGGAATCATCAACTCTTTTTCATCTTCATAGCTCAGAATGTGACTGTTCCTTGCTTTCACAATGTGCAATTTTGCTTTTCTTTGTGCAGCTATGGGAGACATCCATTTAAGATCAACTGTTTACATGTGATACATCAAAACTGTTTACTTCAACTTTTATAGAAACCCAGCCTCACGGAATCACTACAAATCTATCTGCTCTTCAGACAATACAAAGACCCTCTGAGATAACACAGAGGAGAGAGGAAGCCGAGTCTCACATCTGGATACCATTTTCTTTTTGTCATTGGTTTAGGATTTATCCAAACCATGAAAAGAACTACTGAAATGTTACACTAAAACATGGAACAATAAAGGTACTGGTATGTTAATGGATAATCCGCATGACAGATACATGTAGAAATATCACTAAAATTAACTCACATGACCCAAATGTAGCAAGTTTCCTAAGGGGTAATGGTGGATTCAGAACTGACATTCTGAAGCACATCCTCATGTAGACAGTAATGCTAGTGCATGAAGCTTCTGTTTATTGCAATTTCCACATTTAAGGAAACAACATCCCATAATAGAAACTAGCATGCAGGGCTAAGGCATACAGGATTTTTCTGCAGGACTTTAAAGCTTTGAGAGGCCAATATCCCTTGTGTTAACTCTAAACATGTATCTTTATTTTTGTTTTGTTTTTTTTACTTTTCATATTTATATCAGCATACAAGGACAATTGTACATATGTAAACATTTTTAAAATAAAAAAAAGCAGCTGTTACACACAAGTGTATTTTGCCAAATGCCTAAAAATAGTCACAGTCACATCATCACCATCCATCAAATGGTCTTTAAAGATTATAAGCAGATGACATTGTAAATATAGTGGTCAATGCTATAAATGTGTCTCTCCATAATTGGTATTCATCCAAAACATGTGATACCCCTTTAAGCTGTGCACAGTCTGGAGGGAGTTTTATTGAGTAATTAATTGAACCAGGGAACAAAATGCCCAGCCAAACTTGGGGCCTCCACAGCTCGCTGGAGCAGGAGTTGATCCCTGCAACTGCTCTCTTGCCTCCAGGCATTCAGATGCTGATGGCTGCTCCCTGGGAACTCCAGGCTACCCTTTCTCCCTTCTGGGGGCTAAGGTGCCTGCCCCAGCAGCTGTCAGCTTTCAGTACCAGAGCACTGCTAGTTTCACCCTGGAGGCCTGGGAGCCCCTCAGCAGCACATCCTGAAATGAAGCAAGTGCACCAAAGACACACGAGTCCATGGGCCGCTGATACATTGGTAGCTTCCAACTTGCTAAGACTCTAACCCTTTGTGGCCTTTTTGTTCTTTTTTTGTTGTTGTTCTTTGACAATACTTTTTAGCCACCCTTACCTGTAAAATGAATGACTTGTTTTAATAAAACCAACTTTTACACTGTTCATTAAGGATACTTATCATCAGGAGGATGTGAGTCCAACAGGTCATTCTACCCTGATGTGGAAGCAAGATAGTGGAGGGTTCTACCAGCTGGGCTGGGAAGCCTCACCAGGCCACAGAGGGTTTGAAGAAACCTAAAGCCACAGGTGTGCGGCAGCTGTGAAACGTTACACAAACAGCTGGCAGGGAGGAGAATCTGTTGTTTTGAATTCTTTTTTTTTTTTTAATACAGAGAAAAGTGAGAAATTTATGTTAAAGTTCCTTCTTAAAAACCAAAGTTTGATGGCTGTTCTGATGCAGCTCTGTCATTCTAAAAGAAACTGGGGAGGCTACTCTCGCAAACTCAGAAATTGATGGGCTTAATCGGATGCTTTGATTTTCCTCATTTTCTCTCCTTTTTCTTGAGAGGAATGGAATCTGCAGATAAGATTTCAAAAATATCCTCTAAATTTGATCTCTCCCAGTAGTGTTTATGGTCAAAATCCATTTCATCTCCATGTGTAGTCATGTTAGATGCCCACAGTGAAGGACCATGTTAGAGGCAGTGTTTTATACTCTATGTATTTACGTCGTCTGTAATGGCCCTCTCTTCTGAAAGTCTTTTAAAATGTTTGAAAAGCAATTTCATCATTCAAAGCTATAAAGTGTAAACATCATTTTCTCATGATAGGAAGTGATGTGATAGTCGATTCTAAAATAAAATGATCCATCAGATTAAGATTTGGGTGAGTGTTGGGTAACCATGCCACACAGCTCAAGTGAAGGTCAGGAGAGTAGACAGATTTAAAAATGTAGCAAACAAAGTGGCTTTTGACCAAGATCACTTTAATGTGCACTGAATGTTTTCTGGTATTGAGTGTATAAAAATGCTAATGTTACAAGGTTTATTTTGACTATAAAAGAGTTTATAGATTTGAATGTAAGGTACTTTGTGTAAATATGCCTCGTAGTTATGGTTACACAAACCCTCATTTGAAAGAATTCACAAATGGTGAGCTACTCGCCACAGATACCCTTTACCCCTCTTTCCTCACTTTCTCAGTTATTTTTACATAAAATTATTATCCCACGTGAAAATCATTGTTACATGTCTTTTGGATGACATGAGTGTTTATAGTCATTCTCCTTGATAATAACCTTCATACGAAACCAAATGAAAAGCATATGTTTTATTTGCAGAGAGACTATGATTTTATAGTAGCTTTAATGTTCTCTTCTGGGTATCTAAGAATGTTTGAACGTTCTTACAGCCATTTGCAGAATTCTTTGACAAGTTCATAATCTCAATGGATAGTTTTGAGAAATGTGAGTAGTCATGGTTGGTATTTAGATGTATTAAATCTAAATGCTTATGACTTTTCTTCCACTGAGCCAGGGAAGATGGACCTATGGCACGAAACACAAGCACAGCATTATTATTTTTTTAATATCTATATTGGAGAGAAACTTTGAAGTCACCATAGCAGTTTGTGTCATGCAACTAATCTTGATAGCCCCTAGACAATATAGGACTATTCTCCTCTCTAGGAGCAGTTATTTGGCCTTTCTGTTCCATTGTATGCCTTTTTTTCTTCTTTTTCTAAAGTTCTATGCGTAAAGCTTCAGATTGACAATCCCCGCTGCCTGAGATGTTCCATTATCCATAGACATTGCAGTAGAGCAAACTCAGATTTAAGGAAACATTTAAATCTCTTTATTAAGAATGCCAACAAGGGGGGTGGTAAGAGGGAGCCCCTGAAGGTACAGACTGGTCAGACTGGTCTGTGTCCAGCCAACCCTTTCTTTAGTCAGGAAGTGGCATCTTCCTCTGGAGTCTGCCAGCCAGAAAATGATCCCCGGGTGACATGAAATCTGTGGAAAGGAATAAACTCAAACAGTGCAGCATAGTCAGAGTGTTCAGTGTAGTGTAGTTGCTCTATATTTTAGAGAAACCCAGTGTTAGTCCTTAAAAAAATTCGATAAAGTAAATGTAGGTTTAAAATGCCAAACATACTTTTTAGTTTGAGATAAGTGCTTTATTAAGTAATACTACAGTTTCTCTCTTTTTCCCCTTGCTTTCAAAAGGCTTTTAAAATTGTCTTTAAAAATACGGTCAGTCTGGTATAGATTTCTGAACATAAGACTGATAGGGTTTCTAAAAGAAGTTGCTGATAAAATTAGATCTTTTGTGCACTTCCAGAAAAGGACTATTTATATTTGAATTTCATAACAGCCTTACATTTCTTTTTTTTTTTTCATCTGTTGATTCCCTTGTAGACTTGCATAATTTAATCCTGTCCATTGTTCCAGATCTCTTGTGGCTACTTAACCTTCTGCTTTTTTAAGATTTTGTTCTTTTTATAGTTACCTGTGGGTCAAAGGAAATACGGTATTTTTATTCACTTCTTTACGTATTTCAAAAGCTTATTTCATCCATTCTTCATTTCCTGTTGTCACGTAGTTCTATTTTAACTTATATATTTAGTGTTTTAAGTATTTCCTTGTGTTATTCAACATGATAATAAATCCTTACCTAAAGAGAAGACTATTTTACTTTATTCTCCTTAAACATAAAGGAAGGGTAGTTCATTGGGAGGATGCCAAGTGACTGGCAGAGAACATGGGAAGGGGGAACAGATGTGGTGCTACATGAATGAAGAGAGGCCAGCCGGGTGTGGCTACAGCCTGACTAGGACACCATTGTCAAGGGCGCCCCCGTGGGCAGTGTATTATAAATATCGTCCTGCAAGTGGGTAAGTTGCCATCAGTTTTCCAAGAAATGGTCTCCCATTGGCGGCATAACGTCTACATTTCAGAGTCCTGATGGTACTTTTCCTTTCACTTCTTAGGTTTTTCTCTGAAAATGTCACCCAAGGTTTTGTTTTGTTCAATGGAATCAAGGTGAATTTCTCATCCTACTAGCTTAGATAGATAAGAAGCAGACATCTCTATGGAATAGGGCTTAATTTGAGCCTCGGGATTTTTGCTTTTCTCCTCAGTTATTTTCTGAATGGATAAAACTACTCTGATTTTGGATGCAGCAGCTTTCCCTCTGGGAAGGAGGCACTAAGGACTTTCATCAGCAGCTTCCCTTGTGTGTTAGATTGTGAGGAGCCCAGACCACTCTTGTGATCAGTTAAGGGGCAGCAGCCCATCATCTGGGGGGTAGGGATGTGCCTGTGTGTGTGCACATACCTGCTGGAACCATGCATGCTCATAGCATATGCTCTATGGGCAGGTGCTTTTAATTCTGAGGGGAGCTTTCCCACCACACCTGCAGATGTGGAGCAGAGTTGCAGCCAGACTTTAGAAATCAGGGCATAATATTTCTGTTCACATTTTATTCATGGCTTTTTATTCAGAGTCCCCAAAATGGAGCACCATCTGGTTCAGTTTGTAAGTAGAAAAACAAAACATTCAAAAACAAAAACCCGCCTGGTATTTTTGATTTTTATATCAAGGCCCTGACGAACAGTAAGCATCCTCCCTATGAGCTTGAGAGATACTTCCAGACCCTCCTGGAAGGGTAGGGTTCCCAAATTGCTCCCCTTCAGTGGCTTGTCAGCCCTTTTCTCCTGACTAGGAACTTTCACTGGCATGGAGGGAAGTACCCCCCTTTTTTGGCTAAATTGGCACTGGGGAGAACCATAGGGGTACCCAGTAGCGGGGAGAGAGGCACCTGCAGTCTTCTCCCTTTGGCAACAGGGCGTGAATTATACAACTTTAGTAATCACTGAGAGATTGGTCCTCAGGTCTGTTTCAGGATGGAGAGGAGATAGAAGGCCGCCCTTGGGAGATCAGAGGGCATTCAGCCCTGGCATAGGAGTGGAATGGAGACCCACATGAACTCAGAAGCCAGGTATGCAGAAGGTGGTCACTGGGAGTCTGGTGGAGGCAGAGGGGCTCCTAGAGGGCCAACAATAGACCTATCTGCTCTGCAGTTTTACTGAGTGGTTGGCTTTGTAAATACTTCTTGGGCCAGTCCCAAATGGGCCAGTCATTCTTGCCTGCTGTGTCCCTGCTGCATTGTTCATAAAACCTGTATCATACTGAAAGGTGCTTAGAGGCTGGCAAGGTTTTTGCTCCAGGGCATCCTTATTTTGTGTTTTTAGATATCCTTGAAATCAAAACCAGAGAAAATGTAGGGTATTTTTGGTTTTTTTTGCAAAAAGGCATACAATGAGACTAGCGATCTTAAGATAACGCACTTACAAAATCATCAATAAAGTTTTCAAAGAATTTATGAAGGAAGGGACATTTTCCTCTCAAGTTAAAAAGTTTCAGAGGTGGATTTTTGTGTTTTACTGTTCCAAGTTCTAAAATAATACGAATAGCCCCCAATCTTTAAACACAAGCGGTGCTAAGTTATACTAGATAACATACTACGGAAAGTGCTGATATGAATTAACAATTTATCCAGTAATAATACAAGAGTTCTTGCTAAATTACACATGTGTATCACTGCCTGATTAGAAACCCCACTTTTCTTTTCAAATCCAGCACAATATCCAACTGTGATTCTATAGCCAGTGTTTTTAATGGGCAAAAAAGACCCAACACCTTTGTTTTGTAAAAACTTTTTTTTTAAAACACTAACTTCAAAAGTGCTTAACAAAAGGTTTATTCAGGATAATTAAGCATGTATGTCCTTTTTTTAATCTGCTGGAAGAGACGTGCCTCTCCAATCTAGCATCCCAAAAAGACAACTTCTTTTAGAAACAGCATTCACCTAAACATAGCAGTCTATGTTAGCCAAGGTAGGTCTGTGCTAGTGTTTCCCACAATCATCATCTATAAGGGGTGATGTCCATCAACGGCGGAAGCCACTTCATAGGGAAGTGTTCATAGCAGCATGATTTCACTTTTGGTAACCAAGGAATCCTGTGTATATACCTAAGATTGGCTTCATTTTAATATATTCTCTGCTCCTCTGCACTTCAGGTTCTTAAGCTATTTTACAAATAACTGGGTTTTGGCAGTCACCAACTGATATATATGTGGCAACTGCTTTCCTGAGCAACCGTGATGTGTTTGATGGCTGTTCAAGTTACTAACTTGTTCTTATATTGTAGGTAAACAAAGTCTTACTGTTTTTAAAGGTCACTGTAACTTGTTCAAATTTCTGGCACAATTTTATTAGTAATTCACTTCTGAAGCTAAAAAGATACAAGTTTTCTATGTTACTCTCATTGTAACATCAATAAAGTGACTTTCAATAAAAGATTTTATGTTATTTTGATGCCCGACTCCGTTTAATCCTGCTTTTCTCTCCATCAGTTTCTCTTTAAGAAGCTTTCGTGGTAGTGCTGTTAGGGGCTCTGTTTTCCCTTCATGCTGCCCTGGAAGGCCTGCCATCAACACAATGAGGAGCACAGAGATCCTTTAGTAAAGGATGGCCCACTCACTTTGTTGAACAATTTCCCCAGGTGGGTGGCAGGCGTGGTCTTGTCTTCTAGGCACTTCGTTCCTGGCCCTGACTGAATCAGTCACTGTATCCTGACTGAGCGCCCTGGTGGTGGTGCTGGTAGTGGTGGCAGTGCTTATTTATATGCTCTCCTGGGTTAGACTCTAAGGCCTTGGGCCTTGGATGGACTCCACCTAGGTTCAGGAGTCCACTGCCTAAAACACTAGCCCCCTCAGCTGTCTGCCTCTCACATAGCCCTTTCATCTTCTGGTCTCTACCTTGGCACTTAGTTTCCTTGCTGTCAGCTCAGTGTGCTGAGGAAAGAAATAGTTATAGGTAGTCAAAGTACTGTTTTAACGTGAGAAAAACAGAAGTCATTGACAAGGTTTGTATGTTTATTAGATTAAAAAAACCTTCGGGGTGATTACATATAGCTGCATTTGTTGTATTTATAATATTTTAGGCACAGAATCATCTGGATGAATACTGAAAGAATAACACTCAGCTGAGCAAAAAGCAAAGTCTAGTTGGGATAAGTACAAGTTTTAGTTCATGTTGCCTCTCATGGGCTGATGGTACCACCTAGAACATCATGCTGAAATGGGAGTCTCACCTCCACTTTGGCTCTACGAGAGTGCAGGCTATGATTAATTATCTATGACTGCTGTGGTGCAAATCTACGCCAGCTGTCCTCAAGGAAGTGCCTGGCTTCCTGTAGCCACATTCCTACAGAGTGCCTGAAAAGGGTTACATACAGGTACTTTAACTCTTGCAACACAGTACTAAAAGCACATATCTCCAAATGAAAGCTAAAGCTTAAGCTGGCAGTTTTTGAGGAACTTAATCTCCAAATAACTGAACTAGTCCAGCTTGGGTTCACAGCTTGACCATGCTCCAGCTAGCTGTTTGAAGAATAGACCAAGAAACAGTTTTAAGAATTAGGCAAGGCTGCACTAAAAGTTTATAATGAATGGAACACAGAACCCAACATAAAACAAATAATGCAACCCAAGATTCACTTGTAATGAAGACTTTGGCTGTAATTAAAGAAAGGGGATGGATATGTTAAATTTGTCAAGAGGAAGGAAACAATTTCTAAGTGCAGGGACATCCTGAAGACTAGGCTCTGTGCTTTCAGAAAGAAACTGTGAAAGCAGAAATGGAGGAGATAAAGAGCCTTGCTATGAAGTATCAATAATTAAAACTGAGTATTTCCAGAGACACAGTTTTGTTGATGCTTCAGCATTTATCCAAAAAGCAAATCCAGAACCAAGACTGATGCAGCATACCTTAGGACTTACCTAACCAGTAGGATATTTCAAATATGGTCCATAATCATGAGCTAGCAAGGGCCTTCCTCCTTACCACATTAGGGTGACCCAGGAGGTCACCATTTCCTCAAACTATCCCTTCTTTATGGGACTCTGGTGAGACTAAAACCAACTCTGAGGATGAATTCCCTCCCTCTCTGGCCCATTTCTGAACAGCTCTGGCTCATGCCAAGCTGTGTATGTAAAATGAAACCTAGAGTCACCATGTAACATAAAGCAGGCTGCATCACGGTCTGATATGCAAGCCCCAGTGTGACTATTTGATGTGGATGCATAAGCTAAGGTTGTATAAATATTTATAAAATTAATGTATTGTAGCAATATTTGAAAAAAACGTAACCAAGTGAAATGAGGCTGAAGGTGCTTAGGAATGTTTTATTTTTTCATTGGTTGACAACTAACTGATCATCTGAATTATAACTCTCACACTATGCCCTGAAGTAAGACACATACTCTGCTGGCAGGGAGAAAACAGGTGAATTTCATGGTTTCATGTGCTATGCTCTCTTGCAGAAAAGAGCAAACCAGGCCAGTTTTAAAATTTAAGAAACAGAAATACTATTTTTATACCAACACACTTTTTCATGTTCAGAACTACCCCCATGGAGTATTAATCTACTTTTCAAAGGTGGGGAAGCTAAGAGTATCTGAGATGACAAAAATCACATATTCAGGAAGAGGCACAGCCAGCATGAGAATCCAGATCTTATTTAAAAGCACATGATTTAAAAATTAAAAGAAAAAAAAAAAAGTCTTCCACTACAAGAGTAATATTTATCAGATGAAGAGTCATGGGAAGGAAGAAATTCGGTTCCTGAATTTATCCTGATTCCCAGGGGTAGCAGCACCAACATTGTGGTCCTGTCTGGTCCTTCTGCCATGTAGTTTTTAAAGTGTGAACACACTTAAAAGATTATTATCATCTTCTGATTTTAAAAGGAAAGTGCACACATTATAGAAAACTTGCAAAGTACTGAAATCTATAAAAGAAATTCCAGTCACCTGGAATCTCATAAACCAAAAATGACCATAGTTAATATTTTCATATTATTACCTTAGTTTTTTTTCTATCAGTTTTTTTTTATACAGTTAAGTTCATAATTTATAAGACTTTTAAGTAGAGCTAACAAAGGTCTAGGTGGTTGACGACAACAAACTTGGTGACAGATCATATTTGCCATTCAACTGATGCAGGTTTTCAAGAGAAAATAATCATTTCTGCTCCCTGTCCAATCATGAGGCCATCAAAAATGTGTAAGCCTTAAAAAGCTGGTACTAAGTTCCCACTCAAGTGAACCCTATTAATTACCACGGGTTTTTGTTTCTGTTTGCATCCAAGTGAGAATAAATCATAAGAAACATAAAGCTTTTACTACCATGTAAAAGCTCCTCTAGGAAAGACGAGCTGTGGTCTAATGAAAAGGTTTTTAAGAATCTTACAGTGAAAAATTTGGGCTAGTGATTTAAACATTTTGTACACCAAAATTTACATAAAAGGTTTAGTGAGAAAATAAAGCATCACTGACAATGGCTTTAGGAAGTTATAAATGGGGTAAGAGACCTGATTTTATATTCGTAAAATTCCAACGAATTTATTATCAACGCTAAAAACTTTGTACATAAAGTAATAAATCTTTATGACAGCTAATAAGGAAAAGCAGCGCTGCAAGTTTACACACAGTGGCTGAAGGCAAAGAGTAAGAGCAAGAGAGAACTCCAATCGGAATGCTGTTGGTTGTGTTCATACGGCTTCTTGGTTTAAACGCTCATGACACACTGGATGAACTGAAAGAGAAAAATCCACATGATCCTGCAAACACTGCAACAACAGCTGATTTTTAGACTGCTTACATTTTATTTTTCTAATTTGAATTAAGGATTGAGAATGATCCCGTTCTAAAATAAGAGTATATGGATGGAAGGGTTCATTTTGTAGGGGAAGCAGTCTAGTATAAAATCCAGTGGATATCTCTTCTTACAAAGAGATTTTACTTCAATGGATAAAGAATTATTTAAATTCCAGTTATCCCAGACTCTACAAATGGCCATGGTAAAAGGTTCCTACTCAGAAATAACAGATGATACTGTTCCATCACACAGATGCCTCCAAACTACAGTGTGATCCCACCACTCACAGAGCACCTTCAACAGTTTACTCCCTTAAAATCTGCTTCGCTAAAATAAATCCTAGTTTGCAACTTTATATATGACCAGAGACAGAATATGGGACCTTTCCTCAGCAATTCAGAAACCCGGTATTAGAAACATCAATATTCACTGTGAAATGTCTGCTTGACTATAAACACCAATAGGCTCTATTTTCTACCAATTTTTTCATTCTTCTGACGCCAGGGAGGCACTATGTACTGCTAATGCCTGCAGCACTGCTACAAAGCCAAGCTGACTATTCCTTTCAGGGAAGGGGGAACCCAGGATCAAGATATTTAAAATCTCTTAGGGGGCCCGTTGGAGGCACATTCCACTCCATAGGCTGCCTCTCCATCTCTGGAAACAGTGACAGGGCCATCACCTGAGAAACTAATGCACGATAATGAAAACACCTTCAAGCAGAAGGAATAAACAAATTTACACACAAATCTTTTTAAATTATCAGAACTGTGGCAGATGCCAAACTGAAAATGTCATCCTTGTAGTTTGTAATCATCATTATCACAGTGATTTCCATTCTGAAAGTGAGTTTTTTACATCCAAGGCTGAGCAAAAATAGAAACACTATGAAACATTTCCCTAGCTTTGTTATGTATATCCAACTAATGTCATCCAAGATGGCATGTGACTGCATTCCCACTGAGTCTTTGGCATTGTCCTACCTCCTCCAGTGTGGTTAGTAAATGCATTGTTTTAAACAAATGAAATCTGTGCCTTATGTCCTCAATGAACAACATAGGTGTGTTAAGTACAGTTTTGAGCTGTTAAATTTACTTCTCGGTGACAGAGATACTTGTTCAATGAAGGCAGAAACAGACACAACATCTGAATGGTGTTTTCCAAGGACATTTCTGATTGACATCTCCCAATAGCCCAAAGAAGGAGGCATTACTACTTTCTCTCCTCAAATATTCTCAGAGCAATGATGAAACCTATCTCTGTGACCCAGCCAGTAAGTGGGACCAGCTGGGCTCCGAACCAAGTCTTTTAATGAAAGTCAAAGTGAACTATATGAGTAAGACTAGTAATAAATGAAAGTAATAAATTCTGAATGGTAACTCCTAATCATTTAATCCTTGATTACTCAGCATCCTTAAGATGCTCTTCATGGCTAACTTCACAAGGGATGCCCAACTGGCGTACATCTTATTCATCTTTTCAGTTCCGAATTTAGTGACTTACATCATCATATGGGAAATTCACAACACCTTGCTGAGCAGTATCCCGTCTTCGAAAGCTGTCTATAAAACACCACAGTAAAATCTATGGTTATTTTTAAACATCTGACATCACAACAGTAAATTATTTTGGCATTGGGTTCAAACTGCAGTAGTATTTGAGTTGTAAAACCAGCCAACATAAACAAAAGCCCACAGTAAAGAAGCCAACTATAATAATGTGGATAGATTTAATATACAAAAGAGTAATACAATGCAGAAATAACAGATGATACTGTTCCATCACACATGCCTCCAAACTACAAACTTCTTAATAACACAAATAGTGTTTAGGAAAATGGATGGATGGAGTTCCTAATATGGCAAATGGGCTATAAAAAATATTCCACCCCTCTGAGCTCTGTGCTATTGAAAAGGATTTACTTTAATTAAAAAAAAAAAAAAAAAAAACCTGGCCTCATATTTTTATTAGGATGCAAAAAAAATTACAAACCCAGGTATTAAAGAGAGTAAAGACTGGGGTGCCTAGGTGGCTCAGTCAATTAAGTATCTGATTTTTGATGTCAGCTCAGGCCTTGATCTCAGGGTCCTGAGTTCAAGCCTCACAAAAAAAAAAGAGAGAAACTAAAGAGAGGAATGGAACAAGAAAAATAGAAAAATATACAGAAAAAAGAAAAAGAACAAAGGAAATAAAAAAGTAGAGATTACTGATATAACCTCATCTAAGCAGTCCATACATTTGAAACAGATGACCACCGCTTTAAACTACTTTCTAACAGGAGGAATTAGGAGAGAGAGCTAATGAGTAATTTCACTCTCTTCAAATATTTTATATTCTAGGGAGGAATCACAGAGTACCGCTCATATGCTGATAAAAAATGCACAAATTAGCTGATCATGTTTTGGAACATTTTTGTGAAATTTAGTTAAGATTTTTTTTTTTAAGGATTTTATTTATTTATTCATGAGGGACAGAAAGAGGCAGAGACATAGGCAGAGGGAGAAGCAGGCTCCACGCAAGGAGCCTGATATGGGACTTGATCCCGGGTCTCGGGAATCACGCCCTGAGCTAAAGGCAGATGCTCAATCACTGAGCCACCCAGGCGCCCCTAGTTAAGATTATTTTAAAAGCAGTTTACCACTAATCTGAAAGGATTTCTGAAAAAAATAGTTATTCTGCTAGATATGTTTACTAGCAGTGTTTAAAAAGCCACTGAGGTTGGGGGGGGGGGAAGATTGTGGGCAACAGAAGTTCAGAAACACTTTACAAACACCCTGGTGAACACCACCTCAAAGAACGCACCTGTCAGGGCTCGCAGTTTGACACAGCAGGCGATGTAGTCATCAAAGGTGATCTTGCCATTGGTGCTGTATCGTTTTGCAATTGAATTCACAGCCTGGGGACTCAAACGAAAACCTGAGGAATGAAAAAAGGTAAAGTGTAAGAAAAAGATCATTAAAAGTCATCACAATTTTTTCAGTCTGGGAGTACTCATTTTTAACTATGAATATACACTAGGAATTACATATGTATTATGTACTTCATTATGAACATATACTACTTCTAGAAAACAGAAACTGCCTTTTTTTTATAAATTTATTTTTTATTGGTGTTCAATTTGCCAACATATAGAATAATACCCAGTGCTCATCCAAGTGCCCCCCTCAGTGCGCATCACCCAGTCACCCCCACCCCCTGCCCACCTCCCTTTCTACCACCCCTAGTTCATTTCCCAGAGTTAGGAGTCTGTAACACTTGGTTTTGGAAATGAAAGGAGAATGATGTCTGCGGTGGCTGGAGTCAGCCATACACACCCATTGTGGTCAGGGCCTTCTGCAGTTCTTGAGGATCCACTGTTCCACTCCGATCACTGTCAAAACTGATGAAGTGTTGTCTCCAGCCATTCAGCACAGCCCAGAGTTCTTTAAATTCATTGAAACCCATTGTGCCTGACATATCTCTCTGAACCGTAATTAAGGATTAGAGCACCTTTATTTGGCAACATTTTCTAATGATTAAGCCAAAGCTCAAGGGTAAGGGAGTTTAACATTCTTTCTGCTAAAAAGGTTAAAAATGTTACAAGTCCCTCTTGATGTGATACAATGAAAGGATACTCTAACCATATAATGAAAAGAGCCTATGGTGAAAAACCTCAGAGTACAGATCACCTATGAGATGTGATTACAAGGGAGTAAAGTGGGCACTGTGGGCCACATGTGGAAAGGGGTCTGCTTACCGGAACCCGACTGCACTTTCTGAGTGCCCTCGGCACTGCTGCTGGGGTCCAGGCATTCCCCTGGCAGGCCCTTCCAGACCTGGGGCTTTCACTTTTGGAAAATGAGGTGGGATGGAAGGCACTGCAGGATCAGTACAGGCTAAAGTGAGTCTGATAACTGTGATGTGAGAAATTCCACAGTGTGAAGGTCAGGTGTGAATCACGTGGGGCAAACAACGATAAAGCAACGATAAACCCTGATTTCACCCTGATTTCTATACTTGTTCTCTTCAGATGCTTCCTTGAATTCCTGAATAACCAACACTATATTTACTAAACTCTCTTCCCTTTTTGCACCAAATTACATGTTAAAAGCTAATGATTTCAAGAACTTTGTGGTCCTTTGTTACCTTATATTTACTGGGTATTAATTCTTAGATGAATTCTTTTAGGAGAAAATTTTTGGGGGAGGGGCAGTCAGGAAAAAACCTTCCAGCAGCAATCAAAGGATACATCCAGCATTGAAACCATAAGCCGACAAGTCTCCAGGTTAAAAGCTGTTAAATCAAAGAAAGTACATACATATTAATACAGTTTCAAAAATTCACATTACATTGCATACATTCAAATTAATTAGGAAAGTGACTATTTAGGTACTCTTATATACTACTTAATTTATGTAGAACTAAAGTACATGGAGCTTTGAAGCAGATTTTTTTCCAGGTAGTGGGGATTCCTTGTAGAACCCAAACTTGAGAGGTGCCTGGGTGGCTCAGTCAGTTGGGTGTTTGACTTCAGCTCAGGTCATAGTCCTGGAGTTCTGGGATTGAGCTCCATGTCGGTCTCCCTGCTCAGTGGGGAGTCTGCTTCTCCCTCTGCCCCTCACCCACTCTCATGCTCTTTCTCTCAAATAAAATCTTAAAAACAAAAAAATGAACACAAACTTGATTTTAACAACTTTAAATCTTTAAAAAGTATTGCACTTTTTAAAAAAAGTATTAATATTTAAAAAGTATTAATATTTTTAGGTATGATAATGGTTTTGAAATTGAGGGGAGAATGTCCTTATCTTTTAGAAAAGTAAACACTTAAGTTATTTCTAGGTGAAATGAATGTTGTAAGATATATGGAATTTGCTTCAAAAGAAAATGGACAGAATTACAGATGAACTAAGTAGCAATGGCAACACATTGATAATTACTGAAACTGGGTGACAGGTGCACACAAGTTCACTGCATAATTACCTCTGTTCTTGGATAGGTATAACACTTTCTATGTAATAATCTTTTTAAAGGTCTATAATTTTCATGCCTTTGAAACTATAATATAGTGAGCTCAATTCACCATGATGAGTAGGAAGAGAGGGTTGCTTTGTTCCTATACCTAGCAGACTATAAACAGCTGATTTTGCTAATTCTATTTCATTAGTTTCTTTCTTTCCCCTTTAATATCACACACTGAATGGTAACCTCCTACCTGAAATAGCCTATGACCAGGTTTCATATACAGTAAGTTTATATATGGAACTGCTAACTATGCTTGCCAGGTCTGTGTTTAGTAAGAGCATTGTAGAGTAAGATACAATGACCCATTCAGGGATGGCCACTCTTCAGAAGCCTCTTGAGTTTACATACAGCTAGAGCATATTCTGAGGGCATTTCTATACCTCACTTAGAAAACCAAACTAGAACTTACCTGTTGGTTAATGGGCCTACTGATGAACTACCTAAGCATTAGCAGGTTACGAATAAAGAATTCCTTGTACCTTACATTGTGTTCATGGATATCAATGACTGGAAAACATAGGCACAAGGAATGTAAGGCTAGAAGGCAGAAGTGACAGGGTCACATGGGCAAAGCTGGCATAAACTCTGCAAGTGTATTGAGAGGCACACAGAAATAACATTTTTACAGCTCTTACTAGCTTTGTTTTTATCTCCAAGCAAACTGAATTTAAAACATATGTGAGCTAATTCTTCATACTGTAATGTCTCCAAACAGTTCAAATTGTTTTCCACTTTTAACAGATTCCTATGTTTGGTATATCCTGGAACTTGAAATAAAAGGTGGGGGACTATTCCTACTTTGGCCCTTCAGACTCCATCCAATCCACAGATACAGCTCTTGAGGTGACTGGAAGCAACACTTTCCCACACTTTTGAGAAAGAGCTAGTTGATTCTTCATTCTAGCTTTTCAATTGTGTGGAGGTATGAAGTCTCTCTAAGCTAGGGGGAGAACTCTAGATGTGTATCAGAATCACCCAGAAGGTTTAAAAGATCCTGCTATCGGGGCTGAGCCACAGAATAATTTTTCAGCTCTACTGAGATGTCGTTGACAAATAACATTCGGTAAATTTAACGTATACAATATAAAGATCTGGCATATGTATATACTGCAAAATGATAACTACAATTAGGTAAGTTAACATATCCATCACCTCACATGATTAACTTTTTCATATGTGTGATGAAAACTTTTAAGATCGACTCTCTTAGCTACTTTCAAGTATACAAAACAGTATTAGGTATAGTCATCATCTACACAGAACAATTAAATCAGAATACCTGAGCATGGAACCCAAGCATGACTATTTTTTTTTTAAAGTTTCTCAATGATTCCAGTGAATAGCCAAGGTTGAGGCCACTGTTCTCTGAGTGTGATCCCTGGGCCAACCACATTAACATCATCTGGGAGCTTTCAAAACTACAGAATCTCAGCCTTTAACCTACACCAACAAAATCAGAATCTATATTTTAATACTATCCCCAGGTGATTTATATTCACATAAAAACAGCTGGTCGGTCTGGACCACCATCATCTGGAAACTTGTTAGTGATGCAAATTCTCAGGTCTCACCTCAGACCTTTTGAATGAAAAATTCTAGGACAGAACTCAGCAATCCAGTGATGCTGAGGCAGCTAAAGTTTAAGAACCAGTGCTCGAGAAGGCCTGACAGTCATGACACAGACACACCTGTGTTTGACTTAAATCAAGGATTTTGAGGGGCCGTGAAGCAAACACCTTCCCTCTATCCCAGTGCTATGAATGTCACCACCATCTACTTAGTCACAGGAGCCAGAAACCTGGGAGTGTCCCAAATTCCTTGTCCACTGATATTCAATCACCTTCTAAATGGCTTTAGGACCCATCCATTTCCAGCCCACAGTCATTTCCTTGGTTTAATTAGTATTTCTGTCACCTGTATGATTCCAATGGCCACTTAACAGGTATCCCTGACTCTCCACGTTTCCCATATCCATGCCCCCCCAATTTGGTTGGTCTTTATCCTATATCCAGGATAGTATGTGCTTTTCTATATAAGATGTCCCAGTACAGATGTTCCACTGCTGTTAGCATGAAGTCCAAGCACCCAAGTGGCATCTGAAGTCACACCTGTATTTTCACAATCCAGCTAGTTTCCTGGCTCTTCATTTAACCTCCATATTCTATCTTCACGGTGAATTTCTCTCAGTTCCTTGACTGCACAAGCACATGCTCTCTCTCCTGAGTCTTTAGTATATGCTGCTCTATTTGCCTGGAACACAACTGCCCTGCCCTATCCCACTTGCTTCTAGGTCTGCCTCATTTCTACTTGACTTTCATTTCTCCTCAGTTTAAGTATCGATTCTGCAAAGAAAACCTTCCTGACCACTTTCTGGGTTGTGTGCCTCTCCTAAGTGATCCCACAGCCTCTATATTTCACTTATCCCAGCGCCTTCCACAATGTCCCACAGGCACTGTTTGTGGGTGCATATCCTTGCCGCTTGCACATGGTGGGCATCCATTAAAATGTGCTGGTGATATGACTGACTGAATGGAACTTCTCATCCCTATGTAGAAAGCTGTTACTCCTCTCAACCAGTCTAAGCATAGTTGGGGTTTGTTTTTTTTTTTTAAGGATAGTTTTTTGTTGTTTGTTTTTGTGTTTTTTTTTTTAAATAAAATCTAATTTTTACCAATACTTAAAAGTAATGTATAATCCCTGAAGACAAATCATAGTCAAAATACCAGTAAGGGTAGAGGGCTATGCTTTTTCCCATTTTAGACAATCTTCCATACTTGTTAATTCAATAAATGCCTACTAGGTACTCATTATGTGCAGGGCCCAGGATACCAAGAATACTGGAAATACAAATGCAAAACTGGATCCTGCTCTAGCTGATGGTCTAAGGAAGAGAGAAGTCATGTGTGCATACAACTCTAATCAAGGCAGAGAATGGGGAACCATAATGGAGACACCAAGCAGTATCAGAAGTATTGAGAAGTGAAAGGCTCCTTCCTAGTAAGAAAGACTTCACAGAGGAAGGAGCATTTAAGTCAAGCCTTGAATGATAGGAAAGATGGGGGACATCTGGTGACAGCCAAGTAGAGCTAGGGACCAGAATAACCAAAGAGAAGCAGGACAGGTCAAGCAAAGGGAATGGGAGTATGTATGGTTGATGAGGCTGCAGTAGAAGATCTTGAATTACTACTAAGCTGTTTAGCTTTTGCTTTATAGGCACTAGGGAGCTACTAAGAATTTTAGGGGAAGAGAGTGACAGGTTACAGTTGTATGTCAGGAAGCCCAGAAATCTGGTCATCTTTTGTTAGAAGGATTTAAAAGAGGGAATGAGATGTGCAGTGAACAAAAGTGAATGAACAGAAAATTCACATTTTCAGACAGTTCTAATGAACTAGAACACTGATGTCTAACAAGTTTGGAAAGGGAAAATTCTGGCTCAATTTTAATTTCAATTTTTCCCCAGAAATAGCTTTTATTAATGCTAATTATATTTTAAATAATTTCAAAGGAACCTTAGCTATAATTTTACTTTACTCTCTCCCTTCTCCTGTTCATTCTACTGGAATGCTTTAGACATCTTTTCTTCCAGTAGAAATCCACAATGTAATGGACCTAGCAGGAAAACCCTACCTTCAGTTGTTTCTCTCAACTTTACCACAGAGTAACAACTACACTTAAGGGGAAAAAAAAAGCTGAATTACTAGCTTATAGACTAGAGCAACTTCTCTTATCAACTCCACCTCTGGTATGACTGCTTCTTTTAAACTGGAGAAGATGCTTGTAAGTACTGGGTTGGAATATCCCTCTGCACTGCTCCCCCACCACGTGTGCTCTTTGGTTTGGAAGCTGGGTTTAAAAAACACCAATGGTGGGACACCTAGGTGGCTCAACAGTTGAGCATCTGCCTTTGGCTTGGGGCATGATCCCAGAGTCTCAGAATCAAGTCCCACATCAGGCTTCCTGCATGGAGCCTGCTTCTCCCTTTGCCTATGTCTCTGCCTCTCTCTTTCTCTGTGTCTTACATGAATAAACAAAACCTTACACACACACACACACACCCCTCAATGGCTGTATAATTTCTGTATTATAAAACTCACTCTGACACCTCACAAGAAGGATGGTTTTGTGGTTCCTTACTGCCTCCACAACCAGATGACAGTAAGGAAATAAATTCAATCATATGGTTCTGATGACTCAGGAAATATCTTCCCCATAACTCAATGATCTAAGGCCATTGCTAAACATGATTTTCTCATATGAAATGTTTCAAAGGACTATTCTCCAAGGACATAAATTCATTTCTTAGTCAGATCTTAAAACCTGCCACACGTCTTCTACCAAAAGGGTACAGAATAATAGTTTATGTTGGGACATAGCTCACTTTCACAAACCCTGCTATTAAACCTTCTTTGTTCACTAGCCCCAACTGCTTGAGGTTAACAATTAATAATTTAAATGTATTTCCTACAACAGGAAAAAAAAATCCCCTATCTAGAAAGTGTTTCTTTTGTAAAGAACCAGATTAAATGACAAATGTAAAAGGTTCCTCTTTCATATTTCTCCAACTAGGAAATATTAATGGGATCTGAAGTCACATAAAAGAAAGGGTAATTAGATGTGCAAATAGTTTAAAAAGAGAGCCATCTAGTAAATATGCCACGTCGAACAGCTAAAAGATGCCATTATAAATCTTCAGGTGTGACTTCTAGTTTGGGCATTTTAATACACAGTCGACCAACAGCTAAGGCTTTGATTTGATGTTCTGTCTCAGTTAACCACTGGCAATATCAGCAAGTCAAGACACTATTCTCTACTTTGAGTATTTGTCATGGTCAAGCTCTGATCTGAAAAGAAGCATATGGTATAGTGCATGGGATGATGAGAAGCACCGTTGGGATGCAGCACTTCTGCAATACTTCCTTATCTGCAGCCCTTGACAAAGAGCTCTTTCAAAAGGCAGGAATGTGGCGTAAGCACTGAATTTTAAGGCAGAAGATCCAGTCTTTGAGGAACTGAGGAAGCAAGGTGGAGGAAGACTAGTGCAAAGAGTTTAGAAATAAGGAAGGGCACTTCCAACTTAGCCCGCACACATTCTCTGAAGTGAAATGAGAAATGAAGACAGACCTGGGGGATGTCATGGCAAGGATTCATGTTGCCAGCACCATACTCAGGAAATAGGAGTGCAGAAGTGGCTCCCTGGGGATGAGAGTGGGGCTCAGCTACTGTGGGGAAGGTGGACAGGATCAGCCACTCAGAACCAGGAGTGCAGGACATGTCACTCAGGGACCAGCTGTACAGGACCAGCCACCCCAGACCCTAAGTGCCATCAGGCTCAGGACAGAGTCGACTTTTGGCAAATAGTCGTAAATGTTAGTTCCTGTCATTGATGACACCTGACCTGGCGGATTTCATTTCAGCACCCTACTGTGAAGGAGGCCACACAGACTGGCTCATTGCTTCGAATCCAAATCCAAAAGACCCAATCAACTGGCAGGCAGGTAGTGTAGAATGATTAACAACTATTTATATATACATACATACATATACATATATATATATATATATTTATATTTATATTTATATTTTATTTATATAAATTTATTCATTCATTCATTCATTCATTCATTCATTCATGATAGACAGAGAGAGAGAGAGAGAGGGGCAGAGACACAGGAGGAGGGAGAAGCAGGCTCCATGCTGGGAGCCCGATGCCGGACTCGATCCCGGGACTCCAGGATCGCACCCTGGGCCAAAGGCAAGCGCTAAATCGCTGAGCCACCCAGGGATCCCCAACAACTATTTTCAAATTAACATTTTGTAATAACTAAAATTAGCTTTGGAAAGTCCAATTTTTGCTAAGTCAGAAAAGCCCAGTGTCCTTGAAGGCTATATCATAAATAACAGTTAAAATATGAAACACAAGAGTACTTCTAGAGAAACTTTGGGACTGTCAACTCACGTTTGTATCCTCCAGCAATGCCTGACTGTGTCAGGCATCTCTGCAATTCATCAGCATCTATTTGCCCATCCTTTTGAAAAATAAAAAATAAAAAAAAAAATAAATTAGGAAGAGGAATTACAATAGTGATTGGTACCTTTTAGTTCTTTGTTCACTTTCACAGTGTATTATTTCAGCAATAATGATAAAGAAAATGAGCATTTTCATGCATGACACTTTAAAATGGAATACCTTCCAAAAACAGGCATTCCTTTCCCCATTCCACTTTCAAAAATAATTTAATGATGAAAGAAAAACAAATTAAGTTCTCTTCCACAAATGCATAATTAGGGACGCAAACAAAAAATGCATTTCTTGATACCTAAAATAAAGTCAGCATTCAATTTCAGACTCTATTTTAAATAATTATTACATAAGAATTTACAAAGTCGGAAAGCTGCTCACATCTATACTTTAGTATTACCAGTATCTTTTCATCATTTCCTCTAAATCCCTCAATTAGATTTGGCATTAAATTTTCAGGTACAAGATTCCTTTTTTTAAATAAAACACTGAGGGGAATTCAGTTTCTTCCGCTGATGCCTAGTATTTCTAAATGTATGAATAAAACTAGTCTCTGTCTTGGACTACTTTTCTTTTAGCCTCGGCGGGGAAACTGCCCATTAAGCACTTAAAATTATTTATATAGTTGCTTAAAAGTCTTACTCCTCTTTCTAGCTTTTGGGGGTTGGTGGGAGTGCAGAACAGGGCACACACCTGATATCCATAAATAAAATGCTTGGATGAAACAAAGAGAAGCCTTCCTGATCACCTAGGCTTCTGATGAGGCATAATGGTTTTCCAGAATCACAATTTCATCTGGAAGATAAAGGTTCCTGGTGCCTATTGGTGGGTTGATCAAGTTCAGAAATAGACAGATGTTACTTTTAGGGATTTAAAAAATAAAATACCCCAAGCCTCAAGTCCAGGTGTATCATAAATTCTAACCAAGGAGCAGGAACAATAATGTGAAAGACAATGGATATGCTGCTGTAGGCCAGGGCCGCTGCAAGGTAAGCAGGTGGGGTCACTTACAGGACTGGAAGGATAGGCAATCTAAGAACTCAAGTCTTGAGCTTTGCCCTGTCTTGTGGTTTCAAAGATACAGATCACTAACAGATTAAGCAGATACTTCAAGGGAAGCTCTTTCAGTTTTAGACACAATTTTCCACTCAATTTCTTCAACTATATTTCTCAGAATGCTGTTCTGAAAGGCGGCCTTGGGTTTTTTATCCCATAACATTTGATAGCATCTTCACATGAAGATTATGTCATTTCTTGTTTTTGATCAAAACAAAGCAAAATCGAATTTCTAAGACTAAACATCCCTTCTGGACATGTCTGGGTTATACCAGCAGTGTATTTACTGTACACAGTATCCTGGTGAAGTAGGGATGTGTCCTCCCTCAACGTACACCACCCCGTCCTACAGCTCAACCAAGAGAAGTGAAAGGTCTCCAGGAGCTAACACTTGGGTCTCTCTCGGTCAACAGGCCACAACACCTTTTAAGGACATGGAAGAGCTGACCTAGAATAGCCATCAGCCTTAAAGAGAAACCAAACTGCTCACAAGATTAACTTCCTCACAATAAGGCAGTAATAACTTTCTTATTTTGAAGCTGGTAGTCTAACACAAGAACCTATTTCTTAGAGGGTAACTGATTAACAATCGAATTCAACCCAAAAAAGTGTTCATTAGAATCTGACTTCATAATTACCGGTATGTGTCTTTAAGCTGTACAAACAAGGGCTTGTGGTCGTCAGATCTAGAATTTCTCCTCTGGAAACCACCATGGACCCTGACAATCAATTCATTGTCCTAATTACATCTTTCTACTTCACAGATCTTCACAATATATTTATAACCCCCTATTCCTGTTTAATCTGACCCTAATTCAATCACATGTTTAGTTTGAATTGAACTAACATAAATACAGGTAACACTTTGTCCTATTTGTTCTGAATATTCAGAAACAAGTAGCTATCCATTTCCTTCTCTCTTTTTCTCTTTTACAGAAGCAAAGGGATTCTTTTCCAGAGGAAAGTTCTTTTTTCCATCCCACTCTAACCATGGCTAATACAGAGGCAGACGCTGACAATTCCTGAATATTAAGGGGAAAGGCTAACCTGTCCAGCTACAGCAGCAAAGTAACCATAGAGCGGATCCTGAGTTTGTCCGGGAAACGCAGGTCCTCCGGGGGCCCCTCCATACTGTAAAACAATAAACACAAAAGCATCATTCCGCTGAATCCAGTTTTATTCTTTCACCACTGAACGCTTTTGTGCAAAGGCAGGCAACTGCCCGCCCTCCACAGGGATGGTTCGCCTCCCCAGCACCGGGCACGCTTTACCTGCAACCATTCCACCCCTTTCCTCCGTTCTCACCCCACCAGAATTCACACACCGGCAGCTGGGACCACAAGGAGTTGTCCGGATCGTGCCATCCGCCTAAGGGAAGCAGCTCTAAAACGCCCCACCGGCCTGCAGGTCGCTGATGAAACGCGACCGAGACGGGCAACTTCAGCGCGGGGCGCGAAGTGTTCTCCTTCTTTCTTTCACAGCGTTCCGGGGCAGGTGCAGCCCAGGCTTCGGGGGCTGGGTTGGGCCGTGGGGCCGCACGACGCGCGTCCCCGGCGCCACGAGCGGACGCCTCCCTCCGCCAGGGCGTTCCCCGACTTTTTAAAAATCTCTCACTTGCTTTCAAAGAGGGGAGGTGGCTCTGCGGACCGTTCGAGATTAAAATGGCTGTTTGCGCTCAGGGGAAGAAACCGGGAGGGGGAGGAAGCCGACACCCAAGTCGCACCGTTACGCGCCGCGCACCCCAGGCGCCGGGGAGGGGGCGTGCGGGGCTTCCCGGGCCATCACCCCCCCGCGCCTCGGCCCCCACGCGGCCGCCCGCAGGCGAAGAGGCGGGGGGAAGGAGGGAGCCTGAGGACGGGGCCGAGGGGCAAGGGCCTGCGGCGAGGCAGCCGCCCCGCGGAGCGGCCCAGGGCGGCCTCTGGCGTCCACCGGGCCCCGGGGTCGCGCCCCGACTGCAAGTCCGCGCGGGCTCCACTTACCCCGCCCGGGTAGTACCCGCCGCCGGCGCCAGGGTGCCCCGGGTACGCCATGGTGCAGACTGCGCCGCCGCCGCGCCGCCGCGCCGCCTCCCTCCCGCCGGGGCCGCCCCCGGAGCGCACCACCCGGGCGGCGGGGGACGCGCGCCCCGGCCGCCCCCCGCCCCCCGCCCCCCGCGCTGTCCCGGCCCCGCCCGCCCCCCGCCCCCGCCCCCCGCCCCCCGCGCTGTCCCGGCCCCGCGGGCGCCCGCCCCGCCCCGCGACTGCCCGGGGCCCGCGGCGCGGCGCTCCCCCGCGGCCTTCCCCCCCGCGCAACGAATGGCACGTCCCAACGCCAGGGCGGCGCCCGGGGAGGCTTGGCTTCTCCCCGCTCGCTCCCTTCTGACGCTCCGGAGCCTTTCGGACGGCTCCGGCAGTCGGGCCTCCCGGGCTCCCCGCGCTGGCGCCTGGGAGAGAGCGGGACGCGGAAAGAGCAAAACGTGGAAACGCCCTCGGAAAACAGGAAAAAGCTTCAGGAACTGTGTGCGAAAGAGCATTCGGCTTGCGGTTGCACAGTTCACCGCGAGGGCACCCAGTCCGGCCCTGGTTCAGCTGCGGGTGACACCCAGGGAGGACAGAGGCCACTCCCTGGCAGGGCCTCCCCGCCCAGGCTCTTGGGAAGGGAGTTGTTTGAATTATCTCCATGATTCAGGCGATACGATCACTCTTTCCAAAAAATTGCTCAGCTACTTTTTTATACGAGGAAACTTTACAGCTAGGAGTGTGCTGGTAAATCGGAAGGCGAGAGGTTAGAACTCGTCCCGGAGGTAGATTCGGAAAATGGTTCTCTGCATACGTTTTCCTTTCTCACCTGGTTGAACAGCCCGATGTGAGCAATTCAGGTGGCAGAGTTTCGTTTGGTTTCGTCTCATGTAATGTCAGTCCTAAAGAATTTTTTCCCCCCTGAATTCTATCGTTTTAAGAAATGCATTCATTAAAAAAAGAGGGAAAAAAAGCAATGCATTCATGAGCAACATTCAGGGTATTTGCTATGGCGATTGCACGGAAAAACTGAGCGTCATCAACATTTAACAAATACTGGATCACCTGCAGAGTGTGGTGATGTGCTTGCTCAGCATGGTAGACGGGGTTCCTCCCCTCCAAGTTCCCGGGCTGTGTTCCCACTGGGGTCATTGTTTTTCTCTTCCTTCCAAGTCCCCTTTTTGGATAATCAGACTCCAAAAGTGAAAGTCCTGACCTGTCAGAACAATTTTAATAATCCACGTTGCTACATATCAAATAAACTATAGATTACCTTTTTTTCTTTTTTTCTTTTTAAGATTTTATTTATTCATGAGAGACACAGAGAGAGACAGAGACACTGGCAGAGGGAGAAGCAGGCTCCATGCAGGGAGCCCGATGTGGGACTAGATCCCTGGTCTCCAGGATCAGGCCCTGGGCTGAAGGCGGCGCTAAACCGCTGGACCCCTGGGGCTGCACTGGATTACCTGTTTTATATTTGATTTAGGAAGTAGACTATTGTTTTCAAATACCAAAGCGATTATCAAGATAGATTAGACATTTTATGAGTCCTTTGACCTCTGTGGGTTTTTTTTTCTATGTATGTATGTATGTATGTATGTACGTAAGAACAATGCACGTGAGATCTGTCTACCCTCTCAACCAATTTTTAAGAGTACGATACAGTATTGTTAACTGCATGCACAGTGTGGTACCGCAGGGTCTCTAAGATTTTTCATCTTGCCTGACAAAATCTATACCCCTTGAACAGCCACTCCCCATTTACTCCTTCCTCCAGCCCCTAGCAACCAGTATTCTGCTTTCTGTTTCTATGAGCTTGATTACTTCAGATACCTCGTATGATTACAATAACCAGGTATTTGTCTTTTTGTGATTGGCTTATTTCACTTGGCGTAATGTCCTTGAAATTTATCCATGTTGCAGCATATCGCAAGATTTCCTTCATAAATCTGGATAAAATTCCATTGTAAGAGTAGGTCACATTTTTAATCCATTTATCCTTAGATGGACATTTGGGTCACTTTGGCATCTTGGTTATGGTGATTAATGCTCCAATGAACATGGCTGGAGTAAATAGCTCTTTGAGATCTCATTTTCTATTCTTTTGCGTATATGATCAGAAGTTGGAGTGCTGGATCATATGGTAGTTTTATTTCAAATTTAAATTTAACTTAATTGAGGAACCTTTATACCATTTTCCATGGTGGCTGCACAATTTTGCATTTCTACCAGCAAAGTGCTAGAATTATAATTCTTCCACATACTTACCAACACTTATTGTCTGTTTGGTTTTTTATTTTATTTTTTTGATAATAGTCACCTGGACAGGTGTGAGGTGATATCTCAGTGTGGTTTTGATTTGCATTTCCTGATAATTAAAAACGCTGAGCATTTTTTCATGTACTTGTTGGCCATATGTATATCTCCTTTGGAGAATGTTTATTAAATTCTTTAGCCCATTAAATGTTTTCTAATTTTAATTCCAGTATAGTTAAATTAGTTTATATTAATGTTGGGTGTACAATATAGTGTTCAGCAATCTATGCATTACTCAGTACTCATCACGATAAGTGTACTCTTAATCTTCTTCACCTATTTCAGCCATCCCCCACCTACCTTCCCTCTGGTAGCCACCAGTAAGACTCTGGTTTGTGGTTTGTCTCTTTTTTTCCTTTGTTCATTTGTTTTGTTTCTTAAATTACACATATGAGTGAAATCATATGGTATTTGTCTTTCTCTGACTGCTTGGCATAATACTCTGTAGTTTCGTCTATGTCATTGCAAATGATAATATTTCACTCTCTTTTATGGCTGAGTAATATTCCACTATAAATCTATATCTGTATCTATATCTATATCTATATCTATATCACCTATATATCTCACCTCTTCTTTATCCATTCATCCTTCTATGGACATTTGGGTTGCTTCCATAATTTGGCTATCATAAATAATGCTGCAATAAACAAAGGAGTGCAAATATCTTTTCAAATTAGTGTTTTTGTATTCTTCGGATAAATACCCGGTAGTGGAATTACTGTATTATATGGTAGTTATATTTTTGATTTTTTGAGGAAACTCCATACCGTTTTTCACAATGGCTGCATCAGTTTGCATTCCTGCCAATAGTGCAAGAGGGTTCTCTTTTCTCCGCATCCTTATTAACACTTGTTTCTTGTGTTTATGTTTTTGTTTTGAGAGAGAACATGAACGAGTAGGGGAGGAGAGGCAGAGGGAGAGGGAGAGAGAGAATCTTAAGAATGGAGCCTGACACAGGGCTCGATCTCATGACCCTGAGATCATGACGTGAGCAAAAATCAAGGGTTGGGTACTTAAACCAACTGAGCCACCCAGGTGTCACTGTTTCTTCTGTTTTTGACATTAGCCATTCTTAACAGGTGTGAGGTAATGTCTCATTGGTCCTGATTTGCATTTCCTTGATGATCAGTGATGTTGAGCATCTTTTCATGTGTCTGTTGGCTTTTTTAGCCCATTTTAAAATTGGGTTATTAGTTTTGTTGCTGTTGGGTTCTAGGAGTTCCTTATATATTTTGCAGACTAACTCCGTATCAGGGATATGGTTTGCAATTTTTTCTCCCATTCCATGGTTTGCCTTTTCATTCTGTTGTTTCTTTTGCTGTGCAGGAGCTTTTTATTTGATTTTATTAATTTTTTTTGCAGAGGGCAGCCCGAGTGGCTCAGTGGTTTAGCGCCGCCTTCAGCCCAGGGTGTGATCCTGGAGACCCGAGATCGAGTCCCACATCAGGCTTCCTGCATGGAGCCTGCTTCTCCCTCTGCCTGTGTCTCTGCCTCTCTGCCTCTCTCTCTCTCTCTTTCTCTCTCTGTCTCTGTGTGTGTCTCTCATGAATAAATAAATAAATAAATCTTAATTTTTTTTTTTTTTTTTGCAGAACCTTTTTAGTTCATGTAGTCCTATTTTTGTTTTTGTTACTTATGCTTTTGGTATCATAGCCACAGCCATGAAATCATTGCCAAAAACAATGTCATGAAGACTTTCTCCTATGTTTTCTTCTAGAAGTTTTATACTTTTCAGTCTTATATTAAGTCTTTAATCCATTTTCAGTTGATTTTTATGTATAGAGTAAGAGAAGAGTCCAATTTTATTCTTTTGTGTGTGGGTATCTGATTTTCCCAAAACCATTTGTTGAAGAGACCATCCTTTCTCTGTTGTATATTTTTGGCATTCTCCTAGGAGATCAGTTACTTGTATATGCATGGATTTATTTTGGGGCTCTCTCTTGTTACTTGACCTCAGCTGTTAAATCTGTTTCTTCAGAAAGAGGTAAGTAGGATGCGTGGGTGGCTCAGCGGTTGGGTGCCTGCCTTTGGCTCAGGTCATGATCCTGGGATCCAGGATCGAGTTCCGTGTCGGGCTCCCTGCGAGGAGGCTGCTTCTCCCTCTGCCTATGTCTCTGCCTCTCGCTCTCAGTCTGGTCTCTCATGAATAAATAAATAAATCTTTAAAAAAAATTTTTTTAAAAAGAAAGAGGTAACTATAAAGAATAGATAGGGAGGACTGAACTCAAAGTTGAGTGTAAGCTCTCTCAAGACTCAAGTTTGAAAGAGCATATAGCATATAAAATATGTGTAAGTATGCAGAATGAGCTTTATGGATGAGCAACTATGCTAATTGTCATTTCAATCATCTTTAGACATCTTCCTACTACTCTGCTGCTAAAGAATTAATTTAATGGAGTGCTGCAGATGAAATTCTTACAATTATTGCTAACAAATTGGTAAGCTGCTCCTTCTTTCATTTATCAAAAAAACTGTGGCAACTAATAATAACATAGAACTTAATATGTACCAGACCCTCTTCTAAGCACTTTACATATTTACTTAATCCTCACAGAATCCCATGAAATAGATGGTATTATCATCTTCATTATACAATTGAGAAAACAGAATGGATAAGAGAATTTACCCAAGTGGAAGGAACACAGAGCTGAGCTATGCTGTCAAGCCATCTTGGCTCTGGAGTCTGTGCTCCATACTAGCAGACAGCAAACTTTGTAAAAAGCCAGATAAAAACATAATAGGCTTTGTGTGCCATGTAATCTCTGTAGCAACTATTCAATTC